TCAAAAATGAGTCTCAATATGAGACTAAAAATCTGGAGCAAAACTTTTCGGTTGTAAATTGATTTGTGATCATATTTTGACTAAATTTGATCCCTTTGACATCTTTCTTCATCCAATTGGCTCCGATCACTCTCAAATCTTCATCGTGAGGTTCGGTATAACTTTTCAATATTTGCACTTTAGTTCCCGAACTTTAGATCTCTTACAATTTAGCCCTTTCCTTTCCAACTCTTGTTTATTTTCTTCGATCTCATCAACCTACATCACAACATCAAAACACACATAAAAATACTCTAAAACTCTCTCAAGAATGACAAAATAATGAATTAAGTGACATAAATATCATAAGTGTAGAACACTCATCAATAGTACATGAAAAAGAAAATAACATATTTATTCATTTCAATCAAATATTATATACGATGAACAAAATCTAACATTAGACTTCCAAAGGTTGCAAAGATTCAACACGTAAACTATGATCTTAGACCTAAAAACACCACAGTCGCTCGTGATTTTTTAATAAACCCTAAATATCCAAAACGAATTTAGAAACTGCAAAGTTTCTTCAATGTTTGAAATATTTTTCTCTTTCTCTTCACTACTAAATTCATTTTTAAGAACTTCAAAAGCCAAGACCCAATAATTAATTTTACTAACAAATGGATAATTAGATAAACTAATAAAAGAAATAGTCATTGAGCATAAGCAAGAAACCTATACTTGGGGGAAAAAAAAAAGCAACTACATGATCCCACATGACCCAAATGTCTAATTGTCCAACGTGGGAGAACCCTCTGTCGCTTGTATACCACGTGATTTTTGACGATAACACTATTTGAATTGGATGGGTCTCTTGGATGACTCACAAGGGGACTTGGATTGGAATAGGATATCTGTATTTTCTCTTATTGTAGAAATAAATAGACAAAGGCACAACCAGAAAAATCAGAATTTTTTTCCGATAGAATAATGCTATCTAGCACTAGTGGTGTTAGAGTAGCGATTTATGTGGCATCATGTAATATGTTCAATTAAATGTGAAATTATGTAATTCATTTAATTGAGTATGTTATTTAATGCTACCAGTGTTCCTACCTAGATTGGTGTTAAAACACCAGTGGTACTAAATATCACTGCTATTTCGATAATACAGAGCATACATGGTTCTATCGTCCGGGTATTAAAACTTGCAATAGGAGCCATGATGACATCTAATTTTATGTTGGGGCTTTTCCCTTTCACTAACCCATTTGTAGTGGTGGTGGTGGTTGGATTAGACGTAACGTGAGGATTTCGAACCATGAGATGATATGGCACTTCCTTGTGAAGGAGCTTTTCTAGTATGATTTTGTTAGAATTTGGGCGTGACTCGAATTCTGTTTGAAATCTATTTGGGAATTCTAGTTGAAATTCAATTTGGGAGTTACAATTTGTGTTGGACTTGAAAAAACTTAAAGGAGTCCAAGTTGCAACAGTAGAGCAAGAAATCGTGCAAAGAGAAAGAAACAACGAACTGATGCTCGCTATGCACCTTGATTTCGCTCAAGCGCTTAAAACAGTAGTCTCAACGCTCGCTTACCACAAGGCCGCTTACCGCTCGATAGCCGCTAGATCGCCACTCGAGCGACAGTCTTATCCGAAAATGAATAGTTCGCAATTTGGGCAGGATTTTTAAATCTTATTTTATCTCAAACATTCTATTATTGTTTAGACTTGTTATAGTTGAATTCCACCGTATCTTAGACTCTTTTTTGCACTATAAATATGGGAGTAAACATCTTAGAAAACCATCCTTACATTCTACACATTTTGTAATCCTCCACTATTGATATTAGTGAATTATCATTTTTTACCCGTGGTTTTTTCACATAAAATCTTGTGTTCTTGATTGTTTAATTTTCATATTGCCATTCTCATTCCTTTGTTTCCTAGCAGATTTGAATTTAATAGAGAATTTCCATCTAAGACAAGCTTTGCATTGCTGCTAAATTTTGGAAAAGCAAGGAAAATATTGATTCAACTCGAGTTCATTAGAATAAAAAATTTCAACCCTATCCAATTTGTTGGTGTTGACATACAAAAAGTGTAGCCCAAATTAAATAGTCCAAGGAATACAGTCCAATTGGGAAGTCCAGGATAAATGCCAAAATAGGACCATTGATGAATGCAGTGGATGCCCAAGAATAAAGTAACATTATTGCCCAAGTTTGCAAGACGCCTAGAATCTGAGCGAATTGAGTGTCTTACGGTCGCCCAAAACGAATGAGCCCGTTCTCGTCCAAACCTTCAAATCTCCCAGGATTTTAGCAAAGATGATGTATTATGGTTATCTAGAACATCATTTATTGAAGCAGTTACTAAACAATCTTATCACACCCCACGATCCAAGGATCTCAGTTGTAGGCGATTGAACGACAAAAGTAATGGCAGCAGTTAGAGACGACAGTTCTACGACAAGTCAGCCATTATAAAGAAAGTGGGTAATTATAGAGCAATCAAGCAGTTTCCAAGCAGTGTGTCACGAAAAAATTATCAAGAGTATAAAAAGGAAAAGAAGACAGAGAAAAAAAGACCCCAAATCAAACACTCTCAACAGAGAACATGTAATTTCAATTTCTTAATTTAACTTTAAAACACTTCTTTTAGTACTCGTGTGATTGCGCCCCTTGGAGGCATTCTGTTTATTTTCGATTGTAAATCTTCATTAATAAAACACCCATTTTTTGGATTTTGTCACAAGAGGTTTGTTCCTTACACAATCGTCTGAACTTTTTTTTTTTAATTGTTAGCGACAACCCGTGCGAAACAGTTGGAATAGGACTAGATAGACTGATACATATAAGAGAATCAAGACTTTCGATTGAAGGACTTAGTCCATGTTTGATAGTCATTATTTGACCAAAATAATATTTTGAATAGTGATTTTTAAAAGAATGTGTGGTAAAAAATAGGGAAAATTTTTGAGTTTACATATAAAATATTTTATCGTGTAAATTTGTGGTTAAAAATGAGTATCTCAAAATTAGAATTTTTAAATAATGATTGTCAAACGAAGGCGTAATGTATTGAAAATCAGGGGCGAACCCAGCACCTGGCCAGCCCCCGCGGCCACCCGTGCTGGGTCCGCCGGAAACTGCAGGTTCTCGCCGCCAAATTGCCATCCGCCGAGAAGAAGAAGGACTGAAGGAGAGATGCTGCTTCCGTTGTTGTCATGTTTTAATTTTTTTGGATCTTACTTAAAAAAGGCCCAATTGAAACTTGTAAGTCCATTAGTGATTAGCCCACACAACTTATCCAATTTAACCAAATCCAAATCAATCACCATTTCCATTTACCCATTGTTTGTCCGGCAGAGAGAGGGAGTGAGTAGCTACTGACGATTACGAACGAGGGCGAAATTCCTGTGGCCGAGTGGATGTGCCTGTGAGTCTTTGACTGTGGTCGGAGGTCGGTGGTCTGGTACAGACGTGCAGTAGCTGGAGGCTGCCGACTGAAGCTTCGAAAATCAAAATCAAAGGTATTACCTCAAAAATCTTGGCATCTTGTCTTGGATTCTTGAATCTTAATCTTGCCCTTGTAGAGTTGTGATTACTGATTTGTGAACCTGTATTTTTCTGTGAATTATGAATCTGTGAAGTATGTGATGTGGACTGTGATTCTGGATTTGGAGGGCCTCAAAGTTGAAATGAGGTTGTTTACTGGAAATATCTCTTCTTTTTGAGTTTTTGTGTGTGTTAGTGTTCTTCTCGTTGTATGGATTTTTAAAAAATCTTGTAAATAGCATTTAGCTGTCTCGCTAAGTATTTTATGGGTCACCTCGTTCTTGATATAAGTTCTTCCGAATGAAGTGGCCCTCACTTGGTGCCCTGTGCACCATGCTGCATAGTGCTTTTTTATTTTTTACGTTATTGTGAATTAGGTTGATGGTCGACGTCAACTGGTCGACGTCCCTGGGCTGAACTTAGATCCTGGGTCCACCACTGCTGGAAATATTAGAGCTGGACAAGTTTATGGGAATGACATTTCCTTTGTGATCACAGCCCGCTGACATTGGTCATTACCCGATTAAACAAGCTTTAGCTTCTAGAGGTGACTGATGTAATTTGTTGCATAGCATAATTATTAGAATAATACTATGTGTCTATGTGTACATTTCATGGTTACATCTTGTTACATATTGTATGAAAATTCAAAAATGTTGGATGGAAAAATAAATGTTTTAAAAAATTGTCCAATTATGTACCGTCACGTGACACAATGTCAAAAAAGATATACATGTAACCTGATTGTAACTATTAGCCTTGCTATCAGAGGTTGAATAATGTTACACGTGTTCTTTTATTTTTCTAGTAGATGATTTATTTTGGTTAAACTTTTTGGATATATAGCGTTTAAATGAATGAATTTAACAAGATTGTTGTAGGAAAGTAATGAGAATGAATATAGTATTTTTTAAAAAAAATTAAAATTGTAATAAGGATAGATTTAGAGTGGGATGTACATATAAATAAAAGTAGCGTGGATATATATTGTTTGTGAGTGAATTTAACAGTGATAATGTTGGAATGAAATGTAAATAAATATAGTAATTCTTTAAAATTATAAAAGTTTGATAGTAAGTGGATAAAAATAGCGGCTTCCAAAATAACTTATTCATACTCGATAAAAAGAATATTATCTAATTTAAAATTTATTTATTTACTTATTTGTAAACGTTTTAAAGCTTAGCCAAACATTGTCATACATTATGGTGATGCTAATATAGCATTACATGTGTAAAAAGGTCGACTTTTACATTTAGATTGCATGCATGCATGCCTTATAAGGCTAAATAGTCTACGAGTTGAGTATCTTGAGGAATAATATCCTTAAAACCCAAGTTTTGTCATAAAATTTTGTCCACAATGGGGTAAATTCCACTAGTTTGAAAGACGGGGTTGAGTATATTTTCAAAGAATACAAACTGAACACGGTTAAGTTCGGTTGAGTGCAGTGTAGGCTCACTCACGAGTCAAAGGCTAATACAACAAACAAGAGTTTCGATTCCCACATAGCAAATGGGAAATCAAATAGACCAACAAACTAAAGATTTTCAACGAACATAAAACTTCTATATGCTCCGGAGGTATGATCATCGTGAATAAAGGATGTGATATTCAATTTATTTAGGACACTTTCTAAGATATAAATCAATCTAAAGATTGAGTTGCCTTCATTTTGTTTTTGGGAATGTGTAGATCTGTAAATTTGAAGAAACCTTTGTGTTTTAGTGGTATTGAAGTGCTTGCATTTTACCAAAAAGAAAAAAAGTTATATTTATATTTATTATTCTGGATGCAAGTTATTCAAAAACATCATCCCTAGATAAGAAAAGATTAATTCAAAAAGGAAAAACCAAATAACAAGACCAAGTCAAATGTGTATATCCAGGTTTCTCACAGCAAGAGAGCTGTTCCATTCCAGCTGTTCATAATCCATATATACAAGCAGCCATTCAGTTAGTACTAAATAAAGAGAAGGGACGGGGGGCTGGGACCTAACAAAATTACATATTCATCCTTTCAGCTTATTAACATTATGGGATGGGATAGTAGACCCTTGGGAGATAGTAGTATACACCTCCGGGACTACATTGAACATCATGACGGGAAAGAAAGAGAGAGGGAGAGAGATGCCAAAGCATCATCATCTGCCTTGCTGTTGTCGAGATGATGCTCCTCCGCTATCTTCTTCTCCAATTTCCCTACCAAAAAGGGTGGAATGCCCTGAGGCAATGCTTTTCTTTCAGCTCCTAGTGCAAGCTCAAGGTCCGGCACTTTATCGTGAAGCCTGTCCTCTACTTCCGGATGCATTTTCCAGGGCATGGATTTATTAACAAAACCCATGCCATTCATACTATGTGGCGGGAAGAAGTACCTTTCAGGGATGACACTCTCGTTGGAACCTTCACCAGATCCATTCTCCTGTACAGGGAAGCCAAAAACCACGAAATTTATCAGGGATGCAAAACAATCAATACAAGAAATAGTTTGATCATCACGAGTATCCAAGCCACATGTATCAGTATTCTTTTTGTCTGTCTATACTTACCTTTTCCAGCACTACATCGGCACTATTGTTCCTGGGCACCGCTTGACTGGTGTCAGCATAAAAACTTTTTGGCACCACGTATTTGAACTCATCCTGCAGATGTTTGCCATGGTTCAAAAGCCATCTGTTGCCCTCCATGTCTAGGTCTCTGTTGTCCAGATTTTCCTCCAAAGAAGCTTCTTTATCTAATTTCACTTGATCTCTAGTGCTATACATCTTATCCAATATAATCCTCTCACCAGTGATACCGCCAGGAGCCATAACATTGGTGCCAGAAGGAGATTTACCGAAATAGTGAGATGGCTGTCGTCTATCAGATGCAGCATCTAATTGAATTAGCGTTTGTTCCCTCGTAGAACCGTTAGCACTTCCTGTCATCTGAAGAGAGGCCAAGGATTCCACTTCATGTGTGAAGACAGAATCAGTATCTCCTTCCTACAGGCAAAGAAAATGTAAGTGGATATCAAATACTACAATGGTGTTCATCAGAATAAATCTTCTGGGAAATCAAGTCATAAAATCATTAAGACATCAATATAACAAGAAATTACCAATGAAAGCCAAAAAAAATTCAAAAGGAGAAAATGTAATAGTCCTTATAAACGTGCAACAAGTCAGACAAGGTGCAAGGCAGAATAACGATGAATTGCTAATATCATTTCAAAAATATGAGACGAGATAACTAAACGTGAATATGACATGACATCCAAGCCTTGGTCACAGAAGAAATAAGCCATCCATTCGGGATAGCATATGCTCTCAACATGTGTCTTGCCATTGTCAGATGTTAAATTTTACAACAAAAGGGATAATTAGTAGGAAAGCACAAGTCAGAAAGGAGGCATAGAAGTAAGGTGAAAACCCATCATCATCATCATTGACCTAATAATGCATCAATGCCAAATGGCTACACAGCTATATGAAATCTTGGAAATTAACTTCCATCGGACTCAATATTAGCCTAGACCTCAGATTCATCTGACAAGGTTGCTGATAAAGATGTTCAGAACTGCAGATTTCACAAATTTAAGTCCCTCTGTCTTAACACAAGTAACAAGCTCAGAACTATAATAAGAATAGCACGCCGGAACACTTATTTCAATGTCTTGAAGTCTACTAGGAATACTGGTTCATGGAGAGATAAGACACCGAATTGATGCCAGTGAAATCCCAAGCTCCCAATGTGCTAAAAGTACAAGATCTCAACGAAGATGTGGTAAACTTGCACCGAAACAAAAAAGCAATAAAAACCAAGAAAGGTAAGTGAAAATTAAAATAATATCAATTAAAAAAAACTAAATTAATCTATGGTCAGGAGAAAACTAGTTGACGAGAGATCATCTGATTCCTGAACTCCTCATAGTATAGATACGAACAGACTAGAAACTAAAAGATAACAAAACACTATAAATATATGTATACACACCAATATATACATGTGCACTGTGTGTGCGTGTGTTTTTCTTTTTTTGAAGGGGGGTGAGGGTGGGGGGCATAAGAAGAGAGAACGTGATTTACTATTAGAGCTTTATGCACAAGTGAAAAAGAATAGACAATACCAGGCAAGTGCCACTCATTTCGTGGCACAATTTTGCACTCATACTTCGTTCGGTAGACAAGGAAACGGAATCTAATCTATCATGCAGCTGATCCACAGAATGTCCTTTGGTATCAAAATCTCTATTTACAACTTTAGACGACAATAAACTCCATAAATTTCCCGAAGCAGACACCTCTGGTTCTGGCACTACATCATCACGAGAAGACACATCCTTGGCTATAGGTCCAAGTGAGCATCTGTTCTCAGGCAAGGGCATTATGGCTGGAGGAATATCAGGAGGTGTACAAAACTGTCTTGAGGATCCAGGCAGATGTGAACCATTCTCTTTCTTTCCTCTGAACACGCCCCATAAAAAGAATAACATATTCCAACCTGCAAGTAAATGAAAAATAAAATTGTATGGTTGGATGCAAATAAGGGGGAGCTTTATCTTGCTTATAAATCAGAGCACAAAATAGAACAACCAGCTAAACATCCCTGAAAATGAGCATTCTTCGTTCAACAACGCTGGAACACATCTCCACTAAACAAATAAATAAACAAAGATTGATTGAAATGAAAAGGGAACATAAAAATGGAGGAGAAGCCAAATTACTGTCTAAATTAAGTCTCCTCAATAGCAGCAACCTTTGTGTTGGTTGAGGTCTGACCAACACTGCCATGCCCAATTTTACCTAGCAATGTTACCTCCATTAGATATATCATACTAAAGGAGTTTCACAATAGGAAAAGCTGCCAAAACAGCTTCCATACATGTATTTGTTGAGATCCCACCAGCAGACACTCAGTTTTATCAAGCAGCAATAACTTCATCTGATATGATATTGAAAGTTTTCATCTAGGCAAGCTCCCAGATTGCGATGCATGATCTCTAAGCATCTCAGTCAATTTTCAAGGGCATGAGATGATATAGTGTTTATTGGGCATTGCAAAATAAGTTCACCATATGCATCAAATCAGATTTTAATCTTACAAATTCTTAGACAGAAATTCAGAACAACAAAATAAATATTTTGTTTGCTTACGCTGAGAATTCTCAGGAAGCTGGTTAGATGGAAATATCAAGAGTTCAACACCATTAAGATTTGCCTGTAGAGCAAGGTCATTCTTCATCATGTTCTCCAACAAAATTTTGTAGCTCTTCTCATAGCTGCAGTAATGGAAACAGAGAAATTAAATTGCAGAAAAATAATAATGTTGTCACAAAAAAATAATATGATAAATTTGATGGTAAAAACATTAATTCTAAAATAGCTACCTCTCATGATCTCTGGCGAAAAAGAAGAGAGCTATGTTATCTTCTCCAACACCAAATTCCTGAAACTGTACCGGCCACGTACTTGAACGAGGCACTTCATTTAGGATGATTCTGTGGTTAAACTTGCTAATCGCTTCGATAACTTTAGGTGATGCGCACATCGACAAATGGGCTTGGATTCCTTCCCGCAAGTCAAGGATGTTACCACTTCTAAAAACCTCAAAACTTCCTCTGCATTCAAGGCACACATAAGTACAGCATAGTTAGAGAGAGGTGAGTCCAGAAAAACCACTAAGCAGATATTATTCAAACATAGAATTGGAGGGGAGACGTAAGGTATCTTACTGCCATATATACTCGTGCTCAGGTATAGCTAAAGATTTCAAGCAAATAGGAACTGCAGCGGAGACACGAGTGGGTATGCCTTCTAAGGAAGACTTCCCATCCAATGAAGCAATTGGCACTGACTCTCCTCCGGATGTCAGAGCCTCAACAGGAAGCAACATGGACTGCTTTGATGTGTCGCAAGTTTCTTGTTTAAGAGAGTCAGCAGTCAAGCCACTTGGTACTGTATGCCTCTCAATAATCTGTGCGGCGGGGGACATGTTTCTCTTGCCACCTGAACTTGATAATTGATCACGGCAAGCTATTTCGGAATTCATGCACGAAACCGATGAGTCGTCAGATTGGACCCAAGCTCTATGATTTCGGTGGACTCCAGGCTTTCTAAGCATAGCAGCCTCAATAGCCACTTTTAGATTATCATTTTCGCTCCTCGAAAATTTTACAGTTGGACCAACAGCAGGAAATCCAGGATCATCAGCTGCACAAGATTGTGCTAAATGTCCAAATTCTTTACATTTTTGACAAAAAATGGCCCTTCCACCGTTAGTATTACCCTGCCATAAGCGATTCCCAGAATGCTCCATCATTTGCTCACCAGAATTTGTTGCTTCCCTGGCCTGAAGCAATCCATCATGTAGGCCTTCATTTGTGTTGCACGGCGGTCTCTCAGCAACACCAGCACAAGATGAGGAATCCTCCTTTGAGACAGTCTGGTTAAGTTTCTGTCCAAAATTGCTAACCATGTTGGCAGACGAAATTCCAGTTGTACTTTGTGCATATGACGAGGGTCTCTTAAATTCACCTAGTCACGTGAATAATGAAAGTATTTGAAGAAACATAAAAAGACAAAAGATAGATATGAAGAGCCTACTCATGAAATGAATCAAATTATACCTGAAGGAAATGGCAAATCTGAATTCCTTCGGGCTACGAAACTGGATGATTTCAATAACGTTGCAGATTTACTGTCAGGTAGTGCAGCCTTTGTTTCACGGCGACTTGTGAGCAAAGAAGATTCACCCAGAGATCCTAGTTTCTTATCATCGTTAGACATAGAAATAGTAGGCTTAGCCGATGGACGTTCTGATTTGAAAGTGCTCTTCCTTTCAAAAGAGCTTCGCTCTTTTCTATGTTTGATATCCTGGACATGGGTCAGTCTAGGAGATATCATCTTCACTTTTGATTCAAAACGGCCCGAATTCGTAGATTTGAAGGACGTAGATTTTCCTATAGATTTAACTGTACCCTCCTTCAGATGAAGAGAAGCAGGTTCTCTTACTGATTTAAGCCTCTGAAGAGAAACTTGATCTACAAGCTTGACCTTTGGTTTTGAATTCAAAGAATTAAATGAACGAGACTTAGAAAATGTACCTGCAAAATTAGGTAAAGTTGTTCCTCATAATTGCATTGCACCATGGAAATTAAAACAAAACTATAGGAGCAGCCATCATTTCCTTGGGAAAAATAATTTAAAAAAAGGTAAAAATCCTCAAGATGTTTTTATGAACCAATGACAAAAAATAAAAAATATCAGATAATGTAACCTCGAGATATCTGTATTCGTGGATCAGGAGCAGCGTGTGCTGATTCCAGAGTATCATTAACTGGCAGTGTGGCAGAAGAAGAGTGATTTATTGGGCGCATTCTCCCTCTATCTAAGTTCTTGAATGAACTCTCACGTGAAAGAGCAGCTGTTTTGCTAGAGCTGGAGTTTCTTGGTGAAGCCATGATCGATTCGATGGCAGGCTTCTTTGCCACAGAAGAAACTTCATTCTCATCCCTAGGCCGTTTGCCGCAAGTTTTCATATTTGAACAGCCTTTTTTTCCAACATCAAAAGTATTAATATTTTCACTACTTGCTTGACCAAATGAGTTGTTTTTCTCCTTCTCATCTATCTTTCCAATCTTATCTTGCCTCTGATTACTCGTTTGCTCCTCGACCTTGCATTCTTCACACAGCCAGTTACCTTCTGGGACTTTAGTCAGTGTTTCTTGCATGCAATAACTGAGACGAGATAAATAGGTTAATATCCCTGTACAATTGAGGAAGATAGAATCATATTGCACAGATAATAATAAAGATTTAAGGCTCACGTGTGTTCAGCCCCATCACTACACCGAGAACAGACAGCAAGCAAATCCTCACGACCGGCATCCCCACAGATATCGCAAACTTTGACCTATTTCCAACCGGAGACTTCAATCAGCAATAAATCCACAAAGAATTTATAAATGAAGTAAATCGGAACTACTGAAAAAACCAAGAACATAAAAAAACCACATAATAGGGACCACAACAAATTCAAAAGAGGGAGGTACAGGGAGAGGGTGGATCCATTCAGCCCAATCTATAATTCTTCCTGCCAGAAAAATCAGTACCTTTAATCAAATGACTATTAGTTAAACAATTTAGTGATTCGCTCAAGTACGTGTGTAAATCTAGTTATATCTGCAAATGGATCCACAAGTCAAGATATCATTCTGGCAGTTACAAATCTTGGATCATCATAAAAAATATTTATTACACGTGTCTCTATGAATTAGATGAGAATCTGTGGGTCCCATCCATAAGAGAAACCAAGACAAAAAAACTAAGTGAGCTTAACACATCCTCGATCAGAATTTTACTAGCACATAAAAAATTAAACTAAGAAAATGAATCTTTTACTAGAATAAGCAAGGAACATTCTTACTTACATCCAATTCTTCCATATCAGAGTCATCTTTCTCAGCTGAATGATGGACTTCCACCTCCATATCTTTATTCTTCTCAATGGAATTGAGAGCATCACCAGGTGGATTATCACAAACAACGTCAGATACTACCTCTTTCATCGACATTGAATTCAACTGATCATGTGAGCACTCCAACTGTTTCCCTTGAGGAAGAGGACACAAGGGTTCTCCATTGGAAGCTTGTAAAAGTGTGTTCTCTACCTTCACCAACTCAGAAGAATTGCCAGTGCTTGTTAGGGGAGTTTCCATCAAGCTTAAATTTTGTGAAGATGGTCCCGTTGGTGAGCTACTAGGAGGCACCTTATCAGAGAATTCTCCACAAATTTTGCTCTGCCTACTAGTCTGTATCATACCATCTTCAACATCACATTTATCCATGGGCTGAGATGAAGTCTGATAACCAATTGTATATTTAGATTTCTCAACTTGACTACAATTGGATGCAAAGGAACGGGGTAGATCTGTCCCATCTCCATTTCGGACACCATTTGCGAACACTTTTGCTTCATTAGCTTCACTTATACATGATAAATTATCATCATGCCCTTCTACAAATTTAACCCCATCATACTGCGAAAGTGTCATGGTATCTTCTGATGCATCAGAAATCCTCAAGGTTGCTTTACCTACTACATTTTCAGAGAAAGAATCAACTTCTGATTTTATGCCTACTACATTGCTGGTCTCACTGTGCTGCCCGATTTCAAATCTTCTGCCTGTGTCAATTACAGCATTTTCTGTGCAGGTGTCTCCGGAAAATTTGTCTGTCTTTGTACCCATCATGACCTGATAATTATGCAAACAGGAGGAGCAAGGCGCAGAGCACACGTTACACGTTCCAGACTTCGCCCTCGTGTTGACCTTTTGACTTTTATCAGAACAACTACTGAAATCCTTATCAGATTGAGATACCTAACCAAATACAAAATATTAAGTCCAAAAGAAAGGTGCCAATAAAAAGAAGTATATGACCAATGATGATACAATATTAAGTCTTTTTTCTGTTAAAGAAACATCAAGGGACTGAGTGTCAATGCTTTTAAGCAGCAGGAAAAATATGTACAATCTAAAAACTTGTTTCCCAGGTATGAACGCACACCATGAAAACAGTAGGTTAACAGGTTTTCGACCTGACTTTTGCCATCTTCATGTCTAAGTGCCTAGCCTAAAGGGCATGCAGAATGACTATCATTATCGTAATGGACAAGATTATTAGGGAATCATTGTGTTGTTATTTTCATTATTCAATTTAACCAGAAAATAAAAAGTAAATAGACAAAACACAAGTTTGGGCCAAAAAATAGCATACATGATAACAATAAAAGATTACCAGAGTGATCCTTCAAACTAGAATATGCATCACAATTTTTTTATCCCAACTATGAGCCACATGCTATAAGACTCATGCAAACCCCATACATGATTAAAAGTTAAGAAAGTGTCTTTGAGATAGGAACAAATAAACCCATAGAATTTCAGGGACATATTATTGGCTGGATGCACCTATTTTTTAAAGCTCACAACTACAACACTATTGCAACGATTGATTGCTAGGTCTCAAACATCATTCTCGCTGTCTGGCAGCAAAGACATTTACTTCCACCCAGCTTTGCTTCTTCAAACATAAGAAAGAAATGTAAACTTAATACTCCAGGCAAGTAAAAAAACTACTTCAAACTATTTTCACTCATTAATTTCATCGAAAGAAACAGCACCAATAGATTTTTCATATTACTCAAAACCTCAAATCCCCATTTGTTTACCATCACCCCACCAATCAACAGAAAGAAACTAGTATACCTTTGAAGAGGGAAGAGGAGAGAGAGATGCAAGAATAAGAAACACGGCATGTAATTACCCGGATATCTATCTCACCATATTGAGCTGCAAGTCATAATCTGCTTCATCAGGGGGCCCTTGCATCCTAAAGGAACCACTTAAGACTGGAGTAATCTGAAAGCAAGTAAAGATTACAGTCAGTGGAGGCGATCTACTGATGTCTTAAGCCATATGACAAAAAACTAACATGAACAATTTTGATGTACACATATTGGTTGAATCTAAATTTTGATGTACACACATCAGTTGAATCTCTCTCGGCGTGGTCTCTTAAATCAATCTTTGTAAATGTATCTGGATATGAAGAAATCCAAACCCATTTGTTTTTTTGTATTTAGTTTAGATAGATATATACATATAGAGCATCTTGAGTATTTACCTTTACAAATAAAACATTCCCAAGGTCTAGAAAAGCGTAAACGGAATAGCAATTATCAGAAACGAGCAAAATTTAAAAGTAAATCCCGTAAACATGTCATAATTCAATAAAAATCACAACTGAAATTGAAACCCAAAGCTAATTTAAGATGCACGAAATGCAAGCAGATCAAAAGACAAAAGATTGCACAAATTAAGTGAACCCTGATTAAATTGCAAAATAATATAAAATGGAAATAAATTACATGCCTCTGGCTGAGACAAAGCGGGAGTCACATTGTAAAGGTTCTCGAGTGTTCGCTCCTTGTGTCTGGTCATCGCCAACTAGGCAAACCGATCAACCATCAATCACGCACATATAGGAAATAAATACGCAAAATGCACAAATATAATCATCGATTAATTCTACCTTCATGCTGCCTAAATTAATTATATCACTAATTAATCTAAAAATCGCATTAGAATTAAGAAAATACAAAGCATATTATATAATAAAATTACTAAAAAAAATAGGATCGGAAAATACACGAGCTCTGCTATAAAATTTACCAGGATAAGATTTGGCGAAAATTAAGGAAAAAAAAAAAGAAGAAGAAGAAGACTCTGCAAATAATAACAGGCCAAGTCGAGATATTTTGCTCCGATTTCAGTTTTCACGTTTTTTCTCTCTCTACAATACAGATATTGGATTCCGTCCTCTCTCTCCCTCTCTCTCTCTCTCTATGTGTATATAGATACATATAGGTATGTACGTATACGTGAGAATTATGTAATTGTAGAGTGTAGAATGAGAAATTGGGAGAAATAGATGAAAATAAATTAAATTGCGTGAATAGCTGCCCCGTGTTCTCTCACACGTGTGCTTGGACACGTGAGACGTCGGCTCCACTCTCCAGTTATCTATCTTGCGCATTAGGTTTACAACACCCCCCCTTGTGTTTGCATGGTCCAAATTCTATATGTTACCATCAAGGCACTTGGGCCCACATGGTAGAAACTCAAATTTTTGAAATTTTCATTAAGCCCTTTTGATTTAGATTTTAATAAAAATTGATGCAATGTATAATTGAAGAGTTGCAGATGATATAAAATATATTATTAAAATTAATTATTAATTTTGATTTAAATTATAATTAAATTTAACTTAATTTTAATTAATTTTTTTTAGACGAATCAAAAAGGGACTAAGTACAAAATATTTTTCTAGGGCACTATCACTTTTTTATTCATTTTTCTTTATTCGGTTTAAAGTAGAAGAATTTCATTTAACGGATTTTGAAAATATATGTATAGAATTTTTAATCGTGTGTACATATATTGAATTTTTTCATGTCAACTTCGAGGAATTTGATTGAGATGCTATTCTTAATAAAAATATTTGTCAATCGATTTTTAAAAAGAATAAGAATATTTACAAAAAAAAAAAAAAAATCTTCGTATTACGGTGAGTTATGATTTTGCAGAGGTATCGTATCCTCGTTTGGTCATATTCTAACTTTGGGTCCACACAAATTAAATTTTGGTATATAGTTAGGTTGATTTTTTTTTCCTAATTGGACCCCTACAGCTTCACTTAAATTATTAATAATGACTTTTATAAAATCTTATTAGAGAAGACCTCTAAATAAAAAAATTGTTTTTATTTTTATAAACAATTTCATTTTAGAGGACATTGTTGCGGTCGATTTCTTGTAGATGATATGGTCAACGGATTCTGACTTTACTCACATCCAAGTATAATGCTCTTGAACGCTTGGACAAATCATTAGAAATACATGGTCTTCTTCAATGGTGTGGGAGGCGATCATGAGTATTTCAACGATCAAGCCAGTGAACTTATATATTAAGGTGTGGGATGAATGGAAGACGCGAACAAGAAGTATGTGTACGGGTATCCAATTGTAGAGAGGAAAAAATAAGAGCTAAATTGCTAGTTAAGAGAGTAAAGTAGTGTTATTTTTAAATGATATTAAATGTTGGCTTTTATATAGAGATGATAAAGTAATTATCGTTTGACGAAAGACACGTGACCTCATCTTAAAGGTCGCTTCATCTCCTAGGCATCACTTTTTGCGGTCATAGGTTCAAAGAATAAATGATTATGGAAAGCGGTCACATTTTAGCCTATGTCAACAATTGAAAAGTAGATTGGTGAGATGATTAAGAGGCATATGCTGTATGGATATCACATTAATTAATCACAAGGAAGATTTTGTACAGAAGATCTCTTGAAAGAATCGAAGTAAGAAAATGCCTTTGTGGGTTTGGAAGTTAATTGCTTCGAAAATGAGTTACAGCAGATCGCAACACCTGCCTAAACCACGAATGGTCGGCCTCAACATGACACCTCAACTAAGGTGAAGGCATCACCTCGGCCACCTCCACCTCTATTTAATGGCCTTGGCTAGACCAAGTAGGTCGGCAACGTGGAGTGCGGACCTAAGGTGACTTGATACTTGATAATTGGTTGTCACATAACCAATGATTGAAGCCTTGTAGAATGAGGCGTAACAAATCATTTCAAATTTTTTTAAAAAAAAATATTAATTCGTGTATAATATAGTTCGACTATTCAATTTTCTAAGCAAATGAAGACATAGAAAAGAGAAAAAATAATAGAGATTCCCACGAGCCCGTCTTACCGACTTGACAGTTGAGTCTATAATACGTTAATCTAAAATTTGACTGAAAGGTTATTTTGGTAAGAGTTAAACGTGTATATATCGACATTAAGAGACAAATTTGGTACGCCTTGTCCCTTGATTGATCACATTAGCAATTGCTGGACCCACAATTACTTTGATTCATAAGTTAATAATGGTCTTAAGTTTGAATTTGGCAGGGCAATTAGATCTGCCACCAAAATAGGTGACTATAAGTGTGGACTGGGGCGTCGCCGCGCTCAGCTCATGTTTTTCCTAACCGAGAAAACGAATCATGGACCACGCAAGTTTGATTGTGCTACTTTTCAAGTCAAGTTTTTACTAAAAATTACTTTAAAAAAAGAAGAAAAAACTAATTTGCTTTACTCTCAGTGAAATCCATTGACTAAACTAGTGTCCAAAAAAATAAATCTTAAATTTCCTCCTCTGATTAGGCAGAGACGGATCCATGACCAAATTACAGGTCGAGTTAATACGTAAAAAAAAAAAAAAAAAAATTACACGTGATTTTTTATTTTTACATAATTTTTTTTTCTAACTAAAAAAAATCAGTTGGGTCCCTCCATCCGTCCATGTGATTAGGGAATTGACCGTCGTGACTACCTACACGAAGAATGCACATTGTCTCGTGTAAAATTCATTTAAAATAGTGACTATACGAAATATTCCTTGTATTATTATGAGAAATTATATACTATAATGTTCCATGAAACTTAGTCATACGATGTATTAGTTCTAAGAGTTATACAATTAATTCAGATTGGTCCATCTCTATTACCTTAATAATAAAAAATTAATGGTCAATGGAAAATAAAATAATAATATAATGCGACTATGATACGACTAGCTACGTGGCAACAACCAGCAATTATTTTATAAAGCTCGTTTTGTAAAAGTTCGCCAAAAGTTTATCAAACTTCAATTTTAATTTTACATTTTACGAGTTTCAAGCGCGTATTTCATGGACTTTCATTAAAATCTCCTAAAACTTTGTCGTGAACCCCTTAATTATATACAAATCACGTTTTAAATTTTTTTTTTTTAATTTTTAAATCTCAATATATTTAAAAACTGACAATGAGTGACAAAGAAAGCGAAAATGAACTGGGCATGAATAGTTTAAGTGAACAACGTGAATATTGCTTGAAAAATGACTCAACAAATTGCACACACTTCACGCTTCACGTGTTGGACTATACTAGACAAAGAGTTGCTACTATACTTTCATTTTCTTCATCAAGTTTTCGACTTTCGACGATTTTCTTCATTGGAAAGAAATTAAACAGAATAATATTTAAATAGTTATAAACGGACAGTAAATAAATGGATATTACTTGTGAATATATTAAAATATATGATTAAAAATGAAACTTGATCATAGATAAATAATTTATAATTTTTGCTAAACGAAAACTTAAATAAATGTTTTTTTTTACATTTCACTAGCGGTGTACATAAAATTATAGCCCACGTTTGACACACATTCTTTCAAAATACATTATTTCATAACTCATTTTCAACATCACATTTTTCAATAAAATAAAATTTTCCATCACATCAATAATTTTTCTTACTTTTTAACCACATATTTCCTATTATATAACTATTTAAAATACATTTTTTTCCTCAATAATATCCATCACATACACCCATAATTCAAGACTGCTGCATATGTTCGAAGTTGATAACCAGCTACCGATTATTCGAAACTACTACTTTCGAATGTATAACCAAATACAAAATAATAATAAAAGCATTTTTAAGCCTATAGTGAGTACTTGGATAAAAAGTTAAGACGGCGGTTAACAATCAAGTATAAAATATTTTAATTTAGTGTCTTTATCCACGAAGTTTGAGATATCTTGTCAACTTTATAAGGTTGCTCGTTTAATCGATGTGAAATTTTATTCCTTAACATGTTCCTGCAAAATTGTGCAGCTCTGATACCATATTAAAACTTGGAGTTTCATTTTAAAATGTCAACTTCGTTAAGAGATATAGTCTTAACCCTCATAAATTGATATATGTTTCATCTTTAATCGATGTGGTATTTTATTCATTAACGTGTCTTGGGTTAATGTGTAATTTTTTAAGGGATCGAGTGAAAATGTTAAAATATGCTTTCAATTGTGAAAATAATAAATTTATGCAACTAGTGAAAAATAGGACCGCTAATTGCTTGGAAAACGATTTAGACTATTTGGATTTTGGAAGTTTGGGGGATTAAACTGCAGTTTAAAAAAGTCAAACACGCAATTGAGAATAATTAAGAAAGAAGTGAGTTTCTCTCACTCAATTAATTTTGAAGATTCAAAGTCATTTCAATCTATCCTGCTTTTTCAAGTTACAAGGGTTGAGGTTCCGATTTTGTTTCGTAGACTCTTTGTTTGTCATGGACATAAACAAGATTGCTAACACTTGATTCGTGGCCAATTTATCAGAAAAGTGGAATGACGGTGTCTCATATGCAGGTATAGTTGTAAGCTTTTTTATTCATAACATTTCGTATACTTGCAAATTTCTTAACCAGAGTATATTGTGCATTTATTCTATACATTCGCTTGTAAACTCGTGTGTTTGGAGGCTACCTCGGGTACTGTGGGATCTCGAGGGTCGGACGGGCAGGTCGTCAGACGTGGTCAAAAAATAATATAGAATGGCAAGATAAGATATGAACATGATAGATACGTATTGATTTTTACGTCTAAATTTTCTAATCGTGCATAGTAATCTTGAAGTTTGAAGAGAACACGATACGTGTGCATATATTGATTTTCATGTCAACTTTGAATCAATTTGGTTGAGATGCTATTTTTGGTTTATGTTTGATGTAGTTAGAAATCAGATTTTTAGTAAATTTGATAAAATATCTTCTATGTATTAAAAGTGGTTATGTAACGAAATTTCTTGTTTTTAACGGAAAAACTAACAGAATTTGTTGTTTTAACTGACTATGTAACGGAATTTCTTGTTTTAAACAGGCAGCTGCACCTTCTTTCAGTATTTTTATCATAATTTTGCATTCTGATATCCGATTGAGGCGATTCAAAATATGTTGAAAAGCTAACTCATCTGGCTACAATTTTGATTCAGATATCATTCTCCAATTTGATCACTTTCTATGCCAAAAGTAGGTCTCAATATAGGACTAAAATATCGGAACATAACTTTTCGGTTGAAAATTGATTTGTGATCATCTTTTGACTAAATCTGATTCCATTGACGCCTTCCTTTATCCAATTGACTCCGAGCACTCTCAAATCTTCATCGTGAGGTTCGGTACAACTTTTAAGTATTTATATTTTAGTCCCCAAACTTTGGATCCCTTACAATTTAGCCATTTCTCCAAATTTGTCAACTTTTGCTTATTTTCTTCGATCTCACCAACTTACATCACAACATCAAAATCACACATCTAATTATTTATCAATTACATAAACATTACATCATTAATTATTTAATTAACCAAAAAAATTACATCTTTATTAATAACAAATTAATTCTTAAACAAAACTATTAAATATAAACTAGGCAAACGTGTATTGCACGTTGCTTGTATGGTTAAAAAGTTGTGGATCTAGTGAAGTATGTAGTTAAAATTAATTTTTGATTTTGACTTAAAATTTATTCAACATTTGAAGTCACACCAAACAAGGACTTGATAAGATTTTTAAAACAAATATTTGTATAATTTTCAAAAGAATGAGATTCCTTGTACTACAATGTTCCGTGAAACTTAGTCATACGATTAATTCAGATTGGTCAATCTCTATTACCTTAATCAAAAAAATTAATGGTCTATGGAAAATCCGACTAGTTACGTGGCAACAACCAGCAGTTATTCTATAAAGCTCGTTTTGTAAAATTTCACCAAAAGTTTATCAAACTTCAATTTTAATTTTAAATTTTACGAGACTCACATTCTTTCAAGCGCGTATTCCATTGACTTTCATTAAAATCTCCTAAAACATTGTCATGAACCCCTTAATTATATACAAATCACGTTTTTTTTTTTTTTTTAAATCTCAATATATTTAAAAACTGACAATGAGCGACAAAGAAAGCGAAAATGAACTGGGCATGAATAGTTTAAAGTGAACAACGTGAATATTGCTTGAAAAATGATTTAACAAATTGCACACACTTCACGCTTCACGTATAGTAGACAAAGAGTTGCTACTATACTTTCATTTTCTTCATCAAGTTTTCGACTTTCGACAATTTTCTTTTGGAAAGAAATTAAACGGAATAATATTTAAATACTTATAAACGGACAGTAAATAAATGAATATTACTTGTGAATACATTAAAATATATGATTAAAAATGAAATTTGACCATAGATAAATAATTTATATTTTTTGCTAAATTTCACTAGCGATGTACATAAAATTATAATTCAAGACTGCTGCATATGTTCGAAGTTGATAATCAGTTACCGATTATTTGAAACTATTACTTTCGAATGTATAATCAAATATTAAAAAAAAATATTTAAAAGCATTTTTAAGCCTATAGCGAGTATTTGGATAAAAAGACAAGGACGGCGATTAACGATCAAGAATGAAATATTTTAATTTAGTGTCTTATCTACGAAGTTTGAGATATCTTGTTAAAATTTTGGGTTCTTTCTTAAAAGGTCAACCTCGTAAGGTTGTTCGTTTAATCGATGTGAAATTTTATTCCTTAAAGTGTTCCCGTAAAATGGTGCAGCTCTGATACCATATTAAAACTTGGAGTTCCATTTCAAAATGTCAACCTTGTTAAGAAATATAATCTTAACATTTATAAATTGATCTATGTTTCATCTTTAATCGATATGGTATTTTATCCCTTAACGTGTCTTGTGTTAATTTGTAATTTTTTAAGGGATCGAGTGAAAATATTAAAATATGCTTTCGATTATGAAAATAATAAATTTATGCAACTAGTGAAAAATAGGACCGCTAATTGCTTGGAAAACGATTTAGACTATTTGTATTTTAGAAGTTTGGGGGATTAAATTGCAGTTTTAAAAAGTCAAACACGCGATTGAATAATTGAGAAAGAAGAACCAAGATCATTTGAGTTTCTTTCACTCAATTAATTTTGAAGATTCGAAGTCATTTCAATCTATCCTGCTTTTTCAAGTTACAAGGGTTGAGGTTCCGATTTTGTTTCGTAGACTCTTTGTTTGTCATGGACATGAACAAGATTGCTAACACCTGATTTATGGCCAATTTATCAGAAAAGTGCAATGAGGGTGTCTCATATGCAGGTATAGTTGTAAGCTTTTTTATTCATAACATATCGTATACTTGCAAATTTCTTCAATTCATTCGCTTGTAAACTCGTGTGTTTGGAGGCTACCTCGGGTATTGTGGGACCTCGAGGGTCAGGCGGGCGGTTCGTCAGACGTGGCCAAGAAATAATATAGAATGGCAAGATAAGATGTGAATATGATAAATACATTGATTTTTATGTCTAAATTTCTAATCGTGCATAGTAATCTTGAAATTTGAAGAGAACATGATACATATGCATATATTGATTTTCATGTCAACTTTGAATCAATTTGGTTGAGATGCTATTTTTAGTTTACATTTGATGTAGTTAAAAATCAGATTTTTAGTAAATTTGATAAAATATGTGGTTAAAAAGTTGTAGATCTCGTGAAATATATAGTTAAAATTAATTATTGATTTTGACTAAAAATTTATTCGACATTTTAAGTCACACCAAACAATGACTTAATAAGACTTTAAAAACAAATATTTGTACTATTTTCTAAAGAATAAGAATATTTTGACCTTTAAAAAAATCTTCTTTACTTTTTCTTTAAACAACATTTTCTTCATTTCACATTTTGTACAAGGTTATGGTATGGGTATGATTGTTCATTATTCTAACTATGTGTCCCACCCAAATTGACCCCATTAAAATTTTAATACTTTTTTTTTCTTCTTTTCAATCTTACATTTTCCAATAAAATAATATTACACATAAATTGAAAACTTTTCATTTTTTTTCGACTATTCATTCTTAAAAAAATACTGTTCTAAAAATTAAAATCTCAAATAATGAGAGCCAAAAGGTGGCTTAATATATAATTAGCCTAATGAAGAATTAGAAATTAGTTGATATTAAAATAGGTGGCTATAATTTAAAAAATTAATATACGAGTTATCTAAAAAAATTATTTACAATATTTGATTGGCTAAATGATCAAATCATTCGTATATACATAAAATAAATATTTGATTAAGATAATATTTAATAACAAATTATTGAAAAAGAAAGATCGAGTTTTTGAAGATGCCATCTATCGATTAAACATGTAAATAAATATTATATGATTTAACTCTCGTTATCAAACATGAAAATGACTGAATCAAGACAATTCGACAAAATTTGTAAAAGAAAAATCCGAAATAATGAATTAAAATATAAATAGAAGTCAATTAGCTACATCGTTCGTCATGAAAAATAATATAGCCAAAAAGCATGGCAAAGAAATCAATGGAAGCAAATAACTGTTAAGTCTTCCATGATTTAAACGATTGGATTTTCATCCACAATAATCACAGTTCCAGAAAAGAAGCAAATATCTCCAATACAACTTAATCGTTCTCCAAATTAACCAGAACAAACACATTCCTGCCCAGTCGACATATCTGAGGCTCAAGGGAGTTGTTTTTTCACATTTCCATCTATCCTTCCAATCTTATCTTGCCTCTGATGACTCAATTTCTCATCCACCTTGCATTCCAAACACACCCAGTTGCCCTTTGGCACTTTAGTCGGCATTTTTAGCATGCAATAACTGAGACGAGACATAGGTTTATGTCATTGTAAAATGCAGAAAGACAGAATCATATTGCAGAGATAAGATTAAAGATTTAAGGCTCACGTATGTTCTGCCCAATCACTACAACGAGAACAGATAACGAGCAAATCCTTCCGCCCTTCATCACCACAGATACCGCAAACTTTGACCTTCAATCACCAATAAATCCATGAAGAATTTATAAATATGCAAGTAAATCTCAACTACAGCAAGCACGTAAAAAAATCCACACAATAGCTAATGCTAAAAAGCCATCTTCTACTTGTTCCTGCCAGAAAAGTAAGTACCTTTAATCAAAGGACTACTAAGTGATTCATGCAAGTACTTGTGTAAATCTAGTTCTATCTATAAGATTTACTCTTATCTATAACATGACGTGAATCAGCAATAATAACACAGAATTTATAAGTTTTCTATCTAGTTACTAGAATAAGCAAGAAAAAATTCTTACTTACATCAGGGTCTTCCACCTCAGAGTCCGGATAGAATTCCACCTCCATATCTTCGTTCTTGTTGATGGAATTCAGAGCACCACCAGGTGGATTATCACAAACAACATCAGATACTACATCAGATACCTTTTTCCAGGTTTGAGCGCATACTATGAAAACAGAAGGTTATAGAAACCTGAATTTTTCCATTTTCTCGATGTCCTAATACTAAAGGACCAGCAGATTGACTATCATTATTGCAATGGACAAGATTACTAGGAATTAGGAAACACCGTGTCATTTCTTTTTCATTCAATTCGAACAGAAAATAAAAGTTAAATAGACAAAACACAAGTGGGCCAAAACTCAGCATACGCAAATGGCAAAAAAAGGGTGACCAGATTGATCCTTCTAACTGGAATATGCAACACAACTTTTTTATCCCAGGGGATAAGGCACGTGCTTTAGGACTCGTGCAATCCCCATACATGATTAAACGTCAAGAGAATGTCTTGAGATACGAAAATTAAACCCAACAGAATTTCAGGAACATATTATTATTAAGACTTGGAGTTGATCTTAAAAGGATAAACATTTTATGAGGAGTGGTCCAAGCCTTATATGTTGATTAGTATTTCTGTATTTATTCGTTTATTGCATTCAACTGATCACTAAGCCTAAAACATTATTGCAACACTACGGCAACGATTGATCGCTGGGCCTCAAAAGTTAATCTTGTAAAACCACTGCATCTTCAAACATAAGAAGGAAATGTCAACTTCATAAAACAACATGCAAATCATGAAATCAGAGAAATACTACTTGTGGACTAAAGCAACATTAATGAAAAAATAACAAAAACAATTGTGGTATAATTCATCAAAAATGATCCATGAGCATTGGGCAGAGTTTTAGTTCCAATCACCAGTAGAAAGAAATGGTGGGGGGTAAAAGATCCAAGACAGCTTAAACCCACATTCAGAACAGAGGTCCATAGTGATTCGATGATGCCTAAATCCTTGAAATTTTGCTATAACTTCTGAAGTTTTAACAACGATTATATTCCTATTATCCATTCGGAATTGAGACTAAACCAGGCGAGCAAAACCCTAATTACTCCACCAAACTATTGAAATAAACAACAGTATCGCTCAAAATTTGAAATCCCTAAATTTTTACCAAATCACGCTAGAAATCAATATAAAGAAACTTGTATTATAACAATAAATAACAACGACATGTAATTACCCCCAAATCTTCTTCACTCATCCACGGGAATCGCCACGAATTTCCATCAACATTCAATGGATCCATTATTTTTGCTCAGCCCTATAATACCTAAAATTTTATTAATAATATATTATTTAAAAAATAGTTTATTTAAAAGACATCAATTATATGATTTACCTCAAAATTTTGTGCTTGTTTCGAAAAACACTGAAAATTGTTAAAAGAATATAATTAATTTTAATTTTGTTATAAAAAGAGAGAGAGAATGAGAAGAGAGGATAAAAATCAATAAACTTGTATATATTATAACGAGAACTAAATTCCTATATTCATAGGAAAGGAATAGTTTCATATGGTAATAATATTTAGGGTTGTAGGGGTACATGTGTCATTCACATTAAACCCTAATTTACTTTCCTTTTACAACTCTCCCCCTTGAACGACATATTATAAAATATCTGACTCGTTAAAACTTTGTGTAATAAAAATTCAATGGAACAAAAAAAAATTCAAAACGAAGGAAAAAAAAGTACAGTTATTTTGGAGTATTAAAGATAAATGCTGTCCATTAAAACCTTGTTAGGAAAATCCAGTGGGATAAAACCTAAGAGAAGGAAAAAGAGTACAGCTACTCCCCCTGATATTGATCACTGAAAATCTTTGAGTCGACGCATTCCAATCTCGTGAACTAATTTCTTGAATGTAGGTGTTGGCGGCGCTTTTGTAAATAAAATCAGCTAAATTGTCACTTGAACAAATTTGTTGAACATCGATGTTGTCATTTTTTTGAAACTCGTGTGTATGAAAGAATTTTGGAGAAATATGCTTCGTCCTGACACTTTTGATATATTCTCCTTTGAATTGTGCAATATAAGCAGCATTATCTTCATACAAAATTATTGGACTATCTTTTTTTGAAATTAATCTGCATGATGCTTGGATATGATTGGTCATGTTCCTCAACCATACACATGCCTGCTTCATGGATTGCAATAATTTCAAAATGATTTGAGGATATTGCTGTCAATTATTGCTTTACAGATCTCCATGATATAGTCGTTTCTCCACGTGTAAACATATATCCTGTTTGTGATTTAGCTTTATGTGGGTCGGAGAGATAACATGCATCTGCATATCCCACTAAAGCAGATCCCGACTTTTGAGAATAAAATAATCTCAAATCAATAGTACCCTTTAGGTAACGAAAAATATGTTTAACACCATTCCAATGTCTTTGTGTTGGTGTAGAGCTATATCTTGCAAGGTGATTTACAGAAAAAGCTATGATGGGTCGAGTGCAGTTTGCAAGATATGTTAATGTTCCAATTGTACTGATATGTGGTACTTCAGGATCAAGAATCTTTTCTCCATCTTCAAGTGGACGAAAATGATCATTTTTTATATCGAGTGATCGAACAATCATAGGTGAAGCCAGTGGATGTGCATTATCCATATAAAATCGTTTTAAGACTTTTTTCTGTATAAGTAGATTGATGAATAAATAATCTTTCTGGGAATTGTTTAATCTGCAACCTGAGACAGAATTTCGTTTTTCTCAAATCATTAATCTCAAATTCATTTTCAAATAATTTAAAGTTTTGTTGAGTTCTTCAAAAGTTCTAATTAAATTTAAATCATCAACATAAACTGCCACAATTGCAAATCCAATATTTGTTTTCTTTATGAAAACATATGGGCAGATATCGTCATTTTTATAGTCCTCCTTTAACAAATATTCGCTAAGGCGATTATACCACATATGTCCGGATTGTTTCAATCCATATAATGATCTTTGCAATTAATTGAGAACATGTATCATTTGTTTCTTGCACTTTAAGTCTTTCAGGGATTTCTATATATATGTCACTATCAAATAAACCATACAAATAGACAGTCACTACATCCATAAGGCGCATATCGAACTTTTGTGACACATCCAAACTACTTAAGAACTAAAAGTGATGGTGTCCATTACGGGAGAATATGTTTCCTCATAATCAATTCCTAATCTTTGTGAGAAACCTTGAGCTACGAGTCGGGCCTTGTATCTTGTAATTTCATTATTTTTATTTTTCTTTCATACAATAACTCATTTGTATCCAATAGGGATTACAATTTCAGGTGTTCGAACTACAAGTCCAAACATTTTTCGTTTCTCTAAGGAATTCAATTCCGCCTGTATGGCTTGTTTCCAAGTTGGCCAATCATTTCTATTTTGACAATCTTAACAGACAGTGGTTCAGGATCCTGATTTTGCATAATATCAAGAGTCACATTAAAGGCGAAAATAGTGTCTATAACAACATTATTTCGCTCCCATAATTTATGAGATAGCATAATTTATTGAAATCTCATTATTTTCGAACACTTGTGATTCTTCATGAACCATATTTTCAATATTTGATTGATCAATTTCCTCTAATGTTACTTCTTTTGAAATTTTTGGTTGGTTTTTCTCTTGTACTTTTCTTTTTCGAGGTATGGAGTTTTTTGAACCAATTGGTCGACCACGCTTATGGCGTATTTGAAATTCATTTGCTATTCATAATATGATGCAGTACATCATGTGCAAAAGTGTTGTCGACAACTTTTTCTTATCTTTTTCTTTTTTCATAATGACATAACTTATTGAGATATGTCAACTTTCATTATTTCAGGTACATGAACCTCTTCTGGGATTTTATAATATGTTATGTCTAAATACTCATTAAGAGTATATACCTCCTTAATAAGACCATATTTACCAAGTGCTCCATTTTCGTTGGGCGGATTTTGTAATAATATCGAATATTATCACACTTTAGGTGTGTCATAAATTTATCAAATATAATATCAATGAATTGTCATTCCAAGAGTCAATTCGAGTTGCAACATTTAAAGCTGATGTGTGAGATTATTAATCTCTTTGATCAGTAAATGCATCTAAATGAATTATTTTTAGAATTTCTGGTTTGAATTGTCTTTTGCGAGGATTTAGATAATGATGCATTTGTACACCATTTTCAGCTTTTTAATTTCTCCCCCTAATGTTGAGAGAATTGTCCAATCAAAATGACAATAATTTTTCCAGCGTTATAAAATATCACCCATTTGGAATAGGGGTTCAAGCTACGCATTTATTCTCAACATTCTTTAGTTTCCATCTCAGTGCATTGTCGTGGACCAATTTTACATATACTGCACTATCGAAATAATTTGATGGAAAAATTAGACCATAAGCCAAGTAATAACTAGGAGAACTATAATATTGCCATGATACGTAATGATTTTCCCTAAATTGAAATGTGAAGTATTTTGTTCTCAATTAAATTAATTGGAAACGTTTAACAAACAATAATATTAAACCATTTATTGACATCTCAACTAACACTTATTAAAAAGTTGAGATTTAGGATCATTAGTATTAAAAAGTCTTAATTGTATAATCTGAAAATTATACTCATAATTTGAGTAGCACTTTCGCAAACTTCAAGTTGCGAACACCATGCAATCATCTAATGTTTGTATCAAATCTATTATATACAAATAATGTTTAGATGGTCAACGTGGAGGGTGACGGGGCTCCATATATCACCATAATTAATTTTCAGAAATATAGGAAATTTAATCATTATTTAACTAGTAACGATCAATGACCAATTTTCAATAAAGAGAACAAACATCAAATATGATTTCATTGGATTGAAGAATCTTCCGGTTCTTCATTGAATATCCATTTGAATATTTAATTTCGCATTATTATTTGATCCAGTGATGATTCAATTGGTCATGCCAAACAATAAAATCAAATTGAACTTTTAGTTCAATATAAAATATAATTCAATTATTTAATTTTGAAGAATATAATTAAATATTATATAATCATATATCATTCAAGTAATCAAACTAATCAATGTCCCATGACATTAATTACACGTTGTCCTTCAAGGATAAGCATGAATTCAAAATGATATATTTTTCGAAATACGTACAACTTCAAGAGCACGTTATATTTATTATTTCTCATTCGAAAGTAATATGTCAATATTCTTTTGAAATATTGAAAATTATAATTCATGCTCTTCAGGATCAAGTAATATTCTTCTGAAATATTAATTATGATGTTGTGCACCTTTAGGGACAACAACAAACTATTATTTCGAAATATTAGCTCTTCAGGAGCCATATATTTGTTTCTTCAAGAATAATATGTCAATATTCTGATGATCAAATATTTCAGTTAATTTTTTTTCCAAAGAACATGTACATTTTTCTCAGTGAGATATTCAATTTTCAATCAATCGTGAAAATGATGAAGAAGAAAGATGAGTGCTTTTGTACGATCCGTAGGGATTCTTTGTTTCCTTCTTTTATTGTCTCTCCCAAACCTTTTGAGATCAGATGGATATCAGCATCGAGTACTCATGACAAATAATTTTTTCCAGATATGTCAAGTGCAGCAAACTCAAGTTTTGTGATATTTCCCATTTGATTAACTACACAATAAAGTAAAAGAAAATACTAGGGCTGTAAGTAAAAACCGCCAAACCGGAAAACCGAATCGAAACCGCAATTTCGAAACCGGCGGTTTGGTGCCACGTGGACCTGCCAACGAAATGGTTTTGAATCAAACCAAACCGGTCAAAAACAGTTTGGTTTAGGTTTGAGAATTTTAATTATGATTTGAAACCAAACCGGACCGGCGAAAAATATATAACATAAAAAAATAAAAAATTGATTTTTTTTTAAATTTATCCAAAATTTCAATTTTGTAAAATTGAACAATTTTGTCATTTTGTAGGTATTTTTGTCAATTTCTAATTTTCTATTAATTATTAAGATTTATGACCCACCCAAGCCTAATTATATATTAAAAAAAAGCCCAAATTTGAAAGAAGTAGCACTAAACAGCTCAACCCAAGTCCATATACTCACAAGTCACAACCCTAATCTTCCAATTTCCATTTCTCTCACTCGCTGGTCGTAGCCTCGCTCCCCGTGGCGCCTCGTAGTTTCTCCTAAATCGTCAACGCCCTCGAAATCTCGAACCTCCTAATTGCCGGTAGTGTACGTTCGCCGATATTATTAGACTATTTCAGGTTCTTGCATATTTATTTGATCGTGAGTAAGGCTTAAAATTGAAATTTTGTCACTTTCTAGTTGAAATTTGTTTACATATTTATTGATCTTGAGTAAGGGTTAAAGTTGAAATTCGGGCTATCAGGTGCGCAAAAGACATTTGTTTACATATGAGAGAATATGTATAATTCCGTGTTAAATTGCAGAAGATGAAGGTGGGTATATATAGTGGAATGGGGGAGAAAAAATATTTGCAGCTTGTCTTTTGGAAGCCATTATTAGATGGATCCGTGTCTTAATTCTTTTTTTTTTTCAAATTTGCTAATTAAAATTTTTTTTGTGTATGAAGGACAAAATTGATCATGAGTTCTGTGGCTTCTTGAGTATGTGAATGTTTCTTCCTTTTGCTAGTTCTGTGAGTTCTGTGACAAAATTTGATGTTTCTTGAGTTCTGTGACAAAATTAATTCGTTTATTCCTTTTGCTAGTTGAAAATGGACATTATTATGTTTTTTTGGACCTTATATTTATTTTAGTGGACTTGTATTGTATCTTTATCGTAAAGTATTATTCTAAAACGTCAAAAGGGCGAATAAAAAACTATGCTTTAGTTTTTTGTGATTTTACTTTTATTTTGTTGGTATTTAAATTTATAGTAAATATATTTAGTTTGTTTTAGATTTATTTCTAGTAAGATATAAATATATATTGAATTAATGGCATAAAAGTAGATACTAGACAGGAAAAAAATATACGCGAAACCGGCGGTTTAAAACCGGACCAAACCGTTAGGTTTAGGTTTGAGTTTTTTTCAAACCGGTCAAAACGGTTTGGTTTAGGTTTGAGCTTTTCTCAAACCGGTCAAAACGGTTTGGTTTGAAAATTTGTCAAAAACCGCAAAAATCGGACCGCTTACACCCCTAGAAAATACAATTAGTTTCAAAAAATATGATTAAACATCCATAGTCAATATCAATATGACATAAGTTACGTGTTTTCCTTCAGGGATAAACACTAATTTAAAATTATATGTTCTTCAAATCATGTGCTATTTCGAGAGCACGTTGTATTTTAATATTACTTCTTCAAGAGCAATATGTCAATGTTTTTTTGAAATATTAATTTTAATGTTGAGTTATTTCAGGAGCAACAATAAACTAATATTTAGGAATATTAGATCTTCAGGAGTTATGTATTGTTTATGGAGTTGTACTTTTTCGGGAGCAACAATAATTAAGAATGAATTCAATAATTGATATTTTATTATTAAACATAAAAAAAAAGACAATAAAATATTCAATTACACATCACAATGAAAATATTAACTAATTTATAGGGAATGAATAATATCATATGGTAATCAACTTGTGTATATTATAATGAGAACCAAATCCTTATATTTATAGGAAATGAATAGTATCATATGGTAATAATATTTAAGGCTCCAGGGGTACAAGTGTAATTCACATTTAACCCTAATTTACGTTCATTTTACAACAAATTTCACATTTCTTTCGGTATTCATAGGACAAACATAACATTATATCGCGTTAATTATAATAAATTTGTGTGAAGTTACTTACTTTTGAAATATGAATTTTCAAATTAACCTTTTTAAACTTGGATTGTATAAAATAATTCTATTCACGACCAATATGGTCTTAAGTGAAGCTAAAATTCGATTCTTATCTTTTTATTTTTCCTGAATTATTAAAATAACTTAATTTAGATTAGTAAAGTGACTATTTTACCCCCTTTTTTTTTTACTTTTTGGTTCTATTGGTCAAATGTGCTCACTAACGAAATTCTGCCAATTTTCCAAAATCAGTGTTCTAAAAGGCGTAATGCGTTGCGATGTGTCGAGGTCTAGAATCAAGAATCATAAGTTTAGGCGCGTCAATGCGAAGAATAAGCGTCATAATGCGTTTCGTATTTTTAATATTATTTTAATTATTTTTAAGGAATTAAATATANAAAAAAATTCTGTTCGAAAATGCGCCGCCTAGGCGCGCATATGGGCGGCATTTTGCCAAAATGCGGCGCCCAGGCGCGCATATGCGGGCCTAGGCGGCGCATTTTCGAACAGAAACGCATTTTTACCCGCATTTCACCAATTCGACGCGTTTGACTCCCGCGTCGCGCCTAGGCGCGCCTAGACGGTTCGTTTTGGCGCCTTTTAGAACAATGCCATAAATAGACGTAGACATGGAAGTGCAAATGAAACTAAAAATTGGGGATGTCTACTGTCATTTACCATTTATTTTTTTAACCGTACATGTGGTTTGCTACACTTAGCCTCATTTGATGGTCTTTATTGAGAAAAATGATGTTTTAAATATGATTTTTTGAAAAATGTATAATTAAAATGCAGGATTTTTATTTTGAATTTACGTGCAAAATATTTTATTGTGTGAATGTTTGATTGAAAATAAGTATGAAAATTAAAGAGTTTTGTTCCAAAGAAAGACAATGAAGCTTTATCTTTTCATTACAACCTAAGAATGTTTCGGTTTTTCAAGTTGAATAGTCTTATTTTTTAACAATACCATAAAGCCCCTGTTTGAGCTCTATTATTCTCAAAATTCATTTTTTTTAACACTTATTTTAAACTACATATTCTTCCATAAAATAATTTTACATGTAAATCCAAAACTTTTCATCATTTTTCAATCACACATTCTCTAACTTTTTACAATTTCAAAATGCATTTTCTCGATAAAATGAAGCCCCAAAAAGGGGCATAATCAATAATATGTTTAGTCCTTGTTGAGTGAAATTTAAAATTAAAATTAAAATCAATCATTAATTTCAACTACATATTTCACGGGACCCACAACTTTTCAATCACATATTTCATTAACTTTCATCAAAATCTGCTAAATTTTGATTTTAATTTTCACAAAAAAAAGGCTTAAAAATTTCAAGAATAAGTACATAAAAATTCCAAATATAAATACTTCTATTCTATGGTACCATACAGCGTGGTATGCACATCTATATAGCTAGCCTCCACAAGTCATTCATTCTTCCACCTATGAGTCAGGTCTATTAAGAGGAAACAAGAAAAATGAAACTTGTAATTAGTTAAACAATTGGAGAAACAAACACCATTGACCTGAATCCATTATATTCTACGAATCGAATCGGATCAACTGTTAAGAGGAAACATGAAAAGTGAAACTTGAAATTAGTTAAACAATTGGAGAAACAAACACCATTGAATTGAATCAATTATATTTTACAAATCGAATCGAATCAACTGTAGCTCCTACAATGTTGTATTCCTTAGAAGATACATTATACACCATCATTCGTAACAAAGTATTGGTTCATTCAACGTATCTTCATGTTTTTGATCAAAAGGATTATGTAGCACAGCTCTAGGAGCATCTACCATATTTGTCTATCTTTTTATCAAATTTTCTCCGCACGATATTCCTGCAGTTAGAAACAAATTTGTTGATTAAATTCTCAATTCCTTTTCCGGGTTTTGGTGGCGTTATTCTTCCTAAATTGAACAGCATTACACACAAGTTTGACAGCAACATATGGAAGCCAAATAGGCTTTAAGACTAATAGCGACAAAAATAATATCAAGCTGTCAAGAACAGAAATAAAAGAAAAAATGCTCACCTTTCATTGTATTGGACGTATATCTATCATCATACGGTTTCCTGTGAAAAACATTATTTCACAAGGTTAAGAATCAGACAGAAAATGCACAGAGTCTAGCGTGTAACCAAACCAACGAGTAAAAGTAATTCAACTGAGAGAGGGCCTACTCGAGTTAGCTATCTCAGAATTTCCTATTTCCTTCAGAGACTCTTTAATGCAAATATGACACGCTAATGTAACTATCTATGTTAAATGGCATCACACTCACTTTGTCTAGCAACTTGAGCAGCAGCCAGATATTGAATATATACTAAGAAACGAACATATTTAATAAAAGGCCCTTTTTCATGCACATGGCCAGAATAGCACGTGCCACCAGCAGCTATACGAAAACTCAATCAGTTACTATGCAGCTAAAATTGATGCATTGTGCTTCAAAGATGTAAATTGATGCATTATGCTTCAAAGATGTAATGATTAACTAAATTTGAACTACTAAACAAGTACCTCCTCCACAAAGAACATAAAATGTATATAATCAGTCAGCTATATTTTATACTCATCCATCAATTCCAGGGGAAGTATATATTATACAAATCAATTTGAACACACCAATTAAAAAAATATACCACCAAAAACCTATTTCGAGCTGTTTCAAACACTTACATGTAAACAAATCAATCTATTGGATGTTTATCAGTGTGACGAGAAGTGTAATGTGCAGAAAGCAAAAGCAAAGAGAGAAATGCACTGGCTGCAAAGATTGCATCAAACCCCCGATGGTAGAAATCAAATTGAATGTCTCCACCCAGTACATCAGTTATGATCATCCTGCAAATACATACACAGGATCAACAAATTAAAAGCAATAAATGAAGTTATTTGGAAGTCAGGAAACAAACTAAGAGTATGTTTGGCAAATCATAGAATAAAACATTAGAACACGAAAAATCTTAAATTCCGTATTATGTGATTCAGTAATTATTCATATACTGGAAAAATAGGTACCCACCAAGCACAAACTAACGAAGTAGCCCAGAATTCAATTTACAAACAACAAAGCATACCGAAAATTTTGGAAAGCGTTCACTTATTTGTGCAACTTTCTATGTCTTCTGAAATTGTTCTGTGAAACTTACCATGTGTAGCATTTTCAAAATACTACGTAAAACTTTCCAAGTAATCCTCAACTACTTTAAAAGTCAGTTGTAAGATTTACAGCGGCAAACTCACATCATAGATTTCTTAGGTGTTGCACTTTGTAAGAACATCTAACTCAGAGTTTCAAGTAAAGAAGAAAACACTGACCCCAAACAGAAACAAAAGAAAAATTAGCAGTAGTTAAAAAATCACAGTAATTCGAAGAATATAAAATCATTGCCATGTAGTTAATAATTAATTCACTAGCAAAAAGTAGTCAGCTACGTTCTACAGTCAACACTGAAACCATACCTGTATTCTGTCGCCAAGCTTTTCCTAATCAATAGAATGGAAGAAATAAAATACATTCCCATGATTTCAGAAAGAAAAAGGACAACGTTGCTTGAAGATCCACTCCCAACTCTGGAAACAGCAAAGAAGAACTGTACAACAGCCAAAATTCTGGAGTTATGCAGTAGATGTTAAAAGCGTGAAAAATAGCCCAATAAAATGTTTTAATTCTAAAGTAGTCTCTGTGTCTACTTGATAAAAATTTTCATATAATGTGTACTGGAGGTCAGGTGTGATCCCCTAAGTTTCTCTGTGCTCTTCTTTTTCATTATTAATGACATCACAACCTCGTGGCGACTTCACTTGATAAATTTTTTCACTTAATGTGTACTGGAGGTCAGGTGTGATCCCCTAAGTTTCTCTGTGCTCTTCTTTTTCATTATTAATAACATCACAACCTCGTGGTGACTTCACTAGAAAAAAGGTTGACTGAATGCATATGTCACAAGATTAAAAAAAAAACTTGGTCGTTAGGGTAGTTACTTGGAACTGAATCCTCATCTGTTTACATAGTAACCAGCAACGAAGGTTATAATGGCCTACTTAAAGGAGACACAAGGTTCATATCCTCCATTTTAGGATTCACAAGGAACCAATATTGAAGTGTGACATGAGAGCATAGATACAACACAGTTAATAGGTAGGAAAAGTGTACTTACTTTCATCAAATTATTCAAGAATCCCCGAACTGATATGATGACCAGCATCCCAATGAATAAGAGGGACACATACTGCAGGTTACACAAGGTAAGCAAGAAAAGTTGGCCCACACAACAAGACCTTGTAAATAATTGCAGCATATATAGACACAAAGAGTTCGAATGCAGCAAAATATTTCAAGATATATTATATATTCGCTGAAATAAAACCACTCGTCTTTAATTTGAAAAGCACGACACAGCATCTACACACAGTTTTTTCACCATGATACATTCAGGCTAAGAAGTTTTTAGCTTACTATACATCGATCTAACAGAGTTGTAACTTCGAAAGGCATTCTGATGATCTCCTGATTGGCTTACTTTTCTTAACATGCTTAATTTGTAGTAGTAGCATATAGTTTGAACTCAATTTCCAGTTCTCTATCCCCAAAAACACTAATGGAAAAGGCTGATGGAGTTTTCCAATCCAAACGACTACAAAGTGAACAGAAAATCTCATGGCTTGCGTAGCCAATAGAGAAGGCAATGGCGTAGGGAGGAGAGAATTTGATGACAAGTTTAAAGAAATTAAGAGTAAAATTTATAGATTAAGCTTTTTATTCTGGTAATTGATAGAAAAAGTTCTAATGCCCCCTCTCACTAAGTCCAGACTAGATGTGATAGGATCTAACTGATTGTAGCGAGATGTACTGAACTCAAGCTGTAATTTGATTCAAAAATGGAATGATAGGCGTACGTTTGCGAGTTTTGTTCGAACAATGGCCTAAAATTTTATCGCATCTTACTACATGAATTCTTGAGAAAATTACAGTGGTCCCCAAGTTTTAGTATTTATAACAGCTTGGTCCCAACATTTAAAAAGGAGCAAGTTGGTCCCCAACATTTAAATTTCTTTTCCCTGCTAGTCCCACTAGATAATTTTCGTTAAAAACTCCCTAGCCACCATTACCATCATCAACAAAACAATGATATATTTATGCATAGCAATAGAGCGGAAATGTCAATCTCGATCTCGATGGACCATTTAAGTTTTTTAAAAAAATTAAAAAACTAAAAAGAAATTTCAAACAATGCATCATATTCATATTAAAAGCATTATATTCATGAATAAAAAAGGGGATTAAATGGGGATTAGGGCTGCCGCCGCCTACCCCGTCCAGTTGCTGTTCATTGATTTATTTTTGTTTCCAAGATCTCCATTGATATATTTTTGTTCTTTATTTGTTATTTAAAACTTTATAAAGAATAAAGGGTATAACCATATTTTTTGATAAAAATTAACATTTCAACAGATTCTTTTACTAAAATTATCTACTGGGACTAATGGTGCAAACGAAATTGAAACTTTAGGGACTGATTCTTTTTTAAAGACTAGGATCAAGTTGTTGCATTTACTAGGTGCTGGTGACCAAATCCAATGTTGCCTCATAATCTTACATATATTTTGGTTGAGTGGTGCAACATATAATTCGTGATTATGATGCTGCGGTAAAGACATCTTACATTCTTACTCTACCAAATAGTAGCAGCATGCCTTTAAGAAGGTATTCATATGCATCTAGTGACTATTTTGGTTGCATTTTTGTTTTCATTCTGAAACTTCTTATTATCACTACCATTGCACCATAGTTGATGGTTACAACCCTTCAGAGTTTATGGGAAGTTATTTTCCTCTCCCTCCCAAACTTCAGTGGGGGCTTCCTCATGTCCCTCCATTCCTACAACTGAACACAGTTTAATATCTTGAAATAATCCAACAGGCTCTTATTTAACATTTAATTTTACCACTCTCAAAAAATATTTAATGTTTTTCCCTATCTTTTATTTTCACTAGCTTCCCTCCAAATTATTATATTATTTTTCTCCATTGAAAATTGAAATACTTTGAATACATTTAAGTGTTGAATCTTTAAAATAGAGAGCATCTTATGTTTAAAAAGCCTTTTGAAGTTGCTCTAAAGGATATGGAAGCAAATGTTTACGAGATTTCTCTAGATTTGAGAACCATTAAGTCCATTAGGATTTTAGAATCATTTGTGTAAGTTCAATGGAATATAAATACAGAAAAAAATAAAAGACAATGATTCATTATTTTCTTAGGCAACTGAATATGGTCAGTTTTCATCTTATAAGTTCTGGGTGATATTTCATCTTACAAATTTTATGTTTGTCACCCAAAGAACAAGAAGCACAGGTCCGCAGGGAAAAATTACCAATATCAAGAGGTATGCACTTCTCGAAATTATTTTTGTTAGGAGTATATTATTCAACATAACTCATCAATGCCTCATGCCGCCATATTAACCTAGGATCAACTAAAAGTATCCCTTTTTTTTTTCCATTATATTCTGTCAAGAAAGATTCAACAGTGAAATCACAAGGCTCGGATCATTCTAATGTCTAACACTTGATCAACCTTCACTATATGATGTCATTCTAGTACCTGTAAAAAAGAACAGTCCTTTTTCAGAACAACTTGGCCCTAAGAAGGCTACATTGTCGCCAAATATTGCAAAAGCACATACATACTATATAGCTATAGTAATTTACTTTGTTATCAAGGTCTTAGGTAATCTCCCAAGTTCTTCTTGCAATATATCAGCTATTCTGGACTCTGGGGTTCATGTGATTGCATGCTAAACTGCCATGACATTGAGTACAAACCTTCAAACACGTGCGGTACCCGTGTCAAATTTACCTAATAGATGCTTCAAGACTAATCCTCATTATGTTATTCATGCAACCAGTATCACCCTCATTCAGTATGCTTCACCCACATGCTCCTGAAACTGTACTGTATCCCCATTACCAGTAGACAAGGACCTTCCATCTTCGGGATAAAATTTGCAATGCAATTGCTACCACTTTTAGCTTTCTGTTCAGACAGAAGCATCCCATACCCTTTAATTCATTCTTCTATGCAGCATATATTATTTTTCTCTTTAAGCTAGCATCATTTGTATTATGTCCAATGCACAAATCTCTCCAGTGTGAAACTCGCCAAGATATAATATACTATTTTAGATGACTTGGGATTCAACTTTTTAATTAGTTTGTAAAAGTAAAAAGGGCAAATACTTCCCTATTTCAGAAGCTTGTGCCATTCATAAGAACTGATCTATATTCACATAAAATGAGCAATAAAAGAATAAGCTTGCCATATAAGAAAAGAGGAGAGCATCACGGTGTAGACCTTAGCTTGGCGAAGTTCATATATTTCCAGGAAAAGTTGCTTTCCAAGCTCCTCCAAAGCTTGTATCTCTGCTTCCATGTTTTTGATGTCTTCATAAAGAAAGGAGCAAACACGAACGGATAAAAGGTATTAAACTAAAGGAAAAAAAAAAAGGACCACCATGGTAAACAGAGAGACTATGAAAGCCCATAGGTCTAGATACAGATAACCCACAGACACCCCCAAGATTATTGTGCTGCTTAAGGCTTTCTAGGAGGGAAGATTTGAGTTAAACATGAAAAATGTATATAAGTGAGAAAGGAGTCATACTAACAATAGTGGGCTGGGCAGTTGCGGTGGCTGCATTCCTGAGTGAGAGAGGGAGTATAAAGACAGAGGATTGAATGAGGAGCAGAGAATGGTCTCATGTGAGATTGGCTTAGCAAAAAAATAAATGCATGAGCTTTTAAAGTATAAGTTAGCTAAATGATAAGACAAAAACATGATCCAGGAATCTCATGCGGAAGCATGTGAGCAATTAATCGAAGATGGGAAGAAAGCAATTTACAAGATAAGTCACCGAAGGAAAAAGGGAAGTAGAGAACCAAATCAAGTGTATTAATGGTGAAAACCAAAAAGTTTCATAGTGCTTGTTTCACTGTAAGTTGCTGAAATTATAATATAAAAATGAATTATGGATAAGTGGGTACATGGTAGTAGTTTGGGTCTTACGAAATGTGTGGTTAAAATTAAAGTTCAACTTCGACCTTTAAATTATACGGAGTTTATAATGAAACACAAATAAGCACTTAATACCGAAAGAGGGTGAAGATGATAAAAAAATTGGTCCATATGGAATTCCTATACAAGAATGGAAGTTCGTGGACGAGATGGCTATTTTATATACAATATTGCCCTTGTTTGACACTCATTTTATGAAAGAATTTGATTTGAAATAGTGATTGATGGAAGAATGTGTGGTTAAAAAGTAAGGAAAATTTTTGGGTTTATGTGCAATATTATTTTATTGATAGAATGTGTGGTTGAAATGAAGAAATGGAAAAAATGAGAATGAGAATGAAAAAAAAATGGATGTCAAACAAGGGCATTATTCAATGAGATCTTAAATGTTAAAAGGATGTCATACGAATAGATGAAGAGTGCCATAGTCACACTTACTAGAATAAAGAAAACATTCAAGATTGTATGAATTACAGAATTATCTAACTCATGAGTAAGATTAGGAAATTATGGGAGAGGGTGATTAGGCATATATTAAGGTTTAATTCAAATGTCTTAGATAACCAGTTCAGTTTTGTGACAGAGAGATGTACTATCGAAACTAGGAGATTGATGGAAAGATATAGATAAGGAAACAAGATTTACACATAGCTTTTATTGAAATGCATATAGTAAAATGTTCAGGGACATTTTCTCGTGGGTGCTAGACACAACACACATCAATTAAATATGTATCATTAAGTAGGTGTAGAGAAAGCAACCACGAGTGTTGGACATAACTGCAGTAGGGGTATAGAATTTTGAGCCACTACAAGCCTCCATCAAAGATCTTCTCAAGTTTTCATATTTTAATCATGGATGAGCTTACAAGACATATCTAAGACAATATTCCTTTGTGTATATTATTTCTTCATTAGATAATTTGGGTTGATGCGTGTAGAAGGCGACAAATCACAACTTAAAAGTTTAGAGTACCTTGGAAATCTAAAAAGCTTAGATTAAGTGTTTGTTTGACACAACTTATTTGAATTTTTTTTCTTACTCATTTTTAACCACACATTCTCTCAATAAAATAGTTTTGCGCGTGAAATCCATATTTTTTCCCACTTTTAACCACACATTCTACAATAAATAAATAAATAAATCCACTTCAAATAATTTCTCCCAAACAAACACTAAGCAGAACTAAGAGGGAATAATTAAATGTAATACCCATGGCACAGATAAGGCAATAGTGGAGTCAATTCAGAGGGTCATGTTGTCCTAAAGAGTGATTTTAGATATTCAGGTTCAATTATTAACAAGGAACAAAAACTCGAGTAGAATGTAATGCAAAGGATTATAGCAGTTCGGATGAAGTCGAGAAGTGCAACTAGTATTCAATGTCATAGAAAGGGACAAGATCAAAAGGCGAGTTTTACAAAATGGTTAGTAGACTAATTGTACCTTTATGGTGTTATATTGGTCATTACAGGACAAAAATTTTATGGGTTGAATGAAGTGGAATTAAGTGAATGTGTGGTCATACCATAACGAGTGTGGTAATAAACGCCAACAAGTGAAGAAGGCACTAAATGAATACAAAATAAGAAAGGAACAATTTAGGTTCCAGGGATTGTCTTGTGTAGAGTTAAAGAGGTTCTTGCTCACATGTGTGATCCGATAAAGCAAGTTACTAGATGGAGGTGTAAACCAAAATCAACATGGCCTGATGTCTCCAAAGGATTTAATAGTGTTGAATATTCCAATAGCTAATTGATGGTAAAAAAGAATTCATGTAGCTAAATCTACATTAATTGAAAATATAACTTGGTTTGTTATTGTAGAAAGGCCTTTCTCTTTTCCAAATAAGGAAGTCCTTCCCCGGATTAGTGGAAAACGCAAGCCTGGAGAAGAGTCACTCCAGCTAACAAATAGGGCTCAAATTACAAAAATTCAGAAAACAACAATAGACAGGTGATAGGTAAATCTGATTTGAGGCCACATTAGCAACACAAAAACAGAGAATAGACCGATGAAAAAGACAGTTGCACCATCGCAAGCTTTTCATACATCATCTTTAAAGAATAAAAATAAAAAATTGAACTTCTATGAAGAGGTTATAGCTTAATGTAAAACCAACCTTGTTCCTTTTGGTCGTCTTGAACCGATCGAACAACAGTTCCAACTATCCGTTTTATAAAGGACCTAGCATTTGATTTCTGTCACATAAATTTTTTAGTGAGCAGCAATCAAAGTTAAAAGCTCAGGAAAGAATCTTACAGTGCAAATTTCATTACTTTTTCCCGACTTAATGCAGTTGAAGTTATAATCTCCATTCCAACTAAGATATTGTTGAAAACGAAGTGTACAAGCCAGAAAAAAGGTACCATAGATAGAGTAAGAATCAATATCTCCCAACATGAGATCGAAAAAATTCATTCTGTGAAAATGACACTTGTCAACTTGCACTCAATACTTCTATAAGAGTATCTCAACCATTTTGAACCAAAACCTGACCTATTAGTTTTTTTCCACAAACAAATTACATCTTTATGGATTATTCAACCCCATAACATATCAAGTATGAGAGACTTTTACCTACAACTTTCATTGTTATGCAATCTGATTCTGTTTCATTGTAAGAAATTTCACAAAAAATAAAATAAAAAAATAAGAACTGGTTAACAAATATAGCAAGATAATGAACCTCTTCCGATCCTTGGATTAGCTCCATCTCCATTTGTATAGAATTATCTTGTTTTTCTTTGCAATGCAATTCTCAATGGACTGCATTAGCTGTCTTTCCAGTGCCTTGATTTCTGATTCCTCGATTTCTCTCCAGAATAGAAAAAACGAAATGTCAAAACCAGGAATTGCAGGTAGTCATGAACAACATAGCATTCCACTAATAATTTTCTTTTCTACGAGTAAATGTAAGTTTTTTGGTACAAGGTTAGGCAGTGATCACATAATATTTATAGAACTCAGCAGCACAGTCAGTAGCATTCCTGCAGGCTTAATTTTTTTGCTTAAAGGATAATCAACCAATGGTTCAAAAATCGTTTCTTTTGACCAAAAAATTTCAAAATTCATCAATATTTTAAGCCTTGCATCAACAACGCTGTCTAATAAATCCGCAACTCAAAATTTGAGAATCAATCATGCTAGACAAGTTAGAATTGATACTGCAGTGACATAATTTGATGTTGACTAGCTTCTTAAATAACAAGCTAAGCCTATTTCCAATATTTATATGGTCGATCGACTATATGAATCTGTTTTCCACTATGTTCAGTCCTTTGGTACTTCTATCAGAAGTTTCAATATAATTTTCGCAACCATAATAATGAACAAACCGTATTAGTTTTGGTCTATTTCTCTCTTATGTAACTTGTTCTAATGAGATTGTGCTACCGTTGCGAACAAGAGTTCCTTTATCCATGTTACCTAAGTTGTCATCTCCTTAATTTATTCTCAACTGCCGCCGCCACTATTCGCTAGAATATATTATCATTTCTTATCGTACCCATTTTCATGTAGCCACACATTAATCTTAACATCTTAATTTCCACTAAGTTCAACTCTTGGACATTTTATACTTTTGGAACTCAGCACTCAGTATCATAAAGCTTAGATCTACCATTATCCTTACCGAATGAAGAGAGATAGGTAGCTGTATGGTAAATTCACTGCTCCAAAGTCAGATAGGACAGCCATGACAGTCACACCAATGACCCCAATTCTGCTCACCAACTGAGGTATCGTGAAAAATCCTGAGAAGCCAAAACAAAGTCGTGAAAATGCAGGAAAATAAGGACATAAAATCATATCCAGAGCATGCTCAGGAATATATCATTCCCTTTGCAACATATAAAATTATGCGCAAACCTTTATCTGGAGAAGGCATTGGAAAATGGATCCCCATGCGCCAAAAACCATAGAGAAAAGCCAACAAGAATAAAACAGCACCAAGTGCAGCACTTTCTTTTCTAACACCTGAAATGCCAAAATAAAAAGATGAAAGAAAGAAAGAATAAAAACAACAATAATTACAAGAAATTTACTTTTAAGGAAAATGAAACAGTACAGACTACTACTTTCGTTTCCCAATCTTCAAGTTTTTCGCTCTTAGCAATGTGGATTTCAGAATATTGAAAAAAGTTCAAGATCATCATGAAGTAAAATGATATGGCAGCCTAGAATAAATGTAACTGGTTAGCTACCATTCCACCCCGACCCAATGACAACAAATAAACTATAATGGTAATTACATTTCTAAAATAAAAAATAATATTCACGAGTGGGTACATTTTTCTTTAAAAGAGAGGTGGTGATAATTTACTTACCGCTGTTGCAAAGCATCAAGTAGCAATGATAGTAAGGCAACATGAAGACCAGTAGCATAATCAGACAAAACAAATCCACCTTCCAATTCATCCATCTTGCCCTACAGCCAATAGGAAATGCTGTCACGCTCAAACAACTTATTTGTAGTACCAAAAGCCTCCATAAAACTCAAAACTAAAAAACCTACGGTAGCATCATCATGAAGCCTCTTTTGTAGCATTCAACACAATTTGTAAACTTACCTGACCTTAAATGTGAAACATTAAGCCAACCTAGAAAGAATTCTTTGTAGTGTATAAGTTCAACTAAGTAATCTCGCAAATGTGGGTAGAAAGATGGATGCATCCAGAAGAAAATACATTAATTTAATCCATGAGAACACAATCGTACCACTTAGCCCAAAGCATTGCTTTACCAATGGTGAAGAATCTAGGAAAAACCAGAAAAACTCCTTCAAATATTTGATTCCTGGTTTGATTGGTTTATAGCATTTAAAACTACTGCAATTTTCAGATTGAAGTACCATCAGACAAAAGCAGCCACCTCCCAATTCATCCATCTTGCCCTAAACACTATCACATTAAAACCACTTATATGTAGTACCCTGGAGTATCCACGGAAGTAAAAAAATGATGGTAGTATCATTGTGAAGCCTTTTTTTGTAACATTCAACGCCATTGTAAACAGTATATGTGAAACTCATTCCAGCAACTATTGTTTACAGCACCTGAGTTCAGCTAGTGATCTAGCAAATGTTGGTAGAAAATACATTAATTCAATCCTTAATACATGTAATTTTCAGATTAATGTTTGTCACGGTAGTGGAAATAATGTTATGAATTGCTTACTCTTTGGAGAGAATAGGAATAATCTCGAAGAGCACGAGCTGGAGGTTGCAAGAAAAGGCAAAAACGACACTGAAAATGATCTGAACCAATGCCCGTTTCTCTTCGTACTCTTTGTAAAGCCTCCGGTTCAAGAACCACAGCCCCGCCCATCCAATCAATTTGATCATATTACTCTTATAGTTAATTGAACTCCTCGTTCTTGATTTGCAATTCTTTCGAAGTTTCGTCCTTCATCACTACACTACACTACCGCTGCGTCCATATTTCTTCAGTTGCCAGTAAAGTGGAGGAAGCTCCGGTAACGAGCATTCTCTTCACCCGCACGATTTTGCCTTGCACGATTATGCTTTACTTTGGTCCTTTTTATTTTTCAATTTATATTTGAGGGATTTACTCAGACAGGCCTTAGTTTACAGAAGCATTTTGAAAAGGGCCTAACTTGACCTAACTTAAAAAATTGCATTTTATATCAAATCAATAAATTGCGTGACATATACAATTGAAATTCAGAAATTGTGACACAAATCTATCTCTCACACAAATGAAGTATTATGGCGTATAAAGTGTTTCAATGTCGAGATGACTACAGTGAAAATGAGGAATTGGGGTTGTGATTGGGTACCAAGAAGGAATGCTTATGGCTTGCTAGTAAAATTGGCTTTTCGAGTGGGTTTGGCATTTGCGAAGGAAAAAGGTTTGCAGGTTGCTACTGTTTAGACTTGCATGTGATGCTTTTAAACCTCTCGAATACCACCTACATGTTCCTCACCAAATGCTTCAGTAATTTTTAATGTTATAGTGCTTCTTCAAATAGAGCATGTCTGGTTCCAATTAAATGCCCACTTAAAATCAGAAATATTACCGTTGGAGAAGACATGCGGGTCCCAGCCGTGAGAGAGAGGGTCAACAATTGTAGGCTGCAACGGTTAAAAAATTGATTTTTTCTCCTCCATAAGCGCGCCCAGACAGCCACATAGTAAGGTATGGTTCGTGTTGCTTTATGCATAGGAATCAATCTATTATCTACAAGTGTATTCAATCAAACTTAGAACCTATTTGTTGTTGGGATAAAATTGGAGAATCAAAGAAGATCAATCCAAAACCGAAGGCCACGATTTCTTTAAATTGAATTCGCCGCCTCATCGGAGTGCAAGAGGTTTTGTTCGGTGTTCGATTCCCATGATGCAATCGGCTGTCGGTTCACGCTGCACTACGTTAACCGCTTACGAACTAGCTGTATTTATGTCTCAAAGAAATTTAGCAAAGGAAAACAAGAATAAACAGAGGCGCTGGAAATGAAGGAGGAGGAAGGAAACGGGTTTCGTTTTTTCCTTGTTGTGTTTTCTTTATCCACTCCAACTGAGAGCTCTTCTATTTATACTCATAGAAAATGAGCAATCTCTTTAATGCATTAAGCGAGGAGTTACTTGAATGAGGAGTTAAGCACTGAAGAGATGAAATGGATGAACGGCTGAAACTGAAACTTTCATTGAAACTAATATTTGTAACTGATAGTAACCGATATTTTCATTCAATATTTCCAACATTTGTGTCCAGTTTTTTGTTAAAAATGCATTTTGGAATAAAATTTTAATGGGAAATGTATTTTTAAAAAATAAGGACATTTTTTGAGTTTGCATGTAATATTATTTTATTAAAAAATGTGTAGTTGAAAAAAGAGATAGAAAATATATTTTGAAAATAATGGAATCGCTTAATATAAAAATGTCAGTCTTTGTAGAGTAAAGAGATTTGACAGTTCAATTTTTACAAGAGAGATGAGAGAGATAAATGTGATGGATAATAAATTGTCACATCATCAATGTTTCATTATCATGATGATAAATAACATTACTCTTAATTCAATTACTTAGTTAGGTCATTGTTGGAACCGATAAATAACTACGTTCTATTCACTTTGGGACACAGGTCAATGTTCCAGTCCAATCAATGGACTCGATTCAAACCTTAGACTACGAGTGTAATCCTTTTCAAAAAATTAAAAGAAAAAAACATGGCATGTTTAAGCCTCTTTTTTGTGTAGAATGCATTTTGAAATAGTAGACTGATGAAGAATACGTTGTTAAAAATAAATAATTTTTTTTTTTGAATTACATATAAATATTATTTTATTAGATAACGTATGGTTGAAAAGTAGAGAAAGAAAAATACACTTCGAAAAAAAGGGGGACGAAACAAGAGAAACAAGGGCGATGTTTTACGGAAAAACCCCGCCACGTACAGGTGGGGGTTTCACAATGGCCTGCTAGGCCTCTAACAACATGGGGGCCCCACATGTTTTAAAAAAGAAAAAAAAATCCACCCCCTCGCCCTATGTGTCTGTAAATCACCCACCCCCTTTCGTACCCTAAAGACGGGTGCGGAGGTGTGGGGTTGGAGACGAGTCTATCCGATTTGACTTTGAAATGCTTATGGATTAAGCAGAGTGGACACGAAGGCAGCAGGGGCCACGCGTTCGCTACATATATAAAGTGCCAAAGCATAAAAGCAACTCCCATTCTTACCAAATTCCGAAAGCACCGCTTCTCATCACACCTTGCAAATGAGAGCACGTACAAACACAAGCTTCGTCTTCCTTTGTGTACTTCTGCTGATAGTTTCGAGCCACTCGTTTTCACATTCTAATCCAGATCACAAATTAGGGCTTTGTGGCGAAGAACAAGAGAACAATAACACCATCGAAATGGCAACTCTAGGAGGCTTGCGCGATTCCAGTACCCAGAACAGCCTTGAGATCGATACCCTTGCGCGATTTGCCGTTGATGAGCATAACAAAAAAGAGGTATTTCATTTTTCCTTTCTTTTTAATTATTTTCTTCCTATTTTCCTTCCTTTGTTTTTCTCTCTCCTTTTGTTGTTGTTGATAAATATGCTATGTTATGTGTGCATGTTTGGCTAAAATTTAAAAAAATTACTTTTAACCAAGTATACTCAATTTGTATAAAATTTAAAATAGAAATAATTTTCTTGTGGATCAAATTTGAAAATGATAAATTGCTTATTTTTGAAGGAACTCTTATTTTTTATCTTGAAAATAATTAATGTTTCATTCTAAGTAGTTAAACATACAGTATTCCTCTGTAATTGTGCACTTTGGTGTATGATCTTCTATTACTGGCTTATTGCATTCAGAAGTCCCTCTTTTTCACCTCCTTAACAGGACTTTCATCGCTTTTAATTTATTAAGTCGTTTATTTTATGTTTAGTTGTCATGCTGTTCTTATTATTAATGTTTCGGCCTAAAGTGAGAAGTCAAGTTACTCCACGATTTACTTACTTGAGAATACAACATAACAAAGAAACAATTTTGGATCTCCTCCGGGGGAATCTTTCGTTGTAAAACAATTAACCTGGGACAGAACTATTAATTTGATAAAAAAAAAAGGACAGAACAAACAATCTATCTGCTGTTTTTGGGCTCCACAACATTTTGCAGTCTCTAACATGTTATTAATGCCCATGTCCTTCAGAATGCATTGCTCGAGTTGGCGAGGGTCGTAAAGGCACAAGAACAAGTTGTTGCTGGTACTTTGCATCATCTTACACTTGAGGTCATTGAATCTGGAAAGAAGAAACTTTATGAAGCGAAGGTTTGGGTAAAGCCATGGATGAACTTTAAGGAGCTACAAGAATTCAAGCATGTCGGAGATGTTCCTTCCTTTACCTCCTCTGATCTGGGTGTTAAAAAAGGTAGTTAGCCAACCCCCTTTGTTGCACTTTATCTTAATAGAATCTGTGCGTCAAAATTTCTGTTGTTTGATAATGATACCAGTAGATGAATCATACATGATATCTTCTCCATTAGAAGTTTAAGGCCTTGTACGGGAGGGATTAAAATCAGATTAAAATTGAAAATATAGCCGTTATTGTTGACTTTTATTAGACGAGTGGGGTCCAATAACGACCATATTTTCAATTTTAATTGGCTTTTAATATAGATTATTATAATTCTTGGATCCTTCCCGAACGGGGCCTAAGTATTCTCTGTTTAAACAATTAGATTTCCACAGCTTACAATTATTGAGTGTTTGCCTCAATACTTTGAGGCATTGCAGCAAAAGCTGTGTTCATTTCAGGTAACGTTTTACTTGAGTTGTCTCAAATCTTGACTGAAGTCTGGCTCTGTCCATATTGAGATAGAGAGGTTATAGTTACACTCATGGTTGAGGATGAACTGTGTGGATAAATGCTTTAAAATCAAGTTCGAGTATAAAAATGATTTACCTATTGATGTGGCATCCTTTTTACCCTTTTAATAGCCGAGTATTTTGATTATAGTATGACATCTGTCATTTTATTTATGGTAATACTGGACCGGCTATGCTTATATTATGCTTTCGTTGTGACTGATTGGAGTAAAAATCAGATGAGCAAGGCTCAGGATGGAGATCAGTGCCAGTGCATGATCCTGTTGTTCAGGATGCTGCACATCATGCTGTTAAGACAATCCAGGAGAGATCTAACTCTTTATTTCCTTATGAACTTACAGAGATAGTTCATGCAAAGGCTGAGGTACGTGATTTTCATACTTTGACATATTGGATATTATTTTACAAGGTCTATAAATCCACTTTCAGCACATTAAGTACTTCCTTTTGATATGGGAAATTCTCTTCATCAAGTGTATTCCAAATAAGTAGTCGTCTCTTTACCATGTATTAAATAGGGCTTTGATGTGGACCTTTTGTGTCAGAGCATGGTCCAATACTATCCTCGTAGTGGTTCAAGACTTTGAGTTTCTCTTTATGAATGTTTCATGGTGTTCCTAGTATTATATTCTCCTACATGTTTCAGTTGTGTCATATTCTCCCACCAAAATTCAATATTTTGTAGTTTGTTTGGCTCATCTTGTTTCATAGGATGCGATATGGTATCACACAAATTGTGGGGTCAGCATTTTATAGTCTCCCCATAAACCCCAACCTTCAGTTTTTTTCCTGTTCATATTTTTGGCTGATTTACGGGACATAATTTTCTTATTTGCAAAGTATATGTATATTCTGTTTCTAAATCCTAGAGGGTGTCATTGTTTTCAATCATCCTTCCACTATGTTTTGATATAAGAATCGGAATCAGTTAATTCCAGACTATGTATGAGTTGGTATTAAGTTCAACCAAGCTCAATGTCTAATAATGTTGAGCTTCTTGAATAGGTTATTGAGGAGTCTGCCAAGTTCGATATGCTTCTGAAGGTCAACCGAGGAGGAAAAGAAGAGAAATTCAAGGTCGAGGTGCACAAGAATAAGGAAGGTGGTTTCCACTTGAATCAGATGGAGTCAGATAAAAACTAACAGAAATACCAACTCCTGACCATGAAACTTTTTATGAAGTCAAGTATGATGCTCGTGCTACTAGTGTTTCACTCTATATTAACGTTGGTAAACTCAGACATATTAGTCGGGCTGAACTATGTTCTGTTTTCCTAATCTTTGAACTTTGAACATGTTACAACATGCACGATATTTTACGTTTTCGCTAAATCAGTGTGTTATAGCTATTAGATTCGGAAGGTAATACATCTAATAGCAATGTTTGTCTGTCTGTAAATGGTGTCTAATAAAACAAGTGGTCAGGTTCCCTAATATTGCCTAGTTGTTTGGGTCCAGTTACAGTTATTGGTTCACATAGTAGCTAAATAATCCAAACATTTTACATAAGACAAATATTGTATAATTGTTTGATTTCCCGCATTTTTCTCCATTCCTATGTAAATAACCCAAGATTGATTTACAATCAATAACATCTTGGATATTTCTAGGTGTACATAATTTAGGTTACATAAGAGTATTCATCCCTCACATGGGGGTGGGATCCACGTGAATAAAAAATATTTTCTTTAAGTGGGTCCCACTCCACCCAAATTATGTACCAGGCAATGCCCTAACATCTTCGCTATCGTGACTAACGATAAATTGGTGGATGAACCCTTAGGTTTTCGTTCTGAGAAGGTAGACACTAAATTGTCATTGGGTTCTTTGTGGTGGCCGATTCGCTCTGGTTTTGTATTTAGATATATGTTTATTTTAACATTTTCACTTTTCATATATTGTGTTGGGGTGATTTGAATATAGATAAAACTTCGAAAATATTATTTTGATACGTTACATTTGTTCCCATGGGTTTTTATAATTGCAAAATATCTTATAAATGATCTCAATATCGATATCAAGAAATACATTTCGTAAACCATCAAATTGTCGTGATACACGAAGGTGAAATTGTCAAATTGTTAGCTCAATGATGGCACAGAGGTTTGCCTCGAATCTGAATTAGCTTACCGAAGTGCTTGTGCTGCTGCACACTCAATTTGAAAGGCAATGATTTATATTATAAAGGGTATGGAAATATGATATTACACTCGTGACGTAACATTCTTTGGTCAACTTGACTGTTTTTAAATTGTTTGGACCTCAAAAAGGCAGAGAAAATGGTGAATTTGGTCGACCATAAGCAAAATGGGAGGTTCGATGGTCAAAATATATTTTCATGTGTAATTTAAAGAGGTTAACTTATGTTAGAATTTAGAAATGTTTTGAGGTTTTAGAATGTCGTTGCTTATTTTTTACATAAGCAATGAGATGAACAATAATAATGACTTGACCAAATAGTCATCCATAATCAAACATAGGTATTTGAACCATTCATAAGCCTGACTAGATTCTGATTGTTTGTGGGGGGTGATTTGTCGGTACACCATATTCTGGTCCACCTTCGAGCTCAAGGTATCTCATCAAAGCTCTTGATTGGTGGATCCTAATGGTATTGCATACAACTTTAAGACAGTTTGCCATCAGTGTGATGATTAAATTGGGTTATGAGGTTCAGTGAACACCATGTCGAATCTCCCTACCATTTTTTTCTCTTCCACTTTGGCCAACTTTTTCCATTAGAGATCGAAAGTTATTTTACTTGACGATAAATTTTACGTTTCTTTTGTCATCATGTATTGAGAGTGGAGGTTGACATCGTGCCATTTGTTTTCCGACCATAGCGTTATTTTTTATTCCTAACTTAGCATTTAATTTTCATCATTCTGTGATGAGCTTGCGAATCATTATTATGCCTAGTCAAAAAGTTACATAGGTGATGTAACATCACTCTTTCAAATTTTATGCTGTGTTACTTTTTATAAGTAAACGGAGAACTAATGCTGATTTCCTATTTATAAGCAAGAGCATAAACTTTTTTACTTAAAGCATAAATAGCTTTTACCAAAGGAACAAAACTTTGATAATTAAAAAGTAACTTATTTACTTTTCAGTCATTACTATATGATATAGGAAGACATTAATAATTCTCCACGATGATTATATTCCATTCTCGATAAATTATACGTTCCTACGTACAGCACTATATGATATATCATCTACTACTATAAAGAAGTCAACCCCCATGGGGTCGCCTACCACCATAAGGCCCTCTACGTTCACATAAAACGTCTACCACCACAAGGTCCTCTATATTCACATAGGCCGTCTACCACCATGAGGTCGTCGACCCCTATGAGACCCTTTACGTTCACATAGACCGTCTACCACTATGAGGTGTCAACCTCCATGAGGCCTTCTACGTTCACATATGCCGCCTATCACTATGAGGCTTATGCTACGCTTAACCATACAAATGACAATGAGTTGGCCGGGCCCCGCTCACCGAAAAACGTGGGTACAACCACTTGCTTGAGGAGTGGGGGTCATCCCATCAGAATAAGGTAAGAGCTATTTAATATGCACCCTACGTACAGCACCATATGATGGGTCATCTACTACTATAAAGAAGTCAACCCCCATGGGGCCGCCTACCACCATAAGGCCCTCTACGTTCACATAAAACGTCTACCACCACAAGGTCCTCTATATTCACATAGGCCGTCTACCACTATGAGGTCGTCGACCCCTATGAGACCCTTTACGTTCACATAGACCGTCTACCACTATGAGGTGTCAACCTCCATGAGGCCCTCTACGTTCACATATGCCGCCTATCACTATGAGGCTTATGCTACGCTTAACCATACAAATGACAATGAGTTGGCCGGGCCCCGCTCACCGAAAAACGTGGGTACAACCACTTGCTTGAGGAGTGGGGGTCATCCCATCAGAACTTAACCATACAAATGACAATGAGTTGGACGAAAACCACCCAACAGCGAACGTGGGTACAACCAACCACTTGAAGAGTGGGGGTCACTTTACAAGAACGTGGGGAAAGTGGGGAGGTTTACGTGGGACACGTGGTACCAGCAACTGTCGAAAGTCTAGCAACAGGTGCTTATAAATACATTCAAAGTAAGAAATGTAGTTTCTTCTTGAAGCCCGAACTATTTAAATTCCCATATTCACTCTGCTTACTTCCTAAATTCTGACTATCGATTCTCAGGCCATATGTACAACGGGGGAAAAAATTCCGACCTCATTTTGCAGGTAGCGTATACTGATCGGAGCACTCGGAACACCGCACTCGTTAAGGTGAACACGAAGGATAATCTCTCAACTATTTCACTATAAAACATATTTTTCGGAAAAGAAAATCAGGGGTGTGTTTGATAGATATTATTGAGAAAATAATGTATTTTAAATAATTATATGATGAGAAATATATTGTTAAAAAATAAGAAAAAATTATTGATGTGATGGAAAATATTATTTTATTGAAGAATGTGTGGTTGAAAATGAATTATGAAATAATGTATTTTGAAAGAATGTGTGTCAAATAGGAGCGAGTATTGAATTAAAAATTAAATTAATTTGAATTACTAAGTACAACCAACCACTTGAAGAGTGGGGGTCACTTTACAAGAACGTGGGGAAAGTGGGGAGGTTTACGTGGGACACGTGGTACCAGCAACTGTCGAAAGCCTAGCAACAGGTGCCTATAAATACCTTCAAAGTGAGAAATGTAGTTTCTTTTTGAAGCCCGAACTATTTAAATTCCCATATTCACTCTGCTTACTTCCTAAAATCTGACTATCGATTCTCAGGCCATATGTACAACGGGGGAAAAAATTCCGACCTCATTTTGCAGGTAGCGTATACTGATCGGAGCGCTCGGAACACCGCACTCGTTAAGGTGAACACGAAGGATAATCTCTCGACTATTTCACTATAAAACATATTTTTCGGAAAAGAAAATCAGGGATGTGTTTGATAGATATTATTGAGAAAATAATGTATTTTAAATAGTGATATGATGAGAAATATATTGTTAAAAAATAAGAAAAAATTATTGATGTGATGGAAAATATTATTTTATTGAAGAATGTGTGGTTGAAAATGAATAATGAAATAATGCATTTTGAAAGAATGTGTGTCAAACAGGGGCGAGTATTGAATTTAAAATTAAATTAATTTGAATTACTAAATTGTAACCAATATTTCAATTAATTTTTATTTGGAAAGGAGAATCAAACCCAATTGGTCAAAATATTTTGGTGTATTTAAATGGGAGAGAGCGACTTTAATTGAATAATAACCATAATAAATGGGGGTTAGTATTTGGAAGACTTGGACTATGGATGAGGGTTTATTGTAAGAGGAGCATTTTCTCCCATCCTTTGGCGTTACCTTTCCGCACCCTACTTCGTACATTTCCAGTACCGCCGCCTCCGTCGTCTCATTCACGGCATATTCATTTGCAGTTGCCGGCGGCTGTTTCAGCCTCATCATTGTTTAGGAAAACTAGGATTCGTCTCGTTCTGCGACGCAGTATTAGCTATATCAGTAATAGTAGCAGCAGAGAAGAAGAGTTATTGGAATCAGCGATGGGATCTCATTCGAGTGAATTGGAGTGGCCGGCCAACCGAGTCAGGGGCACTTTCTTCAAATTCTTCGAGGAAAAAGGCCATGTCCACTGGAAATCAAGCCCCGTTGTTCCTCATAGTGATCCTACCCTTCTCTTTGCTAATGCCGGTAAAGTTTTTCCCTTTTACTAATTGCTGAATTCCTTATTTACTTTTCTCTGAAAATTTTTTACTGCTATTGCTGCGTATGTGTGTGTGCGCATGGCAGGTATGAATCAGTTCAAGCCAATTTTCTTGGGTACGGTTGATCCCAGCACTGAGTTAAGCAAACTAACCCGCGCTTGCAATACCCAGAAGTGCATCCGAGCAGGTGGCAAGCACAACGATCTCGACGACGTGGGCAAGGACACTTATCATCATACCTTCTTCGAAATGCTTGGTAATTGGTCATTTGGGGACTATTTTAAGAGTGAGGCAATTCAATGGGCTTGGGAGCTTCTAACTAAGGCAAGTCCCGCGCACTTCTGCTGTACACATGTATACGAACATGCATACATAACTGATTCATTTTGTTTCGTTTTTTATTTTCAACTGTATTATTTCCTTCAGGTGTACAAATTACCTCAGGATAGATTTTATGCCACTTATTTTGGGGGCGATGAGAAACTTGGCCTTCCTGCCGATTCTGAAGCAAGGGATAATTGGCTCAAATTTCTCCCATCTGCTCGTGTTTTGCCTTTTGGTTGTAAAGTACGTTTATTTTCTGTTCTTATCAGTTATTAAAATAAATATTCAGCTGACAGTATTTCAACTGGATTTGGTGATTGGGTCCTGTTTCTGGGCTCTTACATTTAACAGTTACTTTCCCTTTAATGAGAAAATAATTATTACTGAAAAGGCATGTTTTTATCAAGAAATCTTTGAAGTGTTTATTTTATTTTAAGTCCTTACACGACTTCAAATAGGACAACTTTTGGGAGATGGGAGATACTGGGCCTTGTGGACCCTGCACGGAAATTCATTTTGATAGAATTGGTAACCGCGATGCTGCTTCACTGGTAAACTATGACGATCCTACATGCATTGAGATATGGAATCTCGTGTTTATTCAGGTCCATTCTTCACTCTTGTCCTATTGGAGCTCTATGTGTTTATGATTAACAACTTACTGTTTCATTTCTTGCCAATATAAGACGCATAACTTTCTTGATGTCTCTTCCACAGTTTAACAGAGAGGCTGATGGCTCCTTGAAATCTCTACCGGCTAAACATGTTGACACTGGAATGGGTTTTGAAAGATTAACCTCTATTCTTCAGAATAAGATGAGCAACTATGACACCGATGTGTTCTTGCCTATCTTTGAGGCAATAAAACAGGTTAAGTCACAACCAAATTTAATATAAATTTGATAATTTAAATGTCTTTCGCGTGAACAATTACAATTTGAAAGAATTAGAATAAATAAAGACAGATATAGGATAGTGACACTATAAAGTTTGAGCCAGTTTCTAACTGCTCTACATTTAACTTATGTCACTTTGTGGAATTTATATTCTGAGTAGTTTTTAATCTTTTGGCAGGCAACTGGAGCTCAGCCATACTCCGGCAAAGTTGGATCTGACGACATTGACAATGTTGACATGGCATATAGGGTTGTGGCGGACCACATTAGAACACTGTCGTTTGCCATTGCTGATGGCTCTTGCCCAGGTACATTACTAGAATCATTTAGTCATTCTTTTAATACCTAGGTTCTCGTGTCGTCATTAACTTGCATTTTATAGTAGCATATGAACCTGAACTTTGTCAGCTTTGCCAGTGACAACTAACATTGTGTATGTTGACATATTTCTGAATTATTTGGCAAATGTTGATGAACAGCTGCATGTTTATGCTAACTATATGCAGATGTTTAGTTTTGATCACGTAGTTTCTTATAAAGTAAGAAATAGATGATGATTAGTTGCTGATTTGTGCATGAGAATTGTAAGGGAGAATGGGCAAAGGTTGTTTCTGTAAAGACCTTGGCTTCATAGGATGACTGTCAACTCAAGTTCTTTTTAGTCTTTTGGAGGAGTTCATTGTTTTCCAACTCTTGAGATTTTTTGTATGAAATTGCTTATTTTAAGCTTTATCTTCATTCAAATGTTCTATTCTTGGAGGTGAATGAGCTTTACAGTTGAAGAACTCTTACTCACTGTCTGTTCTGTGCAAACACACCCGGACTTTTTACATTTGTTGAATTCATGTATTTATATATAGTACGTGTTTGAGTGTGCCTTACATTTGTGGGTTTGTATAGAGAAAGTTTTGGTACTTTGTTATGTGGCCTCTAGATTTAGGTGTCGTACTTTAGTTGTGTTTGAACAATAATTTTGATTAGCCAATTGGATAATATTTAATAGAACATTGCAGTTTGTTTTTATTACCTATCTATAATCTTCATTTTGGCATTTGAAATGATGTCTTTAGAATACATTCTATTGATTTTTATATTAATCTCTGCTGGTTTGCAGGCAATGAGGGTCGTGAATATGTCCTAAGGCGCATCCTTCGTCGAGCTGTACGATACGGTACCGAGGTTCTGAAAGCAGAACAAGGTTTTTTCAATGGGTATGAATGGAAAACTATGTTTTCTTATTTTTCTGCTATGAAAATTATGGGTTACATGAATTTCGCATGTGATTTTTCAATTCAAATTCTATTCTGTTGAAAATAGGCTTGTAAAAGTTGTGGTGGAAGTGATGGGTGATGTTTTCCCAGAGCTGAAGCAACACGAGATTAAGATAAGGGAAATCATTGCTGATGAAGAGGCCAGCTTTGGAAGGACATTGATTAAAGTATGTGAAATTCCCTTCTCTCTCTTTTATTTTTTTTATTTTTTTGTGTCTTGTCTGTGTAGTAGGGGGCGGAAGGAGGGGGATGGGGGGACGTACAATGTTTGGACTCTTTGTAGAGATTATCATATGCTGGCATTAAGTCCCATTGCTTCCTTCAGCCTTTACATTCATTGGAATTCAATTATGAATAGTGTCTCTTGGGTGAATCACTTTAATTATCATTGTCCAGTAAATTACAATGCTCGAATTACCTTCCTAGTTTTCTCACAGAAGATTGGTTTCTTTAGCGTTCCATTATATAAATGAGGTCCATTCACATGGAAAGTTAAGAATGAGACGAAGAAACAACAGAGGAGCAAAAGTTACTTTAATTATTTTTTAGCCAAGTGATTGACATTTGGAAATAGACTAAACTTTCAACTTTGAGTCTTAAAAGTATAATCAAATCATCCCTTGTGGGTGTCTCACTTTGATAGTTCTGTCTGTTTACTTCCAGGATGTGATAAGCAGTAGTGTTATATAGGTAAGGTCCATTGACATTGAAAGTTAAAATGAGACGAAGAAACTACGGAGGAGCAAAAAATTACTTTCGATTCTATCCAAGTGATTGCCATTTGAAAATAGACTATATGCTGAAGAATGTTATTAGAACACAGACCATATTTTACCGTAGGTAAATGCACCCAAAGTACTCTCTCTATTTAGATTATAAGGTTATAGTATCACCAAACTGCTCCCTTGCACTTCACAGATTAAGTCACTGCTGAAAATGTTTTAACTGTTTCCTAATATATGAATTAGTTTTGCACTGGAAAAATTAATGAGTGAGAAAGGCTACTGTTTAGAGACTAACAAACTGCTTATATTGGTCGACTTCTCCTTCAGGGAATTGAGAAATTTAAGAAAGCTGCTCAAGAGGTTCAAGGGAAGATTCTTAGTGGACAGGCAAGTGTTAATCGTCTTTCGATCCTTGCATCATTGTCATATGCATTATGATTTATCTGTAGTCTATTATTTTGACGATATCAATGTTGACTTTGATTTATTTCATTGTTCATGTAAGCCTTCATTTGCGTAGAATGAATAGTTATAATATACTATGTAGTCAATGGAAAACTATTAATATTTAATGGTTCGATTACACAGACCATTCAGCAGTAGCAAACTTCTGTTCAATTGATCCGTAATCCATCCAGTTAGCTTCTAGTTGCTGTTTAATAGATCAGAACTCTTATCAGATTCCTACTGTCTTTCTGCTCCAGCCATCCCACCTTCGAGAGACTTCCTTGCACCTCTTTTTTTGATCTCCTAATTCTTCCGCATGAAGTTTCTGGACTTTCTAGATTTGAAGCATTTTTTTACAGCCTGTATTTGAACCAGTTTCATTGGTTGTATGTGAAGGGATAAAAAGACTTCCTTTATTTGGTGTGAAATGTGGGAGAGGAGGAAGATAAGAGTGTGAGAAGTATGTAAAGCAAATATGTAAAAGTGTCCTTTTATCATTCCCTCAAACTTTGGAGGGTCTTGAGGTAAAGAGATGAAAATATTAAATTATCTTATTAATATTGAAGACTTTCTTAATCAATATTTATGACTAAGCATATGAGTAAAACTTTGAAGTGCAAGATGGATAACTTTCACCTAGTTCACCACCTTCCCTTCCTATCGCTTAATATTCAGTTTTACCTTTCATGTTAATACATGCGACACTATTAAGCCTATTAAGGGGAGTGACGTATGCCGGAGTTGAGGCGAACTCACAGGCTTCACAGAATGTTGATCAACGGGTGCCATGGCCAAAGGAGAAGGCAGTTGATGTGAGTATTCTTCAATTGTTGAGGCAAACGAGGGCGGAGGCAAGCGAGGGGGGTACACATGGAGGGCCTGGGATATCTGTTGAAATAAGGGNGGATTTTTGGGGGAAGAATTGATTTTGAATAGTGATATGATGGGAAATGTGTGGTTGAAAAAGAAGAAAAAAGTATTGATGTGATGGAAAATATTATTTTATTGAAGAATGTGTGGTTGAAAATGAGAATTGATTTGAGAATTGATTTTGAGAATCAGAAACAAACAACCCCTTGGTTTTAATCCCTACCAAACAGGGGCATAGTATCTTTTTAATGATGTAATAAATGAATTTTGAATAATTGCCTTTTCTGCCTTTTGACAAACTTGTCAAAATTTTATTGCAGATTCTAGATTCTGTGTATACCTATACTCCCTTCTTATTGAACTTTTGAGTGTTTTCACACCCATAATTGTTAAAACCATCCGTAATAGGCTAATTGTTAGTGACAGAATCATTGGGGCTGAATCAGATAGTTTTGGAAGAGACAATTTGGTTTTTCTCCGTTTCTTACTCTGATAGATGATTTGATTGCAGGATGCATTTGATTTATGGGATACTTATGGCTTTCCATTGGACCTAACTCAGGTGAATGCATCATCATTACTTACACGCAAGCATACTATCTTATATGATAGTTTTATTGACATCTCTTTTTGACAGTTGATGGCAGAAGAAAGAGGCCTGGCTGTTGGCATTGAAGGATTCAATATAGCTATGGATAAGGCAAGGGAAAGATCAAGGAGTGCGCAAAATAAGGTAACTGGATTGTGTTTCTTCATTCTTATCTTTTATTTATCAAAGTAACACTCTCAAGTTTATTGGGAATAAGGCTCAGGAGCGACCTGGTGTTATCCCTGATGTATGAAGCTAAAATGATTGGTCCTACAAACTTAAGATGAGACTAATAGGATTGTTTGGATAAGTTTTAAAATTTTACGAATAACTAAATAAGTTTGGGGATAAAGTAGTTTAAAAACAAGCTTGGGTTAGTTTAATTTACTTATAAATCAAGACAAACATGCTCTTAATCTGAGACTGGTGCATGCTAACATTTTTTTGGGTTTGCAAATCTAATTTTCTCAGCAAGCTGGTGGTACTGTTGTCATGGATGCTGATGCTACCGCTACCTTGCACCAGAAAGGCATTGCTCCGACAGACGATTCATTTAAGTTTACTTGGTTTGAGGTTTGTGTATGAATTGTTTGGTGGATTTTTCATGGCTTAGTTATGATGATTTTCTTCTATCTTCTGTAGTATTGTTGTTTTTGAAATTTGAACTTCTATAATTTGGTTTAAGATTCCCAATCTGCCTCAAATGTTTAATGTATTGGTATGGTTTTGTTTATGATTATGCTAGAGGTCTACAAAATGACTTTCGTTCTGTTTTGAAAACTTTTATCTCCCTGTTGCTCGGATACTTGTGTCTTCAATTAGCTCTCCCTTTTGGTACTTTGTCAGGAAAGCCTTATTGCAAAAGTGATTTTAAAGGAAACTAATTCTGGAAACTGCTGGAATTTCTGATTTGTTTCAATGTCATGCTATAAACAGTCATTTATTTCCTTTCAGAAATTTAATAGAAATAGGTAAGGGAACTCAGATGGTAAGTACTCTCTAGTTCTCAGACTTCTTTTCCACCCAATTTCTTTAGCTTCCCTGCGTGTTGTTTGTAACTTGAGGTTGCAAAAAGCCAAAAAAATGAGAACTCACGACAGTGAGCAACTTAGAGATTTTAAGTCCGACTTCATGAAACTTTTGCTTAATTTTGAAAGTGTACCCTGAAACATTATGAATTGAACCATTGAAGGTGGCCAAAACCTCCCCATCATTGTCATTAATTCATTACCGATATAGGTTTAAGATTGTTTGCTGAAGGTTGGGTAACATGTTAGGTTTCAGGTTTTGGCTGGATTCATTTCCTTGCGAGTTTGAAATGGGTATTTAGTCTCAGATGATCATTTAAATGGTTTATATATGAATTTGGTTGATCCAATCACTCAATTCCGATTTGGATAAGAAATAAACTATATAGCTTGTAAATTTGGCCTGCCGATGTGCCTTTTATATGGAGATAAAGTAGAAAAGTCTTTGCACAAAGAAGGGGAACTGTGTTGCTGCCATTTGAGAGAAGTTATTTCAGTTCAATAGAAAAGGATTCGAGCTCGAGATCAGTATTTTTTGGTCATAGGATCCGGAATTGAGTGGCATTTGGTGGTCTGTCAGAAGATTTTGACTGGCGGAGAGTACTGTTTTTCAATCCCTTCGTGAGCTTAGTGATGCCTTTGCTTGAAATTTGTCCAAGTTTTTACTATTATGCTCGACTGATGCCTGAGAATCTTTGAGCCATGTTGTGTACTTTAGGGGAGGGTGCTTTTGGAAGGAAATTATGTAGTTTAGAATAGAGAACTTTGTTTGCGCAATCTCTAGAGGAAACGAGGTCTCTCTGGCAGGGGGAATACCACTCTACTTGTATTCTAAAAGCAATCAAGGAAAGATAGAGGAGATTCTTGTTAACATTTCAGAGGCATCTGGGCCTGCGGCTAAGTAGGAGGCGATAGGTAAATAGGACCTGCTTAGCCTGAAAGAGAACAACTAGCAATAGTTAATGCTGCAAGGGTGGACAGGGTGATAGAGATGCAAACGCAAAACAGTTGAATGTTTGGACTCTGAGAAACTTGTTGGCTCATTAAATTTAGATTTCCTTGTGAGTCCAATGGCTAAAGCAATGAGCTTAATTATGAGTTCAAGATTGGATGGTAGTTGAATAACAAAATTTTGGAACATAACTACGTAGAAGGATTAGGGAAAATGTTCGGTGATGAAAAGAACAGACTTTTTGAAAATAACTGTCAAATCTGGTGGCCTATTTATGGACGTTATAATCTTACCTACATATATAGTTAATTTCTTCTCAAAGACTGTTGTTTCTATCTAAATGATCTTTTTGCTTATATAGTGTCGTATTAATCTACTTGAGATTTTTCTTTGTTGTATGTTCCCGTTCAAATCATTGTCTAAAATTGATTGAAAATCTACTGATGATTTACTTGGCTTATGATCTCAGGATCATGGAAGTGTGGTCAAAGCTGTTTACACAGGAAGTGAGTTCTTGGAAAGTACTATTCCCCATGAGGAAGTTGGCATTGTCCTGGAAACCACAAGTTTTTATGCTGAGCAAGGTGGTCAGGTAATCGTTTGCTTTTGTTTTCAACCTGCAATACATAATCCTGAGTGATTGGTAAATGCTGTATATTTACTATTTAGCATCTAGAAAAAAATGAGCTGTATGGAGGAAATGGATCGGACAATGAAGAAAGTTGCTTGTGTTTGGAAGTTGCATTGTATAGGCATATAAAAAAATTGTTTTTCTTCGTAAGTGAAATGAGTTATGCATCATGATAAATTGTACTGGACAAATTCCTGAACTTCAATAAATTCTTCTTCATCTATAGTATTTGGTCAATGTTTGGGTGTTACCTCCCTTTGATATTTTCGCATGTCAAGTATATTTTAGTAGCAGAGATATTTGACATATAATCTAAGTAGTATGTACTACGGATTTACACTAAAATATCACTCTCTATGTTTGTTTGTGCGTGAGAACATTCCTTTCTTGGAGTAGAGTGCTAGAATTTATTGCTCTTTATCCTTGTAGATATATGATACTGGAGTACTTGATGGCCCCAATGGAGTATTTGAAGTTAGTAATGTTCAAATATATGGTGGATTTGTTGTTCATATTGGTTCTTTCAATGGGAAGACGGGCAGATTATCCGTTGGTGATAAAGTTATTTGTAAGGTGATTTTTCTTTTACACAAAACCTCATTCTTTCATACCTGTTCATTCATTTTTATATGCATATTGGTTGCATTTTCATATCATTGATTCGGTTTTCTTCTGAGCTCAACAGGTCAACTATGAGAGGCGCAAGCTGATAGCTCCAAATCATACATGTACACACATGTTAAATTTTGCTCTAAGGGTAGTGTGATCTTATATGAGATTTTTCTGCTAACTTGCCAGCATCCAATCTTGACGCTCTATTATTTATCTCTGGTTAATATCTGAATGCTTTGAAACAACTGCAGGAAGTACTTGGTAATCATGTTGACCAGAAAGGTTCCATTGTTCTTCCTGAGAAATTGAGATTTGATTTTTCTCATGGTAAGTTTATGTGGTGTTTGTTGAAATAGATTTCAGAAGGCTATTCAAATTCTATTTAAATTTTACAGGGAAGCCTGTAAAGCCTGAGGATCTGAGGAAAATTGAGACAATTGTGAATGAACAAATTAAGGATGAATTGGATGTTTTCTCAAAGGAAACTAAGCTGGCTGATGCAAAGAGGGTCAATGGTCTAAGAGCTGTTTTTGGAGAGGTGATTATATTTTTCTGTTACACTGTATAGTTGTTTTAGACATGGGAGAATTTCACATGATTGTGCTACCTGTAAGCGTTGTTCACCATGGGTTTCTTTTTATTGATATAGGTATATCCTGATCCAGTTAGAGTTGTCTCAATTGGTCGAGAAGTGGAGGATCTCCTTACTAATCCTGAAAATGAAGAATGGTTATCTATCTCTGCAGAGCTCTGTGGCGGTATATATCACTTTGTAAATCAGGTTGCTCTCTGTCGGTGCCTTTATATAGGTAAAGTCATTCATGCACTTGTGCAGGGACCCATATATCAAATACCCGAGAAGCTAAGGCATTTGCTCTCTTGTCTGAGGAAGGAATTGCTAAAGGTATCCGTAGAGTTACTGCAGTTACCACAGACTATGCTTTTAAAGCAATGGAATTGGCATCCTCACTTGAGCAAGAAGTAAATGAAGCATCCAAGACTGAAGGAAGCATTCTGGAGCAGGTTATTTCATTTACATGTCAATCCTTTTTAAGCAACAACTTTTTGTTAGGTAAATATATTGAATTGTTGATGGACACTCTCAATTTTGTTACAATTTTGGACTTAAAAATATGTTTTACTCGCACATCCAGTTTTCTGTGCTAGAATTTTCTTTTGACATGGGGTAGTATCCCCTTCCTCTAGCAATATAATAATTCCAGTCAGTGTTCTTGACATATAGAATTCTTAGTATTTGAAGGTTTTCTTCCACATTCATGCCTTTGCCATACGTTTCTACATGTGAACAGTAAATTATAAAAACATGCATGTGAATATCAACATCATCATTTGCAATATATCATCATAACCACCATCAGATGGCCTGTTAAATTGCTAGTGGAGTTTGTTCCATAATTCTTCTCTTTTCAAATATTTTTTTTAAAAAATATTATGTGCTGATATACTAAGCGAATTTCCTTTCCCTGATTCTAGAAAGTAACTTCTTTAAATAGCCGTGTGGAAGGAGCATCTATTCCATCTGCTAAGAAAGCTGACCTCAAGGGAAAACTCTCTGTGCTTCAGGTACGTTTGAGTTTCTGCACACACAATCTTGTATTTAAGACCTATTTCACTCATATTGGGCACGAGGATAGTGTGTGGGTGTGAATGAAATTTCAAATGTATTCCTTGATAAATTCTAGGATGCTGTGTTTGGTCCAAGAGGGTATCCAAATCCTCCTTTGTATTACGTGTTGGTGTTGTACCCTTTTTCGAAGGGTCATAACTAAATAAAGCATATTGATTTTATGTCATGTTGAGACATGTATCATGTATGGCATTAGCGACCAAAGTGGAGAGACAAAATGGGGTAAATAATAGGGAACTAAAAGATGATAAACTGAAAGAATATTGTGTTTGACAGAGTCAAGTGATAAAAGCCAAAAAGAAGATTGGGGAAGAGAATATACAGAAAGCCATTAAGGTTGCTACTGAAATGGCTGAAGCTGCTTCATCAAATGGAAAGGCATACTGCATTGCACATGTCAGTGTTGGTGCAGATACTTCTGCACTTCGTGAGGCAGTTGTTGACGTCATGGAGAAGAAGGTTATTGAATTTTCTTTACTCATTAAATTTTTTTAGAACCTTGTGTTTAGATGCTAGATTTTCTTCAAAATGCAATTCGCGATTGCTTTGCTTTGGCGAGCAGGGAATGGCAATTATGGTCTTCAGCAAAGATGAAAGTGTGAACAAGGCTTTGGTCTGCGCTGGGGTACCAGAGCAAGGCGGTAAGTACAGCGAGTTAAATGTGAAAGACTGGTTGAAGCAAGCGTTGGACCCCATAAAAGGAAAGGGTGGTGGAGGAAAAGGCGGTCTTGCTCAAGGGCAGGTAACCATCTTGTTATGATTTTCTTGATAATTTTTTCAGTCAGCATTTAGATCTGAAGTTGCATGCATTTTTGTCTAAAATAATTGCACATTTTTATCTAAAATAATTACTCTAAACATAAACCAATACAATTAGCTTAGCTTTCAGAGCACAATTATCTAAAAGTGAGTCTGCTTGCAGAATTAGCATGTGCTTGATTCTAATGATTGCTTGCTAAGATTTTCTCTCCCGTCTTTCAGGGAAGTGAAGTATCTCGCATCCCGAGTGCAATGGATGTGGCAGAATCATTTGCAGCATTGAAGTTGACTTGATAAAGAAGATCTTTCGCTTGAACACAATTTCATACTTCTGATTTATACAAAATTTGCTAATGAATTTTATGAGCGTGTGTAACAGTTCAAACGAGAGGTATGCTCGTGATGTTGCACTTATATCTTTCCCTGCAGTTACAGGAAAAATGAGAAGAACTATGAATTTATGCTGAACGATTCTCAATTTTATGTTTTGTGTGGAGTTCTGAATCCGTTTCAACAAGTAACGTTGTTTGACGGCTATAGCTCAAAACATTTGTTTAGGCAATTTTTCATGTCCATCTCACCATTTTTCTTAGTGGTAAAGAAAAGTATATCTCAAGATTCTCAATTGCAGACATTTATAATGTGGGTGAGGCACAAGCACTCAATATTGGAAGAACTATTTTTTGAAACTCGAAAGCACAACACAGCTCCGAGTACTTTCTGAAATCTATGTAATAAGATAATGAGGACCACTGACACTTGTCTGACCTGTAACATCTGAGTGAAGGCGTTTTAACAACACAACACGTTCCTACTCTAATTCAAAATTCAATAGCGCAGCCTCCATGGTCATGCCTCATGGCTAACACGAAACGTTTTGAAATTAAGTACCATAGGACTCTGAAGAAATATTGGCATTCACGAAATGCATTGGAATCAACAGCTCACAAGCTGAGATTATACCAAAATCCATTTTTCAAGTTTACTACATCCATATTTGTGTTTCTACAGCAAAACGAGTGAACAATGCTAATAGAATTTACAAATTTAATGAAGGTTCAAACATTTCAACTCAAGCATTCAATTCCTCCACTGAGGTTAAGTTCACTTCTATCTTGCATTCAAATCTAACTCACCGGTTCCATGCCACACAGTTTGCATGGCAGTATCTCCATTTTCAGTTTCCTCATCATTCAAGAAATCATCAGATGGCTCCTTATCATCCTTGTGTGCATTGTTACTCCATCCATTCATCATCTCATCATGGTTGGCATCCTGATCCTGATCCTGATCCTGCTCCCCTATCTCATGACCAATTGAAACATTACTGCCTTGAAAGCCAAGTGCGTTTGCTCTCATTGGGGGCGCTCGAGTCATCATCTCAGCATGAGCAGCCATTCGCATATTGGCTTCGTGAGTTTCTTGAGTTGCTTTCTGCCTCGAGTCCATTTCAGCCCTCAATTCAAGCAGTGCTCGTTTCTCCTCTTGCAACAGTAATTGCTCCATCATCAGTTTCTCCTCCGTCCGAAACTCCCCGAGGCCACGCTTGCGGGAAATTATATTAAAGGCGAGGACTTGCTTCTCAAATGTGGCAGTAAACTCTGCAACTTTGGCAGCAATATTGTTGTCCCATTGCTGAGAGCGAGAAAGCATTTGACCTGTCGTGTCAGAATCAAGGATCTTATCATCCTCCTCTGCTTCATAGTCAGCTACCACATGGTAAGGTAATAGCCTACACAATTTACATTAAAATTTAATTCGCTGCACGAGTACACTGTACAAGTTTTAGCGTGCAAAGCATGCTTTTCTAGTCTAAGATTTTCTTTAGTTAGCCAAATTAATTCATGTGAAAGTTGACATTCTCTAAATAAACAAACATGTCACATCAACATAGTAAATTATGTTGGGGTGCCTTGTTCATTAATATATTGTTTATCTATTCACAGGATTCAGGTCAATATACCGAGTGTTCATCTAGGTGATAAATCTGCAAAAGACTAGTAACTGAAACCTATTTACTGCATGCATATAGTATCACACCGAGAGCAAAAACTAGCCACAATCAATATAAAAATAAGAGTTATACGAACTCAGGAATAATTGTTGACCTATGGTTGACTTCATGTTTTGATCATAACAAACAAGTTGATTTTATTTCTAACAACTGAATTCAAGTTTTCATAACTATTGTTACAAAGTTGATCGATTGGGGACAAAAATATCACTACCAAAAGATTCGCATAAGATGATCAATAAAAATCGAGATGAAAACCAAACATTCACGACAAAACACTCGAGACAAAGAATTTCAATAGTCAAACATCGAAGATATTAGATTAAGGTGTTTTGCATTCATGTGTAAAGGTATAACGCTTTAATCTTTAGCAATGAATTATTAAAAGCTCAATGAATAAATTTTTATACACGAGAAAATTATTTCATAAAAACATATGAATAAAAATTATCTTTCAAAAGGTAAGTATTTCAACTTGATATCCAAACTCATTGGATTTTTCTTTCTTAATTGTTTTGAAAAATGTAGGCTTTCGAATGATTTTTTTACTTTATTTTTCAACCTAAGTGATATTGTAATGACTAAGTATTTCAACTTGATATCCAAACTCATTGGATTACAATATCACTTAGGTTGAAAAATAAAGTAAAAAATTCATTCGAAAGCCTACATTTTTCAAAACAATTAAGAAAAAAAAATCCGGAAAAAATCAAGCAGACGTCTAGTCGTCCAAAAGTCACTTTTTTAACAGTTTGAATTCTGACGCACAGCAGCTAACTTAGTTGTCTAGTCAGAATGCGGAGGTCCGGAATAGTTGTCCGGTTAGACTGAATGTGGACGTTTTGCCTCTATAAATACCATTTCACTTTGTATTCATTACAACACTTTTAAGAGCATTTAAGTAAGATATTCTTAAGCTAAATTATATTGTTCTTACATCTTATTTATCTTTATCAAATTATTTATTTTGAAAAACTTTTGATTGAATCGACTTTTGAAAAACATTTTCCTTATCAAAGTTTTTCTCACATAACAATTGATCTTTATGCATTGCTATTCATTAAAGTGTTAGCATATTTCTTTCTTTGTAATTAATTTTATTATATCATTTATTAAGAAAGAAGTTCCAAATTGTAAAATCATCTCTCTTTAAATTTGTGGGTCATATTGAGGTCTCGAAAAGCTCAATATTGTATAAGGATCGATGCTCCTTGTTTGTAAGTCACCGAAAGCATTGTAAGAGTTTTGATTGCACCATAAGTCAATCAAATTTAGTAAAAAGGCTTTGTTCGTGACGGAGAGTATAGTAACGAAAGACGTAGATCATTATTTTGAATCGAACCTCTACAATTACATCGTTTGCACACTATCTTCCCTTTTGCTTATTGCTTTTGTACTTGTGTATTTTTGTTCGATTGACTTATTCATTTTCAATTTGAATCAATTTTTCGAAAAAAGTTTTTAATGACCAATCCACCATCTCTTGGTTAGTTATTCTTGGACCATCAATAACATGCCCTGAATTTCACCAAGGAATCTTAGCAATAACTAATACATAAAGATACAAGCCACCAATAAAAAGACTATTAACACTAATATTGCTAGTTCCACCCTAATAATCAAGAGGACTACAAAATCCTATTATTTGCGTTGCTTGCTTATCAGACGACTTACCAAATTAGAAGAATTTTGATCAATGTATAAAACCCACTTAATTTAGATGTCTAACATTAAATCAAGCTCCAAAAATTGTAACATGATTAAAGAATTGAAACAAGACAACAGCAACACATCAATTAGGTTTTAACAGACTTGACATGCACTTGACTGGCGATGAAAAGCTAAATTGCAGTATACTAACAGACAAATTCGTAGTCAGTATTAGTTGGTAGCAAGGAACAAGTCTATATAGTGTGCAGCACATAGATAATTAAATAACTTGACCGAGAAAAGGAAAGGATATACTGCAATTTGGGAAACAAAATGTTTAGATAGGACTGGCTGTACTGTGGAAAATGCTACCCAAAACCAAACACTTATTTTTCTTGTATATAATTAACAACATGACACAAATTGGTGAATGCTATGTGTTCTGTGAAAACATAACCAACTCGAATCCAGTAACATTAATTATTCACATGTTTTAAGTTCATCACAATCAAATTAAAATTTGGATTTTTTTTTCTAAAGTCAGAAAAGAGTAGCATGTGATTTGAGGACCAAGGTGATAAATAATTAATCTTCTCTGTGGCGGATATCCCTTATAGACTCAGTAAGAACAAGTTCAACTTGAAGGAGCGTGCAAGAACCCATAAGTTCAAGATAAACATTCAAAAACAAAGTACAAATATGAAATGGAAAATATGAGCAAGATTACAATGTTTTCAAGTAGGAAGCACTGGATCAAGAGCATCAACTGAGTTATTAACTAATAAGATAAGTCAAATTTATAAAAAGAAAAATTAATAATGGCACTGATAATCAGGTGAGTCACTGTAAGCAGAAGATAGAAACGCAATTTACATAAATAGAGTGGTTAACAATCAAGGGAATTTAGCTCAGACACCATATTGAAGAAATAAACAATTCCATAGTCGTGGAGACAGAAGAAATATGTTATATACAAGGATGCAACATGGTGTCTGAGGTGATATAGAAACTACGTCTAAGAGATAGAAAATTTGAGGTAAATAAACAATAAAAGAAGATTTGTTATCTGGAAGCTGTAAACTATGCCTCCTTATAAAGCCAAAGCTGATTACTAAATTTTAGCCGTGCTTTCCTGGCCTAATTTTTGGCCAAAATCAAGATAGGTTGAACCAGTAAAGGACAAAAATCTGCTCACCCTTGAGCCCTCCATACAATATTCACACACAAGCACTCCATTTGGCCTCTATATCTTTGTTATTTTTTTAAAATGAATATGTAGAGATGCTTGGAAGTTCTCTCATTACCCTGTTGAATAATGCTATTTATGAACATCGAAGACGTTACATCCCATTATCCCTTACATCTCTCTCTCCTCCCCTCCCATAAGAATTGAACCACCCAATCGCATTATTCCATGTAGATTACCACATCACCCAGGTTCAATGAACTAGCTGGATTTTATTTTCAATTTTTCAAGAAAACATACTTGAATATGGACAGACAATCCGGCACCATATGCTAGGAACTAATTCACATTGAAAAAATAATTACGACAGCAAACTTGAGCTAAAAAGATAACAAACATGCAAAATAGAGCAATGGTAACAGTAAAATAAAGGGTATATATTAAAATTTAGCACCAAAATATGCGATATAACTTAATCCAATTGTATCCAGCAGTAGATAATAAAGGGGAGGAACCTCTCGCAAGCATCTTCGAGGGAAGAGAAAGGGCGCTTGAAGTCAGGATGACAAACCCGCCAGGCGTCCTGGTAAGCCAGCTGCAAAGAGGCCTTGTGCTGCTGTTGCTGGGGATTTTGGGCAGTATTATTATTAGGGTTACTGGAAGTAGGGTTTTGTGGGTGAGGCAAATTGGGGATCGAATTAGCATTAGGGATTTGAGAATGTTGATGTTGTGGTTGAGCAGAGGTATGGGGACGCTGGTGAAGGAGATGGTGCTGAGGTGGGCGCAAATGGGCATCGATGTTGGATGGGAATCGAGAAATGGCGTCCTGCTGCTGCTTCTGGCGCTGAAGCTGTTGCAAGAGAAGGAACTGCTGCTGCTGCTGCGCCATTGCCGCCGCCTTGGCGTCTTCCATTTTCTCTGTAATTGAGTTTATGCTATGGTGGATCCGATCAGAATTTAGGGGATATTGGTGGAAAAAAATAGAACAATATCGTTATTGCAGGAATAATAGTATTGATTTATTTTTATTGTCCATATTCATTAAATTTAGAGTAATAATGAAAATTTTTATTTAAAATATTGAAATTAAAAAAAAAAAAATTTAAAGGGGCTTGGCGGGACCCCCGTCCCCGGCCCAAATCCGTCCGGAGCAAAATTCTCCGCCTCGTTACCCGTTTAAGCGGGTTTTCCCCGCCCCGTCCAGCCCGTTCGAGAAGGAGCCCGCGGATATCGAGTTTGTCGGATTTTTGTACCATCCTTAGATGTGATAGGATATGTCCATTCGATAAGGTCAATAACTATCAAATTAGATCACCAAATTTTAATTTAACTGAATTATTAAATTTCATAACGAATAATTATTTATTTACTTATGTATTATTAATATTATTATTTATTTGACATGGTGCACGTAATATTATAAGTAGGAGCGGACATGGTGCACGTAATCAAATTGAACTTTTCGACTTCTTGAATTCCAACCGAAATGGGTTAGAATATGAGCATAAAATCAAACAAAGTCATTTTTAACAATTTATCAATCTAAATGTCCACTCATATATCCCTAGATGAGAAATTGAATTTCACACTCTCGTTGAGTTGTCAAACTTGTCCACCACGGAATTTGTGAAATTCGAAATTTCTATGAATTGAATTGAAGGAAATCTACCAAATTTGTCTAGACAGATGTATAGACTCTTTCCCGTCGCTACGTGCTAATCATTAGTGAGCCCTACATTCATGTGAGAGGTTGTAAAAATTACAACCTCTTAATCATTGTACAAATAGATTTTTTGAATAGATTTTGTTTTTTATTTGATTTGATATTTAATCAATGTCCCATCCTTGTTGTGTGGTTTAATTAAAAAAGCTCGCCAAATTGAATGATAGGAAACAATTCATTAATACCCTTAAAATTAAATAATTTCGTACTCACTTTTAATTATTTTTTTATTCTGTCCAAAAAAATGGAGAATGCACATTTGCTTGAAACCGTTCCCAAATAACTATCTTACACCTTTGAACACGTATGGAACATTTGATTGTCTCGTTGTCTATCTTGATCAATTGGATCATTTCTTTGTGGACAAATATCAAGTTTTTGTAAATGCGTCTCTGAGTATTACTTGATCATTTCGTCCAAGAAGAAGATTGTTTCTAATTCTAGAGTATATATTTTTTTAAATATCATTAAAAAAATCAGATTGTCTAGCATTCCACCAATTAGTAACCCAAGATATCTAAAATACTACTTGTTATTATTATTATTTAACAATTAATTTTGTGTCACGATGTGTTACATTTTGTAAATTATGTTACACGGATTTAACCACCCTCATTTTTCACAATCGTCGTTGTTGCACCATCACTTGTAACACATTTTGTTAGACAACTTTTGTTGCCGATTTCCATCATCATTTTGGGTGTCTACACCACCTCCACTTGTGCATTCAGTGTTGAATTAAACTTCTTTGTCAAAAAGAAGTTGACGCTCTTTTTGACATATACTCACATGGGAGTGAGATCCATGTGGAACCTATGTGAATAAAGACAAAAAATTCTCCCTTCCCCCTATTGTCAGTATTATGACATCATACGTCGTCGACCCACTACTTATTACATTCATTGCTATACAATAGTCATCGAACCACACCACTTGTGACAATTATTGTTATACTACCACCACAATTAATGTCATTGCCCGTCATAGATACAACCACCATCATTCACCACCACCACCACAAAAAACCATCGCCATCTTGCCACCTTCACTACCACTACAATTCAATGGCCTGCCTCCTCCATAAAAAAACCACTAATATCTCACCAATCTAAAACTCTCAAATAATGAAATCAAAGCAAAAACAAAAGATTCTAACAAGAAAATCAAGTGATTTCAATTTCTTTTCATATATGAAATTGGGTGGTCCGATTTCATATCTAAAATACAAATTCGAAATTAGAACATATTGTGGCCACGAGATCAGGGAGGATGCCACCACTGCTCAAAAGCTCCCAACATCTTTGTCTGCAAGACGGATAGGTTTACTTTGTTAGTTTTTGTCTTGGCCTTTGGTGTTGGTGATTTTTTCGGCAAGATGAAGATGGTAGGGAAGTGGTCGATGGTGGAGAAACAATAGGAATGTTAAGTGTTGCGAGTTACTTTGTCGGCAGCTCAAGCTTAAAGCGAGTTTGGGGTGCAAAAACTTCGTGCTAGCTATTCGTCGGCTCGCATGAGTTGACTTGCGAGTTGAGGCTAGGTTAGTCTACCTATATGTGCAGTTTGCAAATCTTCAAAACTGCATTGGGTTTTGCTATATGTACACTGGTGTACAACCCCTTCACAATGAGATTCACGATTTTTTTATTCCCCTATTGTGAGGAGGCTGTCAACCCCATGTACAACTAGCAAAACTCAACTGCATTTGTCGGCATCCTACATCAGCAGGTTGTCATAAAATCGGCAGCCTTAGGTGATCAATTCAAATTTAAAAACTTGATTTTTTTTTTTTCATATTATTTTTTAGTTCAGGGTCTATAAATAGGGACTAGTGATTAATCAATTTCCGCACATTTCAAAATTTCTACAATCACTAATATATCAATCTCATCTCTTTAGTAGTAATTTAGCAATTAATATATAGATGTTTGCCTGTTTTCAATTCCATCTTTTCGTATACTTATTATTTCTATTAATTGTAGTTTTTATTCCTAAATTTTCTTCTCAATTCATTATAGATTATATTGAATTCATGAACCTGATTAGGATGTCAATCAATTATTTGATAGCTCTAATACTTTCATATACGATTTTTCTTAAGCCTGCAATGTTCCAAATTCAAAAATGTCGATACTAACCGTGTAACGATCCAAATTTTATATTTAAATCGCTCCCAAAAGTTTCATTAAAAAAATGGGAACGTAAAATAAATTTTGTATAAAGTTATGTATTAGGGGTTTATTCAAGGTTATAAAAATTTCTGATTCTTTATTTTATATGAAAATCATAATTAATGCAAATGAATTATCATTGTTACGGGCATGTGTCAGACCCGCCACCTCACCCACCACATGTTAGTAGAGGTGGTCCACACCAAGCCACGCGTCGACCGAGGTGATTGTGCATGGGCCAAGCTGATTGTACATGCCGAGGTGATTACGTGAGAAATGAACTGAACACGCGTCAGACTCATTCGCAATTACACCGTGGATGCAAAGGCCCGCACCCCGCTTTTGCAACGCCTCTCCTGCCTCGTCTCACCCATCAAAGATCTCTTGTACAAAGATCTTTCCAAAGTCAAATCCCTGACTGATGGGACGTGTGGTAGGACCCAAACGGTCAATTCAGCTATCTTTGTCAGAGACATTCAATGTCAGCCAACCTATGGAAGGAATGATTGACACCTAGGATGGGATGAGCCCTGATGATCTGATAACACGCGTCTCCTCATCCAACGGCTCTACTCTTCACATCCTTAGTATAAATATCCTCTCTTTGTATCAGAAGAAGGATTGGAATCAAGATTTTCTCCCAGCACATAAAAAACTTGAGTATTATCCTCTCCCTGAAATATTGGCATTTTTATAACTATCTTTCCTATCAACCACTTCTCGGCGAGGATTCTATCGCCAACGAACCTTTTCCGGTCGAACCATAAACTGATTTGATCGTCGGAGTGCTCGCGACAGCTCCCAACCTCTTCGGGAAAGGTCACAGGTGACTAACAACGTGCTACGTGTGCAGAGAAGAACTGACTCGAAGACATTCTGTTGGCCATGTGTCGGGAGCCATTTTTCGAGTTCAACAATCATCAATGTCTTCCTCAAATAAATCATAAAATTCAATTATGGCATAATTAAATAAATTATTATCCATTTGATTTTATTTGCTATAGGGACTCCTTTAATCAAATGAAAAACATAATTAATGAAGGAAAATTGTCCAATATTTTACTATAAACCTAAATCAATGTATGATTAAATAATCTAAACAGTAATTTGATCCAACACGTAGAGTTCAAAGCATATATGAAGAAGAAATGTATTTAATTTTTGCAGTCACATTTCATTGAATACATCTTATGGATATTTATAGTACATTGCAGATAACTCATTACCAGATTATGTATACAATTCAAAATTCAAAATGCAGATAAATTAATTAACAAATAGGTGATATATTTCCTAACAAATCACAGTTAATATCTCAAGGTCTTTTCAACTCCTCAACAACAATTTATTAAGATTGTTGCTTGATACTTGTTTATTCGATCTCACTTGTAGTTGTTCCAATACGCCCCTCAAACGAAGGGACAGCTCCTGCACATGAAGGTTGTCACGTAGCATACCAAAACGAACTGAAGCTAGCTGTTTTGTTAATAAATCCGCAATTTGATCTTTAGTAGATAAGAATGAAACTTTCAATCTTTTTTGTAAGACCTGATCGCGAACAAAATGAAAGTCAATTTCGATGTGTCTGGTTCGACGTGAAATGCTAGATTTGATGACAGATAAGTTGCTCCAATATTGTCACACCAAAATGTAGGACACGTAGACAATGGCATTCGAATATCACATAAGATTGATTGTAAACATTGAAGCTCTGTTGTTGTGTTTGAGGGTACTCTATACTACTGCAAGCAACAATGAGTTGTTGTTTGTTGCTCCATGAGATCAAGTTTTGCCCATGAAAAATACAATATGCTCCCACACTTCGTCTATCATCGCTGTCACCGGCCCAGTCCGCAACACTAAAACCATGTAAAGAATGAGTTGAATTGTGTGTGTAGCGAAATCCATAATTAACCGTATGCTTCAGGTAGCGGAGTATCCGCTTTACTGCTTACCAATGAGTGTCCTTTGGTTGATGCAAAAACTTGCTAACACGATGCACTGCAAATGGAATATCAGGACGAGTGAACCCCAAATAGTGCAATGCCCCTACTGTGCTCCGATATAATTGAGGATTCTCAAAATCAACCCCTCCAAATTTGGATAGATGACAAGATGTTGACATTGGGGTTATGCAATGTTTGACGTGCTGCAATTTTACCTTTGTTAACAAATCTACAATATATTTTCTCTGAGTCAATAACAAGTCTCTGTCATCTCGAAGTGCCTCTACGCCAAGAAAATAGGATAGATTTCCAAGATCTCTGACGGAAAATTCATGACCAAGCATTGAGATTTGATTATCTATTTCCTTTGAGTTGGAGCCTGTGACAATGATATCATCAACTAGATCAAAATAAATAGTTGAAGGGGATCTCGATGGAGTGTGTAGAGAGAATTGTCAGCCTTGGAACCAAGAAAACCATATTGTTGCAATTTTTCAGTTAGGCGAGAGAACCAAGCCCGTGGTGCCTGACGAAGACCGTATAGGCTTTTCTTCAACCGGCACACGTGTTGGAAAATTAGGATGAATGTAACCCTGTGGTTGATGCATGAAAACATTTTCCTGCAACAAGCCATGTAAAAAGGCATTTTGTATGTCGATTTGGTGAATGCTCCAACTATGAGTGATGACAATTGATAAAATTAGTCTGATTGTACTTGGTTTAACTACTGGACAAAAGGTTTCATTAAAATCAACATATTGTTGTTGATGGTAACCTTTGGCGACGAGGCGTGCTTTAAAGCGGTCAATCTGACCATTTGCTTTCCTTTTAATTCTGTAGACCGATTTGTTTCCCACAAGGTTACAGTTTGACGGTAGAGGAATTAAGTCCCATGTGCCATTACGAAGCAAGGCATCAAATTCTTGATCCATTGCCTCTCGCCATCTAGCATCTTTGGAAGCCTCTGTATAACATGTAGGCTCTATAGTTTCAGAGGTGGACTCAACAAGGAAGCATTTGGGTAGAGGATATTTAATAATGCCAACAAATGGTTGCTTTGGTTTGAGAGAATGAGTTTGAGACCTTGTTACCATACGACGAGGTTTAGCTGATGGTAAAGAGGGGCGGTTGGCAGGATGCTCTTCAACAGTAACTGATGGTTGAATGTCACGATTTGCTGGAACAATATCATTACCTGAGGAAGTCTCTGAAGAGAGAGCTGTGTGGTCATGATTTCCTTCAATTTGCAATGGGTTTGAAGAACACATATCAGCACCTGCAGGATTAGTTGGCACATATAGGGCGTTTATTGTTAAAGACAAGGGCAAAGAAATTAAATTGGGCTGTAATGAAAGTTGATTAATTCAGAGTTGAGCCAAAGAACGTTTGTATTTGAAGTATCTGTTATTCAAGATTTACAAATCTCAGAGATTGGCTACTCACTGAAGTTGACTTTATCGCTAGTGAGGTGCAACTTTGGTTATTCTGTTTACTACTAATATTAATGCTGCACATTTATTCTATTTTATGCTAAAAAAGTCATGCATCGAAAAATAAAAATATTTTGTGCCAACTGCCCTGTTCGGCCTGGCCCAACACGACCATGCCAAGCCTCGCTTTTTCTATAGATTGGTCAACCCACCGAAATACGTGAGCCATGGGTTGAGCCGAGCCTGTCTGTTTTAAGCCACTGCTCAAAATTGCAATGAACTATAGAAAAACAATTACAAACCAGGTAGAAAATGTAGTCATGAAATGCACTTATCACATAAAACAATGCTTTTGTTACACGTTTCAATTTCTCAAGTGCATTTACATTTATATTTTTCAAGATATTTTAGTGAAGCTGTTTAATTATACTGAATACTGTAATTGTAGAGCATAAAAAATCTGAATATGATCTCAAACAATTTTTGATGTCACTGAATTTCTGAATAAATATAGTTGTCTGACGGTGATATCAGCATTTGGTTTAGTAAATTACTGAAAAATCTTACCAAAAAGGTACCCCTGAATATCATTACACATATACAGAGTAATCTCGATGTATTTGATAAACTTATGGGATCTTGAAGTACCTATTTCATTACTCATCAGAAAAAATACATACAGTGAGATTGCTACTTCCCTTTCTTTAAATTTAAAAGTATTATATACACAATGAAATTGGTATACTGTTTAGTCTCAGTCCTCAAAATCAAAATTTAAGCAGCATGGCATCTAATCTTCTCTTCCTTGCAGCGTGTTTTAATTTCTCAAGAGCAACCAATCCCACCTGCCGAACTCTCTCCCTTGACAAACCTATCCTGAATTTCATGAAAAATACAAAAATAAAAATTAACTACATAATTATAATATTATACAAATTTCATTATCAAGTATTGATGGATCAAATGTCATTCGAAAACAGTTGGCCCTCACCTTCTGCTGATATCTTCCCATGTGAGACATTCGTTGTCTAGACCATAGTAAAGACGGATAATCTCTTGCTCCCGCTCCCTTAGAGTTGAACTAAGGAGCTTATCTACTTCATCCTGCAAAACGATATACAAGTATAAGCTCAGGCGATTTACTTTGAAAATGTAACAAGTAACATCACCTGGAATCAAATACTTGGAAAGGCTATAGATAATCACTAAAATGAAGTAAGATATATAATATCCCATATGTAGTTCTTCACTAAAAGTCTCCCCAGGTCGCTTATTCTATTATCAAAAATCAGTTTTGGTAAAGTACCTTAAGAGCCCACTCATCAACTCCATGCCATGGGTGATTCTCTGTGTGAGTATCAGCAATGTACTGCCAAATAAGAAAAGGAACATGTTAGATTATACCAAAATAAAAGATAATGATAAGGTATACTTGATTCATCGGTAGCACTATGTTTCATTACGTCAAACTTGACTGAAACACATTCTTTTCCTTACACTGTGAAGTGTTTCTCCCGGAAGACCATTTAACGAGGGGAATGCTTCCCGGTCGAGCGAGAATACCTTGCTGATAGCCTGGAAATATAAATGTTCAATTATCATTCGGATGAAAAGCATTATCTATCGGACTAATAGACATCCTGAAAGATATTAAGTACCTCAGTGGCATTCCTGACTTTTTTCCGTGACATGTTTAGACATTCAGCAATTCTCTGGAGCATCAAATATAACATGAGAAGTCAAATATAAATTCATAATCAATCACCGGATTAAACAGTTTTATTTTTCAGTTTGAAGGTCTGAGAACATTTTCAAGGAAAAGCGACGAATCAATCTTAAATATAAGAGATTAAATAGACTTACATCAACTGATGGAGTTATTCCTTTCTCTTCCAGTTTGGCCTTTGCATTTCGAATCAAACCTAGTCTTTCGTGTAGATGGGTAGGCAATCTTAAGGTTCTTGAGTTCCTCACTAAAGCTCTTGAAACACCCTGGGAATTAGTGATGGAAATGGTACTGTCAGGCCCTCACAAGTTTACATCATTTTTTCCCGTGTAAGAGGCAAATAAACCAAAAATATTTACATCACCATCGGGGAAACTAATATTATTACTGTCAATGAAAGTGGCTATGAGATTAACAGACTGGACTCTCATTCTTAAACCACACAGCCCTTGTTTGAGCCCCATTTTTTTGGGTTAATGGATTTTGGAATATTATTTTTTGGAGAATGTGTGATTAAAAAGTAGGTAAAAGTTTTGGTTTTACTTGTAAAATTATTTTATTGGGAGAAAGTATGGTTGAAAATGAGTTTTGGGAAAATGGGACTCAAACAAGGGCTTAATAGTATCAGTAATTTCTGTATAACCTCAAGTTCTTCCAAAACACAAGTCAAATTAGATATTTAGACATCTCCAAAACTTTATAGTAATCTACTTGTTGATAAATATAAAACAAAGAAGATTTTGACTAGTGTAAGTTAGCTAAACCAGAAGCCATCAAATGAGGTAGAGTGAAGCCATAAATTAAGAAAGAGAGAGGACAACCCAGATGGTTGGGACATATCTTGCATAACCATAAAACATTTCTCTTTTACGAAAGCGATGCAATCCTAGTAAAACACGCTAGACAAGGGAGAAATAACCAATATTTAAAAGGGTCTGGTCAAATGGAGTGGTGAAGAATGATTTGTCTACTTGACAAAAATATATTTGAATTAAAGCTGCACTTGTTGTTATTGCAAGAAACTAGTAGATTTTTCCTAACTACAGATTATTTTTATTTCCTTCATCTAGTAAGCTTGTAGGATGTCATTTTCTTTCATAATTCAGAAAACCTATCTGTTATTTCTACGTTTGTTGATGGAAAATGGAAAGAATTCCCTCAAGATATATATTATGCAAAGATCTAAGACAAACACTGCAGCATACTCATTTATGGCCCTCACCTGTCGAATCCACCAATAAACATAAGTTGAGATCTTATATCCCTTTGAAGAATCAAATTTCTCAATACCTCGGAGTAATCCAATCAAACCGCCCTGCAAAAAAAAACCAAAGAATCCCTATATTTCTGCTGCTTACAAAAGAAAATGCACGAGACTTTTATAGGTAAGAAAATGGCGGAGAACATAATTCACCTGAATAAGGTCTGCCATTTCAGCACCCATGTTATCATATCTTTGAGCAATAGACATGACAAGACGAATGTTACTCATTGTCAGCTTCTCTCTTGCCAATGAGCACTCTAAGAATTCTGACTGTAATTCAGCCCGACTAATCCTCAGGGAAGTTGCTAGTTGCTCATCCGAGGGATCACATCCCAATCTCTCTTTCAGTCTGCAAGTTCAATGTCAGTAAAACCAAGTGAAACACATTTGCAGTAAATAGAAATAACAAATAACTCAACCATTAATAGGCAACTGAAACTAGTTGGTTCGGACACTAAATGGTAACCTAATCTAACAATTTAGATGAGGGTATTCCTCTTCCTAAGGAACTAATTCAACATCCAAGTACCATTCAATTGAGGGATTCTTCAATTACCTTGATTTGTGCTCTTCCAATAACAGACCAGCTTTAATTTTTTTGGATAGTTGAACTACTTCCACATGGGTGAGTAATTCTTCACTTACAACACCCTTTACATAGCCTTTCGTACGATTCTGATGAAGCTCTGGGTTGATAACCGACCTTAACTGCTTGCTTTTACCAATTTGTGAAGCAGTCGAACTTTTCCTGAAGATAAGTTTTCTTCGAGTATCAATTCTCCTCCGTCTAGCAGATGTCCCGGAACCAGTAACCTGCACTTTCTTCCGGCCTTTCTCCCTCGGCATGTCAGTTATTTCAGGCGAAAGATTCCATTGCTTTTCAAGCATAGACTTCTGCAGTAAAAGGAGAGCATCCACCAAGTAATCAGGGTCAGAGGTTTCTTCTCCCTGAGGCAGTGGCTCCTCCACAGTATAAGGATTGGAGGCAGCGTCTACATGCTCTTTAACTGCCCTGATAGATTGTGGATGTAGATTCGAAAGAAAAGTTGGGCCATAATTTGATGACTTCTTAGCAGTAATCACATTCTTTGTTGAAGGAACAACCTGATGCTGATAATTGGTGCCGGCAAGCTTTTCAACGAAATCAGAGTAATAGAAGTTAGAACTGAGGAGCCTTTTACCAGTGCTAAGTCCAATTACTGCAGTAGTGGCCATCATCAGGCTTCCCTTTCCTGATCAAATCACAATGTTTATATCATATAAATTGGATTCAATTGTGTCGGTTTCTCCTTTCTTGATAACTCAGCGCTACGATTCTGTTTCACATTCATAACTACAAATCAAATGTCACAAATGAATTGGATTCAAAAGCTCGAAACCAAGAAAAAATGGGCGATACTTACAATGAAATCAAGAAAAATTCAGTCTTGAAACAATCGACGGTCAACTATAACAAAACCAGGTCATCATATTTTATATATAGTATATTACATACATTCTAACAACTGAAAAGGGATTCGGATGAAGAAGAATGGGACATGCTGCTTACCTCTCTTGTGCAAAGAAGCAGGTTGGGTTTGTTGGGTTTATGTCACAGCTGAAATCATCCAATTTTTCTTCGTACTTTTTTGATCTTTTTTCAATTTAATTTGTTTTATTATGCTATATAATTTGAGTAGAGTAAAGAAATAAAAAAAACAAGTGGAGGATAATATAGTTGAGCAGTGAAGATATGGGAGGGACACAGAAACAATAGTGATTGGTTAATTTTAGATATTGTGTTACTTCTTGTGGTGCACACACTTCCAAGTTTCCCGATAGAATTTATATCTCATGTCATGTTTCTACAAAGTTCCGCTCGATAAAATTTTCACGATTATCTCAAGACGAGGTTACTATTTAATACTGATTAACAAATAAAAAGACGTCAATACACTTTAAGAGAAACTACATCGAGAAATATGACCCATTCTCTTGCTTTATGTCGTTAGATCTTTGAAATGTTTGTTTTGTTAGCCTAGTATGTTCGGAGTAATTGTACTCCAATTTTAATCTATTCATATTTATTTATCCGATAAAAAAAAAAAAAGAACTGATGAGTCGAAATGTCAAAAAATTAGGAAAAGAATGGCACACCTGAACTAAATTAAATTGGTTACTTTCAAATTGCACATGTTGAGATTTTGATGAATTTAATGTAAATTATTAAGTAACTCATACAAAATAGAGTACATTGGGAATTATATAGCTCTTGGATATGGAATATGGACCTCTTAGGCCTGTTTGATGTGTAAAAATTTTTAAGAAAGTTGAAAAATATTTTCCATTTTCCACCTTTTCGACTGTTTGATAGCCAAAATTTTCTAGACAATTGATTTTCCAACTTCAACTCATGTGACACCATTTTTCACATTTTCCTTGAATTTGCTTTCCTATGATTTTGGTGATTTTTGGTTTTCCAATTTTTTTCTTGTAATGAAAACAAATTATATCCCCAATTGTAAAAAAAAATCCTTTTAACGGACAATTTTCATGTAATACAAAGTCAAACGAATACCAAAAGATCCAAAATTTCAATATTTTTCCCGTAAAAAATTATACTAATCAAACACAATTAATTGACAATTCCAAAAAAAATAAAAATAAAAAAACAATTCTAGAAAATTCAATCCCCTCGAATTCATTTTCTTTCCACCAAAATCTTACTCTTACAATCAAACGGCCCCTTTGTGTAATACTTGGATCTGAATATTCTTTTTTATCATAATGCTATAAAATAACATGACTATTATCCTTTTGGAGAATGTATAATTAAAAATAATAAAAGATTTTAAATTTACATGCAATATTATTTGTGTAAAATAATTTTTGAAAAATGGACTCTTAAGATGACTAATGAATAAAAGCCATTTATTGGCATGTGTAGGTGAATCAAGACAATAGTATCTATTCAATTTCAAATAATTGGAAATGAGATTTTTTTTTCATCAATAAGCAATAAACTCGATCTCGATAGCCCTAACTAATGTCACTAAATACAAAAGAAAAATGAAAACTAAAAAGTTGCCAACAATTTCCAAGAAAAAAGAAAAGGAGACAATCTATTAAGTTAGAAGTAATGTTTCCAACAATTTTGATATGCTAACATCAAAAATGAGGTTTTGAGAGCATGCAATGTAGTAGGATAAATATTATATTATTGTCTTTTTGAGGCAAAATAAATGAACATGGTTCCCGAGCCCATACGAGACGTGAAACGAATTGGTATATATATAGGTCATCAATTCTCAACACGCGCACTCACACACGCACACACTACTAAGCCCTTGCATCTTGAAAGAAGCTACTCTTCGACATTAAGTAGTTCTTCCATACTCTTTTCTTCCATGAGAATGGGAAGCTGATGGAATATTGGAGACCGGGTAATTGCCTCTACGTCCTACAACACAATGCCACCCAATGTGAGATCCAACAAGCATATATATATGTGTGTGTGTGTGTTTATATATAGAGATACAGATAGGTTCGCCTAAATACCCCATTGCAAGCCACTGCCACGAGGAGAATGAGGAGCCCCGGAATTATAGCTTGATTGAGGTGGCTGGACGTTAAAATTATTCCATTCACTGCCACGGAAACCAGTGGATCTCCCTTGGTTATGTCGCTGATTAGATGGCTGGCCCAAACGGCTAGGAGAATTTTGTGGAGTAAAATGGGACTGCTTCGTCGTGTGGTGGGCATAGCCACCATGCATATCGTGATTTCCAGAAGTGCTACCTACGTTGCCAAGTGAAAATGCCTGAACACTGGGCCCACTTGGCCTGAATTATGCAACAAACAATACGACAAAATTAATATAGATCTCCATTATTAAGAGACAAAAGGGAAAAAAGGTGAAAGGCTCTTCTACTAAATAATCTATTGACAACCCACCTTGCAAAACTAAACATATGCATGCAACAACAGAGAGCTAACGCTACTCACAATAAATTAGGGCTCCAGTTTGTGATATTTAGGATATGCATATGAATGAAAAAATCAGCTACTTCAGTTAGGGTTATATAAGGAGTGCGAGCAAACTTAAGTGCCAAGACATGACTTGCCTTTTACATTATGATTGCAAGTTCACCCACTTAACAGACAGATGACAGTAAGCTAACTGTAGAGTGGAAAGGATTAACTAAATGTATATGTAGGGCAGTAGGGATAGACATGCAAAGACTGCGTGTAATACAGAAACTTGAAATCTATAAAACTCACCTTTGCATTGGAAAACTTGGATCTGTGAAGCGGTTGAATCTTGAGACTCCGATTTGTGGTTCTGTAGAAACTAGAGGCTGACCAAGATGCATCTCCTTGAATTCTGTCGTCATGCCGTTCACATCCGAGCTATCCTCTTGCAAAAGTAGTTCTTCACTGAACAAAAACCAATCAACATAAAACAAGTTATACATACAACAAATGTCTAGCGGTTAGTCATTATCAAGCCTTTGCAAAGCAAGCAGAGTGCAACGTGCCAAATGGGACCAAATTTATTATATACCAAAGAACATTCTATGTTGAAAAATACTAGAAATAAGTAGTAGATAAAGTAAATAGAAAGAGGGTGATAATATTATTATCAAGTGTTAAATAGGAAGGTCCACCCATAGAGAACCATTTTAGAACAGAAAAAAAGGCTAGTAGACAGTTCAAATTGCTAGATAGTACTGCAATGAGTGTGTAGGGGTCAAATGTTCCCAACTCTACCGTGATGGAGACTAATTCGGATTGACTTGGTTTTAGTTTTTATAGAATGAGAGATTCAAAACTCGTTTATCACCGTGAGATCAGCAAGGGTCAATGAGTAGCTTCCTAACTGGTTGAAAGGGAAGAGACGGGGGCCAGCAAGGAGAGAGAATGTTGGTAGCAGTGAAATCCCTCAGAGTATATACAAGGGTAGAATATGTTGTTTGGTGCTCATGATTGGTTCTCATGGTTGTTGGATTATGTTATGAACCATCTCACCTAAAAACTTAAAACTACTAAAGAGGACAAATTTATTTTAAGTCGACTTCAACACATCCCCTCACATCAAACACGTGCACACTTCTCATAAATAGGCGGCGCAAAGGCTTAGCTTGATCCCAAGACCTTTGACTACTCGAATCCATGTTAAACCATCTCGTCTAAATCTAAGAGTATAACCTGTTAGAGAAGACAAATTTAATTATTTAAATTTTGCCTTCAACGTATTCTAGCTATTGGGGCCCTAGATGATTGTGTTAGTAAGAGAGGAGGCTAGGGTGATTCGGAACTTTTATGTTTAATGCACATAAGGCAGAAATTCTTCGAGTTTAGAATAAAAGCATTATGATTTCCATTGCAAGTTACGACACTTGGATCTGACATCAAAAGCATAAGCTTTAGGTTTGGAGTTCATTTAGACTTTGACTTTCCAACTTGAACATCTAACTTTTGAGATATGACTTTCCCAAAATCTATAACAATGATACCGAAGTAGGTCACGGTGTCTCCTGGTTGCAATCGCACGACGGTGGGTGTGACGTTGACATAGCAACGTTAGTCCGTGACTTGTAGTGACTAGTGCAAAGCCTGCCATCGCGGCCATGGGACTGGAGGAGCATAGTAGATTGTCATGGTTCCAATTGCAAGGTGTGGGACTTGGATCCACGTCGAAAATATGGGATTTGGGTGTTGGGTTTATATAAACTTGGGTTCTTCAAATACAATAGCTCACTTCTATGTATGGCTAGTTTATAACAATTGTCATAGTTTCCATTGCAAAGTACACGACTTAGATCCTACATTGAAAGTACGGACTTTGGGAGTGAAGGTTATATAGACTTGGTTCTCCAACTTCAAGAGCTAGCTTTTGAGATATAGCTCTCCCAATATCTATAACAAAAGGTCATTGACGAAGAATAGCTTATTCTCCATAGAATTGAGAACTCTAGCTTCACCCCATCTAATTCTGGTATCTAGTACATGACAAGTTTTAATAGGAAATGCAATGGCCTGGTCATTTCCTTGAACGCCTGCAAGGTGGAAATTTCATGGATGGATGGATGGAATGAAAGAGAACAAAATCAGAACTGTGCATTATAGAGGGATAAATTTGATGCCTCCGGCAATAGTGACAACAAAATAGAAATAAATTCCCTAATGAAAGTCACACCTCCTCTCTCTAACCAGTAAAATAGCACCCACCAGAATGGGTATAGAAAATAACAGCAAACAGTTTTGCAAGAATATTTTTCTGCACCCCACTACCAGCATGCCTCCGTATTTTTTACCCTTAAGGCCATAGCACTGCACCTTCATAATCAAGTTCAGATCTATAATTTTTCATTCCATGAAATTAACATCTCACTTAATCTTAATAAGATGGCAAAACACTAATGCTTCAAGAACTTGGAAACAGCATTCACCTACAGCATCCATATTGTAGTATAAAAATGTGAGGTTGGTATTTTATCATATATTAGGAATTATGCCCAACAATGTTTATACATATTAAGTCAATATAAACCAGTATAATGTAGAAATATATCTTGAAATTATAGACCTAAACAAAATAACCACCAGTGTCTACTTAATAGATGTATAGAGGTCTAACAGAAGTTCTGAAAGAAATCTAGTTAGATTAAAAGCATGCCCAACAATTGTTTATACGTATTAAGTCAATATAAACCAGTATAATGTAGAAATATATCTTGAAAGTATAGACCTAAACAAAATTGCCACCGGTGTCTAATTAATAGATGTATATATGTCTAACAGAAGTTCTAAAAGAAATCTAGTTAGATAAAGGTACTCACAAACTTATATAACAACTGCAAAACCTAGACTTATACCTGTAATTGGGATCCCAATCTCCTGGATCAGGTAATGAGGTACTAGCTTCAGACCTGTCATTTCCACACCCTTTGGCAGGTGGCATATGGGCACCAAGTGTTGACGAATTCACAATACTGTGAGAAGAGTAACCAGGGATTATACTACTGCCTCCTTGTTGTAGCCTCCAGGTTGCTGTATTTGAATTAGGCTGTAAATGTGATGGAACACTGAAGGCATGAGAGTTTCCCTCAGCATGGCTAGAGACAGTAGTATCTGAAATGCGCCCTTGGCAGCTAGAAGATGATATATTATCTTGAGATTGTACACTCCCAGGATATGCCCAGTTCTTTCTTCTATTATAATGACTACCTGCTGCAACTTTTCTCAAAGGCGATCCATGACAATTGCCTCTTACAGGGGAAGTAGGACCATAATGTCCAGGTGAACCAGCAGAAATCTGACAATATGAGCTAGGAGGAGTAAATTGTGAAGGACTAGAGCCAAGGGACATGGGTACAAAATTTCCAGGGCTGAAACCAACCCCATTCCCATGTGGTAAATGCATGATCCGTCTCGCATCAGGACTACTTCCTAGAATTGACGCGCCATTTTGTGCATAGATATTCATTCCTGATGGACCCACTGGAGAATAAAATGCAGGCAAATCACTATTATCACCATAGCTCCCATAACTGCTTCCTAGCCCCATGCCATCATTGTAGCTACCATGGCTTCCCAGACTACCATAACTACCTGCATGCACATATGACATGACTTGATAATGCGGGCTGTTTGGCATCATAACTTGGTTCCTGCCTGAAATCTACATAATGAGGTACAGCAAGAAGATTACTCAAGTGTTAACAACGTCCATGTAAATGAAACAGAAGAATATCAAGAAAGTAGCTTGCTCACATTAGGGGAGAGACCAGCAGCAAACCAATGCCCACCAGCTGGATGATGGTCCACCTTGACATTTTGAGAGACAGGCTAAAAAAGAGAGTACAAATAAGGAAACATTCGATGGAAGCAATACAAAGGAAGGTCAAAAGCACCTATTTCTGAAACTAGTCATGAACGCGTCTTTTAGTGCATTAACATGCCATTGTGTATATCAAATGGAACCAACAGAAGTCGAATTTTTCACCCTTCTGTAGGTATAATCTTATTAATAAGTAAAGGTAAATTTACAATTTCAGCAGCTCTTGTTTCTCACAACCACAAGAATTACAAGATAAATTAGGAACTAAAAAGGAAGGAAAGAATAGCAGTGTCATAGAGTAACTACGTGAGAAGTCAATCAAAGAAAGTATTACTCACCACACGAGGAGTCTCTGGAGCAGGTTTATAAGGACTTGTAAAAGGTTCTCCAGTCACGAAAGGATGTTTTGAAGCCTGCAGATCAAAAACTAGAATAATCATATCTTATGCAACAAGATCATTAGTCACTTTAAATGTAAAATTTGTTCCACTTCAAAATTGAGGAAGACTACCAAACTGCCTTTTTTAAGTAAAAATAGTTTCTAAGGAGAAACCTGTTAAAAGACTGGAAACCTTTACCAAAGTTAGGTATTCAAACAAATATATAAAAATATCAGAAGTTAAACAAACATCACATTTCACGTTTTGGAGGTTATGAATTGCATGCGCCTGGCCAAGTAGCCAGAAAAATATGAAAAACGATATAAGCATCTGTACAACCCTTCTATAACTTTTGACAGTTTTGCCATGGAAAGTTTTTTAACAAAATAGACGTGGCAACGGGGCTCTTGTCTACATTTGAACCAGCCTAACGATATGGTCCTGGAAGGGAACTAAAGCAAACATGTCTATTCTTAAAGGTAAAATTTACTTCCCTCTTGGAAATTTATTTTTCAGGAGTAGATCAGAGAGCTTTGAGGATTAGAAACTTTGTGGTTTTATAGTATCTTCTGCTATCTCTTAGCAGCTCTGAACTATATATCTTCTTATATAGATACACCCTCCGGATGCCTCACAAATATTATCCATTACATTACTTATCAAACATAGCAAGCCCATTAGTCACAAGTAGCTGGTTCACTATTCTCATGAAGAATATAAAGTCACCCTGACCACTGCACAAACTTAAACCAACATATATGCAAGAAAATTATTAATAGAGCAATGATATTAAAAAGGTAAGCCCGTCATGTATAGTCTTCTATCTTTTGAATTACAAAGTGAAAGAAGCAAATATTTATAAGGTTACATATAACCAATATATGAAAGTTGAATCTACCTACCATAATCTTCCACATGGATTCAGCTACAATAATTTGACATACAAAGACAAACCCTCCTTGTGTAGGATTTGATAACAAGTAAAGTCAAATCCTCCAATAGTGTTCTATACGTTGGGGCAGTGGGCAATGAGGTTTTCTTGATCGTTTTTATTTTCTCAGTCACATGCACTCGCACAATTTCATGAGTATGTGAAGCCTTATTTTGTCGGTCCATTCTATCTTGGATATTAATTGTATATCTTTGCATCACAAAACCTTCTTTATGGTATAGGATATATTAAAATGAGCTCTACTGCTGTGTGTTCAATCTTTAAAATTTTCTATCATTTCCAAGAAAGATTTCTCATAATTAGAAAGGGGGCACTCAATACTAAAAAACTTCAGTACAAGATGATTTATGGACCAATCAATATATTGAATAATAATAATCCACCATCACATCATAATCCAAAATTAGTTTTATTACTTCGACAGGTGGAAAGTGTTCAATAACCTGCAATGGTGACCACCGTTTTGCTGGATCAAACTCAACAAGCCCCCTTAAGAAATCAATCAGAGCTAATCGTATTTGACTTTCTGAAAATTTGTCATAAACTTTATTGTCAGTAATCCTTTTTTCGAAAAATGAACTAACATTTTCAACACAATAGCGTTATGGTCTTGAGCGTCTTCTTTTTTCAAGAAATATGAAATCTGACCTTTAACAATATCTTCCTCTGCCAAATTCTTCCTATAAGGGTACTTTGTGACAACAGCTTCAAGGTTCATGTTATTAAAGTACTCCTTCCCAATCGATGGTTTTTTTGACTCCCTCTGAAATAGACAGCAAGACAAGATAAGAAGAAAGAAGTAAACAACTATATAGACCCTAATGCAGCAGTCAAGAAATAACAACTTTGAGTATCAGAATTAAGGATAAAGTTGGTGACAACAACTTTAGGAAAACACAAGGAATTGAGCCTGTGCAGAGAGAAGACCAGTCAACTGAATTACCTGCACAGGGAAGTTGCTGCGTACATGGGGCATCAGTATTCGAACTTGTGGCTCAATATGATTTAATATTTGTTCAATTGGAGTATATATAGGAGGAGAAGAAAAGAAAAACTACAAAATTTCCAGGATGCCTTATTTTTCATATTTTGGATCTTGAGGGAAGACACAATTGTGCTCTTCGCGGGAACAAGCCTTTCTGTAAATGAAGATCATCCTGACAGTTGTTCAAGGTATAGAAATTTCTCTTTTGCACATAAGTGGTGTAACTTTGTACCATATTTATGAGGAAATGATTAAATCTCAAAAGATAGGAACTTGATTATATACAAAAAACTGAATAAACAAAGTATTGATACACGTGATTTGAGATACATAGTATGTGTTGCACGGATACTTTAACTAATATAGCATGTCCGTGTCCGACACATCGGATACCGACACTCCTTGGACACTCTACCATGATCATTTTTCTTTTTTATTAGAAATATTATATATTTTTAACTCAAATTAATTAGTAAATAACAAATAGGCATTCATATTTAATAAATTTCAGCAAGAAAAATTAATAAAAAATATAAAACTAAATTTATACTATATAAATAAAAAAAATTTAAAAAAATTAATTAACGTGTCGTATCAGTACATTTTAAAAAATCGCATGTCAACATATCCGACAAGTGTCGTATCGGACATGTGTGTCCATGTATCATAGCATAAAGTTACTGAACTGCATGAATATGGTGAGAAAACATCAAAATCTCTCGATCTACCATACTTGTCATGTACTCAATTACACAAAAGCACTTCAATTCAAAGTTTAAGGGAAGTACTCACAGCTTCATATTCTTCTTCTGCCAAAACTTGGTACATTCTACTACTAGTAGTAGGAATTTGGCCACTCTCTTCATGCTTGATGCTCCCTACGAATTTAAAGAATTTGCTAGTGTTTTTGGCCTTCCGTAGTATACTGTCAGGAGGTTGGCCCCTACAAATTTCAAGTATGACCAAGCCATTAAAGAGGACCATATAACAACAATATAAACAAGTATGCGGAACAATGCACATTGTGTATTTAATATGCTTATCATAATAAACAAATATTTTGTACAGAGGCATTAAAGCTAATCTCCAATCTGTAATCCATATAATGTTCTACAATCATGTGAAGCTTAAAATTCCATGAATATCCAATCTGAAGTTGAGCATAATTATTAATAGCATGTTTAAATGGCACTAAGGGAGGAATGTCTGAGATGCCATGGAAATGAAGGTCAGGCTAATTTACCTCCAGAATACAATACTAACATTAAAATATTTTGATTCCTTTTTTATCTCAAGACAAGAAGTTGCATGGACTTCACAACATGCAGCCAAGTCCAAGCCATCCACATTCCATCCCAAATGGAAATTATTTCCACATTACATCTTCACCTACTTCTGGATAAGTAACAGGAAAATCTCGAACTAAATTATTCCTCATTAGATATTTAACATGTTTACGTACATGGAAGAGTGCCACATGCAAGATGCAAAAAGCCCCAGATATTAACTGATTGCTTTCTTTCCACAAGTATTTCATTCATTTTAGCATATAGAGGGGAGGAAACCCATGCATATTGATTGCTTACCTCCAAACAACTCATAAGCATCCATCAAAGTGATCATTAAATTCATGAGTCTTCAAAGAATTACAAAACCAAAAAAAAAAAAAAAAAAGAGAGAGAGAGACAAAAACGTAGGACAGAAACGTAAATAATAATATAAGGGTCTTGTTCGTAACACAAGAACGGGTGTTACTAGAATTTTGCTAGAACGGACATGACAATACTGAAATCCTCCAGAGAATTGAAAAACTGAAATATTATTAATCAAAAAACTACTATAGGGTTTTCAAACCATTATTACATATTTAAATAGTCAAACCTTGCGTACTCCTTCCCTGCTCACCAATTCTCAAACCCTGCGACCCTGTGAACTCATTCCCTTCCACTTAATTCCCAAACCTTGCGAACTCATTAGGCGACGGTGGGATACCAAATTCCAATAACCGATTTACCATATTTTGAAAGAGGAAGAAGAAGAACGGATTGAAGATTTGAAGAAAGTTTTGTGAGTTGAATCAATTTCGAAATGAATTCGTTATCCATGCTACCTAACTTTTTACTTTATGTATAATTTCAAACAAAAGCTAGGGTTCTTTATGCAGTCAACATGATAAACTGAGAAGTGCTTGGACCCAGATTTGATGCGGAGTGATTGTGAAAAACCGGTCCAAGTGTCCCATGGTGCTGGAGATTTCTTTTAATTCCTCTGATTTAATGGCGCCCACCAGGTGTTCGGTTTTTTGCTTGATATATAATGAGATGATTTGGACTTTGGTTTCTCTCTTTTTATTTAAATCTTAGTTGTCTTTGTTGATGGTATATAGCTAATAAGAAATACTAGAAACTAAGATTAATTTGATGCAAAGAATAGAAAACGAGGAATTCAAAAAAGAAGATAGAAACCTATATTCTTATGTATGAAAATCAGGTGCAAGAATCATATTTTCTTTCAGAATTTTACACAATGTCATTTCCCTTCAATTTTATGATTTAATATATGCTAGTTTGTTGTTGAATTGAGTACCATGTTACTTGTTAACAAATTATAATAAAACTCTGAAACAAAGATTGAGATGCAATAAACCAAACATTTATACTCTTAACCAAAATAAACATGCTTGTTCAATGGTGAAATTATGTGGAATGAATCAGTCTCAGTCTTGCCAGATACTCTGTCTAACATGTAGAATAGAAAGAACACACGAATTCTACAAATGACAATATAATATTTATCTNTTTAATTAAATAAATAACGAAACTAATATACAACGTTTTCAAAGTATGAGAAGTCGTAAGGAACAATTGTATTAAAATGTACTAGATTTTGAATATTATCTTTATTTTCTAATATGAAATTATTTTTTACGTAATTCTTTTTCGCCCCCCCCCCACCCACCCACCCACCCGACCGAACCATAATCTTGGGTCCGCCCCTGGATGGAACTTGACTTTGACGATGTTGCTTGGCAAAACTATAGAGAAATGAAAAACGCTTCTAGATTCTACTCGCTCACATAAATCTACCACCTGAGTTGAAAGTTACACGCGTTTTTGTAGGCCCTCTTATTTCTCCTTATGCCCAACTAGTTTATGATCTTCTCTTCCAACTGTCCCGCATCATTATTCATAGTAGAATGAAGGTTTCAAGAAACTTTTAACCCCAACTTCGAAATGAGATTATTTAGCTTTTGCCTCTTGCTTGCAAAAAGATAAGACAAGGAATCCGAGGAAAAAAGAAGCATAATATATCACTAGATCAGAAAAATTTAGACAGTTAGGAGTAGAGTTAATAAATTTCCAAGGCAAATATAGTAGCATTACCCTAATATCTTAATCATCCTCCTTAGAAGATCAAACTCCGAAGCTCCTGGGAACAATGGAAGCCCAAGAAACAATTCAGCAACTATGCACCCAAATGACCACATGTCAATAGCCGTAGTATATCTGCGCTATGTTAAAGTCTCAAAGCATGATATACGACATAGAACATGTTTTGAGTAATTTTAACCCCTGCACCAGAAAAAATAAAGGGAGTGCAGAAGTAAAGTTTCCAGACACATCTAGTTCAACCCCACGGAGTGGGAAAAATCCAGGAATATGAAGGGCTTAAAGAGGGACATAAATACTTGACTGAATATTTTAAGGATACTGATATCCAAGAAGAACCTCAGGAGATCTATAGTACCGACTCTGCAAAGAAACATAATCATTGAGAACATATCAACAATATAAAGATTGAAAAATTGAAGTCTTATTCAAACCCAGTACGTTACCTGAATATAAGAATAAACAGTACGATCTTCCATACATGCTGATCCGAAGTCTATAATTTTGATTTTTGCCGGCTTCACACTGTCAATTTCATGGAATAATTATTACAAATGCAGAGAACAAGATGAAAAATACCAGGTCCAACTGTCCAAGTCATCAGAGTGGCCAACCTTGTGCATAAAAGAATGTTTTCTGGTTTTAAATCACAATGAATTATGCCAGCATCTTTCATCAGAGCCAGTCCACGCAATATCTAGAAAGCGGAGAAGAAAGTATTTTTATTACACTCACAAAAATATATGACCATTGAAGGGAACACCTTTCTTAAAACAACATTAATCTGAAGCAAAAAACAATGAATAACCTGTTTTGAGAATAGCTGCACAATGTTCAATGACAATCCCCTAAAATGGTTCAACTTTATAAGTTCATACCTAATGAGAAAATATCAAGTAATGCAAGCATAGTTACAATACGAAACTCAAAAAAATATAAAAAATTTTATATGAAAAGTTAGTTACTCCTAAAACAACTTACAGATTTGTGTCAAGCAGCTCAAAAGCGATGCACAGGTGCCGTAGATGCACAAAATAATCGTATATTCGAACAATATGGTTCTTATCTTCGGGATCAAACTTCTTATTTAACTAGGGGGAAAACAAATAACTGAAAAAATGCAGAAGAGATTCAAATCAAAGAACATGACAATCCAGCTGAAGCAGGCCTTACTGTTGTTAAAATTGAAACTTCAACAAGTGCTTGCTGATAGTAAGCAGGTAGATTCTTAATAATTTTGACAGCAACAAAGCTATTTGTTTCAGCAACCCAGCACTTAGCAACCTGCCCAAATGTTCCGTGGCCAAGCATATCTTTGACAATGTATCTGCAAAAAAGAAAAAGCAAATAACAATGCATTGAACAGAAGTGTTGTAAGTTTTCAAAGAAAGGAAGGAAGAGAAGAGAAAGTAACATTTGAAGAAGAAATACTAAAGTGTAGGAAAATATATTTTTTCTTTAATTTTTTAGGCGTAAAGAGAGGAAGACTTGATGAGAATGGAATATATATGATTGAATGGGTTGGATGCAATGGAAATTTTAGAACAATTCTATGATACGAAGATCCTACAAGGTTAGAAGGTCAATTTTATAGAATATTTATAAGACCTGATTTGCTGTGTGTTGAGCAGTTAAAGAACACAATGTCTTTAACGTGAACATAGAGGAAATAAGCATGTTAAGATTTCCAACTTCCTTCCTCTCCCCAATTTCTCTCTACCCAAAAATGAGGGCAACTCATAGTCCTAGTATCACGACATAAAATTTATGTTGAAAAAGAATAAAATAAATATCTAATTGCACAACCAGCAAACAATCACACTGATTCCAAAAACTTGAATAAAAAGAATAACAAAAACTAGGATTCTTTAAGCTCCAAAATAGATATCTAGGTCTCCAAAAAGTATTAAATTAATTCTTTAACACTGCACTCCATTAAAGAAACAAGAATGGTGCCAAGATACACACAAGCAATTTTCTCCTGAAGCTCCCTATTTAGAAGATCCAGAACATATGTACCTGAAGTGGAAAAGCAAATGAGAGAAGAAACTCTCTTCAATTATCTATCAATGTAATTAAGGCAAATTGATTGGAAGTCTTTCTAATTCCCTTACACCTTGTATGCTAGGACCTTGAGTCATTATTTATTCTATTTATCATCTGCAAACTCAATTCCTTTGAGAATATTTATTCCATCAAGCATAACAAAATAACAGGTCTGATCGGATGCAACTTCAGAAAATCAGAGACCACATAAATAACTTGTACTACCAGTGTGTGTTAGAAAATTACCCTTCAGCAGTTGTCTACTTCACAGAAAGGGAACTCGCTTATTTCTCACTCAAATGAGATCAACCATTTTGAATCCTTATATTTTCTTTTTCTTTTTTTTCTTTTTTTCTTTTTAAATCCAACCCCACCTGCCATGGCAAATTGAATTCCTCAAGGGTCATTATCATCAAAAAAAGGGTCCTCCATGCCCACATATATAGTTCTTCACCAAAAGACGACATCAATAAAATAAAAGACAATTTCCAGAATTTCCACAACAGAACAAATCCAAGAAGACGATTCCCTGTAATTCTTCAAGTAGCAAGATAGTTGCCACCTCATAAGAATTCTACTCAAGGTTATTGTATTTCTTCATTCGGGCCAGCTAGCCTCTTGTATCAGAAGTTTTGTGCATTCACATCTCAACCCAAATATTCAGTTACACTAATTATTCTAACAATCATTCAATTGTGCCACCAAAACTTAGGCCCTGAAGTTTCTAAACAAATATGCACGGTAGCTTCCCCAAGTTCGACTACAATATATCAGCCTACCTTCAAGAAGAGACAGTAACACATGAGAAGTTCAAACCCAAGGTAAACCCTATAGCTTATTAGATTTGTGAACAGCAAAATATTTCTCACCTTCCTATCTTGACTCAATCATATTTGGTCCTTTACTTAGAAGGCAATAGTTCGTTTTATATAGTCTCCATTCCATGGCAAAAAGGCAGTGGTTACAGATATTTCCATTTATGTGAAAGTATTCCATCCTGCAAGTGCATAAACAAATAACCTAGGTTGTCCCTACTCTTCTGTCACCATGTTGTACCTGTCTACAACACAAACCTTGACATGAGAACATTCCAAGTCAGATGTCACTCTCCTACATATAATACAATTCTGAAACAGTTGGCAAAAGTACAATTAACTGAGGAAATAACAAGACACGTCTCCGGTCAAACTTTTCAATGTATAATTAATGTTCACTATACCTCGAAAATGAAATGCACTCATTTTTGTCCAATTCATATAGGATCTGATCCTCTATAGTAATCCAAGTGTCCAAATTAAGACAGTTTATTTGACACTGGCACCAGAATCTAAGCAACATTTTGGATATCCAGGCTGAAACACAAAATATAACTAACATGAAAGAAGTCTGTATTTAGGAGGAAATCTACCTCTCTTTATAAATACTACATCTGTAATTAGCAACCATTAAATAATGCATTTCACATCCCCAGCTGGCCATTGATGACAATGACATAGCCCTCATCATACTCTCATGATCACCACAGAGAGAAGAAACATCTTTCTACCAAATTAATATTAAGGAGACATGAAGTATGCTATAATCAATAAAATGGCAGTAATTAAACAAAATCAACCTTCGTTGTGTCTCCAAATTAACCAACGGCAAATTTACAGTAAGAATCAGGTCTGAGTTTGCATTATCACAGCCATCATTCAACACCCCAGTGGATGGAGACGTCAGGAACCTCTTCGGATTAAATTCTTCTGAATAACCAAATTGAGGGTTGCAGATTTGATATATCTCAACAATGTCCTTAGTCAATCGTGCCACCAACTGCAATATTAAAAGAAACATGTCAAGGAGGGGATCCACTAGTTCAAATTTTCATTTCACAGAGTATCCTGGTTCAGAAAACTGGCATGCCAAATAAGTTGTACCATATACCGTTCTTGTGGCTATCAAATATTTCTACACTCTAGATGCCAACAAAAAAAGGAAAAAGAAACATGAATGTGCTGAGTACGTGAGTCTATACCTGACAATAATATTACACCATATTATGTATTTACCAAATTACATTCATTTCAGCAATTCAACCACTCATCAACAATAAAATATATTTTCAACCCAAAGTAAAAGACAATTAATAAATAGACTTCATTGACTCCACGGAATTTGTTGATACCATCACTTGTTCTCCCTAATGAGTTACTTTCCTAATTACCAAGCATAATAATGGTACAAAAGCGGAATAAGGATACAAGAGTAGAACCAGAATTATGTAAGCATTCTTTCAATCGAATGGAAAAAAATTAATAAAAATCAGAAAAAAAAATCAGGATACAAATCAGATGCCATAAAATTGAAAAGCTACCAAATCCTTAAGGAGTAATTTTTCATTTTATGACAACATATTTCCAAGCGTGTACGATATATACACATGGCTGAGAATTTTATCCAACTAAAATCTGTGATACTGTTAGAAGATAACAAATTTGAGTTGGAACACAGTAAGTTAATGGAGGAAATAGACCAAAAAGGAATTATAAAATGAATGAGACAATAATATTTATCTTTCAATTCATATTACAAAATTAAAATTAAAACAGCTGAAACTAAGACCTGTGAGATTTCAAACTCTAGTATGTCCATGAAATCACATTTTACATTTAAGGGCATGTCTGGTGCCAATTTTAATCAAGATTTTAATCAAGAATTCAACCGTTGGTGGGCCACATTGGTTGACTTTCTTCACACATGAGTGGCAGCTGTGGGACCCAGTAACGGTCAAAATTTTGCTTTGCAGTGGAACCAGACAAGCTCCTATGAAACACACAGAATCACTAAAGCTTATAACACAACTGTATTTTTATTTGTTGAAAAGTACACCCATATCTGCAACAGCTTCTACATGCCATTAATTATCCAACGAAAATAATAAAAACATAAATCTTTATTCACTCAGAGCTTCGACAATTAAGTCAAGACCACAGCTAATGCCAGACTATCCTCGCAAACTTGTTTAGAGCTAAATCTTTGTTCACTCTTATTCCATCTTACAGGGGTCGGCTACATACCTAAATAGATTCTCTTTTTTTTATTCCACATTATCAGCTGCCATCTCCAACTGAACAAGTCTTCATTAACAACTAAAAATATTAAATGCTCGTTAGACTATCTTACTCATTGAGATCAAGGTCAATCTAATGTGTAGGACAACCTTAGGGCGTTTTGTTATTGATAAAGAAGAGAAACTTTAAAATTCCGAAAGAAACATAGAATTAACAGGAAGGTGAAGAAAATAAGAAGACGAGGAGAAGAGGAACATTTCTCCCTTGCAGGGGTCAGGAGAAATCACACTACACAATCTCAAATTGTTATAATGATTAACTCTACTAAATAAATGACAGTGCAATATCAGTAATATTTCAAAAGTTTTTTGTTTCACTGGATGTCAGTGTCTTTAACACCCAAATGTCCATTGAGAAGCAGAATGGAGGGGAGGCATATCAATTTTAGGATGTGTTACTTCACATAGAGAGCGGTATGAGAAAACTGGAGGAAGAGAAGATCTATTCTAAAAGGAATAAAGAAGCTTGAAATTCTACTTTGCATTGCTAAATCCCTACACCGATCATGATAAACAGAGAAAACTTAGGTGAACTTCGAAATATACTAGCTTGACTTCATATTTGAGTTTGTCTTTGACAAAATTCAAATTGCATGGGTCCAATTCATGCAGCCAAACGTAACCTTGGTGAAGACTGTGATTGTTCATGAATAAAAACCATCCTTCTTTACAAGAAAAATTTGTTTATTATTCAAGTACAGAATTACATTCCATCAAGAGGACGGTCCTTTAACAACAAAACGATAAAGAGAAGCCAAGAACAAAACACGTCTTCCCACTCTAGAAAGACTAAAGAAGTAAAAACTTCGAACTCCTTAACAATAGAAACTTGTATAAATCTTGAAAAAAATGCCTTGTCACATAAATTAACTACTTTGCTCTTTCCCTTGGGAACTCCAATTTCTTTTGTCCAAATCACCAAAAGAAAGCGAGAACACCCATTTTTGTACCAACACCCCCATCAAATGAATTATGCATGAAAATATGACTTACAAAATAGATATACAAGGATCTCACGTTTACAATCATTTGCCCAAATAAAAAGGCTTGAACATAATATTCTCGAGGATAGACGGAGAGAAAATGTTGACAGAATAAGAACCAAAAACAGTTCAAAGCGGTACCCATTTTAAGGCCCCTTAAATTATTTTCACTAAATCAAAATCTCATTAAAAAGGAAGGAAGAACAACAAATAAACAATGTATACAAACACACAAGACATGCCATATGAACACAATAGCTCTTAAAACTAGTAAAAAAAAACTAAAATTAGTTGTTGCGTATTAATTTATAGTGCTAACGTTGACATGCTTTGCTAGAAACAACTAAAAATAATTTGAGCATGCAGGGAAAAAAAAGAGAGAGAGAGAGATCACTTACAGGCCTTCTAACAATAACTCTCAAAGATTGGGGCTTTGTATCAGTGTTTACAGAAGGCGAATAAGGACCAAATGCAAGCTGCCTAGGACGCCATGGCATCAGCACTGATGCTGACGAAAATGATGTTGAACTCTCATCCACTGCCGGTTCCAATGGCTGGGAGTCACCTTCCTTGCTACTACTATTAACCTCCATCACCCCCTCCTCCCCGATAAACCCCCACCCACCACTGCTCTACGTGTGTTAAATGTGATAAAATAAACAATTAGAAATTAAAAAAAAAAAAGACCTCAGAGCTCAAGGGACAAAATTCAGCAATTGGATTCCCACTGACTGAGATGGTATAATCCTCCGGCAAATTCAATGAATTTACCAGAAGATTGCAGTCCCATCCTTTTCACCCACTCACAACTCACAAAAAAGAAACGAACTTTAACATAATCAGATAAATCAAAAAGATAATTTCGAGTTTTTTCCTACATAAATACCGCCGGGATGAATGATGCCGTGTAAAAACAACAGATTATCTCCTCTCCAATACGAACAATTAAGAAAAATAGAAAACAAATAAAAAGACACAGAGAAAAGAAGAAGATAAAGGTATCGCAATCCCTGTTGCTACTACTCAGAAATCGATAAACGTAGATTGAAAATGTGAGAGAAAAACAGAGATTTCAACAGCTTCTTCGAGAAGGGGATTTCAGATTTTTTTCATCTTTTACAAGTTAAAATATAATGGTCATAATATTAGAGGAAACGCTGTAAATCAGCTTTAGGTTTGCTAAGTAGAATTATTTCACAGTTAAAGAATAAAAGTACCGACTTTGGTCACTAAATTTCGCCTGATATTTCAAATTGCTCCTAAAATATTTTATCCTTCTTTGTTCTTTTCAAATTGCTCCTTGAATATTTTTACCTTTTTTGTTCTATCCATATTGTGAAATAATTATGCCTTAAAAATAAAATGGAAAAAAAAATGGCATTCAATTCCAGCTCAAACGTTCCAAATTGTTCCCTTTAAATCATTTTATTTTATTTTTCATTATAAACGGTAAAAGTGTAACGGTTGAGCTAAAAAAGCAGTGCTTGTTTGACAAAATTTACTAAAACTTCGTTAACTTTTAACGACTCGAATTAAATCAAATATTTTATGGGGTTCATATTTTTTTATCAACTTTTCAATTACATGTTTATCAACTTTTATCAAGATATGCTAAAATTTTTATCAAAAAAATGCAGTCCCTAAAATTTAAAAGTTTTCTTGTTGTTGACTAAGCCGGCCTTTAGCCCCTGTTTGATGGACATTATTTGGGTAAAATAATATATTGTATGTTGAATTTTTGGAAAATATATGATTAAAAAGTATGGAAAATTTTGAGTTTAAGTACAAAATATTTTGTTTGATGAATACGTTGTTGAAAATGAGTATGTAGAAGAAAAAAAAGAGTTTTGAATTAAATGCCATCAAATGGGTAATTTAAAGGGGTGGTTATGTTGACACCACAATTTCTATTTGATACGTCAATTTAATTACATTAAACTCATTAATATTTACTTATTGTAGCAATTATTTTCTTAACATTTTTTCATCGAATTCTTATCTTCAACCTTCCATTAATTAGTCAAATTATTATATTTATGCTAGAGGTGTCAAGACGGACGGGCCGGCCATGACCCGTGAAAATCGGCCCGTGAAACCGGGACCGCGGGCCGACCCGTGACCCGTGCGGGCGGTTCACGGGCCAAGGAGGTGTAACCCGCGGGCTTCGCGGGTTGCACCCCCACTGGCCGCGGTTAACCCGCGGCCCGTAAAAAAAAATTGAAAAAAAAAATAAAACAAAAATTAAAAAAAGGGGGGGAGAGAGCCAAACAAAAAAAATTGAAAAAATAAAAATAAAAAAAAATTCAAAAAGAGGGGAGAATTTAGTTGTGCAAGATGGTTTGAAATTAATAACACCACAAATAAGTATAATTAGAGAATCTATTAATTATATTTCTTGTTCAGATTCTAAACAACAAGAATTTGCAAAAATTTGTAAAAATCTTGGATTGAGAAGAAGATGAAGTGGATAAATTAGGCATGCATTTTGATGTAGTTGTTATTTGTTTAAGTTAAATTTAAGTTTGCAAAGTTATAAATAATTCATGTAACGTTAAATTTGAATTCTATGTAAAAA